GGGGCAACCATGGAGGGCAGTGCCAAACGGTGGGCAGAGTGGTCAGGGACTAGGGCTGGGTTTTGTAGACTAGGGCTTTCCCTGCAGACACTACCCCAGCCTCAGCCCCAGCCCTTGAGGGTTTTTTTTTTTTTTTTTCCAGGAGGACTGACTGACTGCAAAAGTCAGCAGGCAGCTCTAGGGTGAGGTGACAGCACCAGGTTGCAGGCCACCGTGCTGCAGGGTGGTGGGGTGGCCTGGAGCCACCTGGAAGGTAGCTGGGGACTAAGAGCAAGCCTGAAAGGGAGCCTGAGCCAGTGCCCTGCTTCTGTCAGGCCCCGCCTGGCTGATGGCTCCTCCCGGCTGACAGCTGTCACTCAGACATTGCCCCACATGCCTTGTGCTTGCAGCAGCGCCAGCCAGGGCCAGAATCAGAGATCCAAAAGAAAATCTGTAAATTAGAGTGAAAAGTAGTTCTCTTCAAAAGATGCTGCCAACGCCTGTGTAAATTTGGTACAGCCCTGCTGAGGGCAATCTGGTGACGTGTCGGAAGCAAAACAAAATGCTGAGATTCTATTCAGAGTTTATGAAACAGCTCCTTTTCTCCCCTCACCCAGACTTCATGGGCATGTTGGGGGACAGTGTTGAGAGTAACGCTGTCTGTAAAGGTGAAAATTTGGGCACTGCCCAGATACTGGCCCACCAGCGTGGTCTGCTCGGTCCAGGTGTCACCTCTCTGTGGAATATTATGTATCCACTAAAAGTGATGATACCCTTCAGTGGGGGACCCTAGTGGTACACGGGACCTCAGCCTCGGCTTCAATCTGGGGTCTGCATAAAAGAGCAAGCCTTGGTAGGAAAAAATCATCTGGACAGCATTGCTTAAATTGTGGCTCAGCTGTGTTTCACCCACTGCAGTTTGTGCTTGTAGAGGTGCCAGCCATAGGCCAGATGCTGCGCTCAGGGTGTCTTGTGCCTGCTCTGCCTCCTGTCGCGCCACCACCCAGCAGGTCAGGTCCTACTACTAGTCCCATGTTCCCAGGAAGAATCCCAGGCACCAAGGAAGTAACTAAATGGGTTCAAACACGCAGCTGCCTGGCCGCCAGCCCCTGATTTGTTCTCTTCTAATAATTCTAATGATTGTTCTCTTCTGTTTCTTTTTGCTATGGATATGTTTGCCCAAGGCTAGATACCAGAAAGAAAATCTGGGCCAGTAACAGTAAGCTAAGGGTGACTTTCTCCTTTTCTTGGCTTCTATTACATTGGTGTAGAAGAAAATCAAGTTAAAGAAACAAAAAAACACTTCTTAGGGTATAGTGGTCTGAGATGGTAGTCCCCCCTACTGGGGAGGCTGAGGCAGGAACATCCTCAAGTTTAGGAGTTAGAGACCAGCAAGCATGCAAAAATAAAATAAAAAATTGTAAAGCCATAAAGCCCCTAGAATTCGCAGCACATGAGGAGAAGCGCATAACAAAGTGAGCAGAAGTAGGACTGGGGTTAATTACTAATGCACTCTGGCTTAGTGGGAAAGCAGTTGGGAGCTTTTGTGAGGAAGGGAGGGATCCAGGTGAGTCCAGGAGCTGGGCTGGGCTTCTCTGGCTGGGCTGCTCTCGTAGCCATTCTTGCTAAATCTTTTTATTACCGGGTGCTTACTATATTATCTCCCCAATGTTTGCATTCCTCTCATTCTTTTAGATTACAGAAAATGATTAAAAAACAAAGTCTTTGTTTGCTTTGCTCCCAGTGTGCAGGCGGGAGGGAATCTCTGCCAAATCCCTTGAAGAGCAGAAGGCAGCAGGAGGTTTCGTTTCTTTCACCCAGAGAGGCAGTGGGTCCCGCCTGAGTCAGGCCACCACTGCCTGGGCAGGCTCCAGCCCACACCTCATGGTGTTGGGAAGGCTTAATATGAAGCTCTTGACACCAGAATGTTGGCTTACTTCAAGAAGCTGTTAGCTGGGCGCGATGGTGTGTGCCAGGAGGCCTAGTTACTCAGGAAGCTGAGGCAGGAAGATTGAGCCCAGGAGTTCAAGTTCAGCCCAGGCTGTATAGTGAGACCTCATCTCAAAAAAAAAAAAAAAAAAAAAAGTTACCCAAGATAATGAAAGGATGCACACATTTTGTAGCAGCAGTGTGCTCCTCACTGACCACACTGAAATAATTGTTTAAAATATCCTTTTCATTCTGATAGGAAGGTTCATGAATTCACATGAAAAGAAAGTTGGGATATGTTTTCATGCATCCCATTCTCTGAATTCTGTGTGCCCTGTGTGTCCTTAGCGGATACACATGAGACACCAAGCTGTGCGGTGAGGCTCTTCTTATTGTCCTGTCAGGAAAGGAGTTTCCCCGGACAGTAAAGGCCATCATATTGAAGGGAGGGTGCCTGCTGGTATCCTCGAGCACCCAGGACTCCAAGGAGAGCATGCACTAGCCAGATATGAGGCAGGAGGCACCAGGCTGATGGTTCAAAGCCTTTGGGCAGAGGAAGGGGAGTGTTAAGCATTTGCAAAGGGAGAGATGAGATTGGGTCTCAAGTTAACTCCTTCAGACTTGAGCATCTTGTCTGTATACTGGACTCTGGGGTGGTGTGAGGATTGAGTCAAACATCATTTCCCCTGTTTGCTGCCTTCCAGGGACAGGAACTCTTAGGCCCTTAGCTGTCTCCTACAGATGTGGATGTGTGAGAGCTTGGGGCTTTCAGGCCCTCTGAACACAAGGAGGGCAGGGCAGGGCTACCTACCTAGGGGCAGGGTGGACATGAGTATGGATTTGCAGTCTTCTGTCTGGTCTTTTTGGAGACAGCTACGCTTCTAGCAGGTGGGCAGAAAATGTCAAGGGCAAAGGCTTTTGTTGGGATGGACAGGTTGCTGGCAAATCCTCCAAAAACCCCAGTGGCCAGAAGAGAGTTGGCAGCCTCTATGTAAACTGTGAATGAAGTTTCTGGGATAGAAATGACCTTGGAGTTGGTATGCAGGTCCTGGGGATACTGTGCATTCTTCAAAACAAATTCCTACAATTAACGATTCTATTTTTTCCATTTCAAGTAAAAGTTTTCCTAGAATTTCAAAACTATCTCCTCCAACTGATCAGTTTTCTTTCTTCCTTCACTAGTGCTTTGCTCTTAATAAACTCTGGAACTTATACACATACCATGATGCGCTGTGTGTTTAGATCACTGCTGGGCTCAGAGCTCAGCTCTGACTCATACTGGGTTTGTGAATGAACTTTCTGAGGCTGGATTTTCCTTCCTAAAAAAAATGGGGCTGTGATGGTGCCTGCCTCATAGGGCGATCGGGTTAGCTCTTGTTTATAAAGAGCTCAGCACAGTGCCTGGCACAGAATTAGCTTTGAATAAATGGTCTCTATTATTTGCACATAAAAAAAAAGCTGCACTGAAGTGTTGGCTTCATTCTTCCCAGTGGGTGGGATGGTGCCACAGTGAACATCTATTACCTCTGTAACCAGAGGGAAAAGAATAATAAAAGTTATTATTAACCTAAAAATCTGCCTTTGGCTTTGCTGGAAGGAACCTGTAGTTAATGTCAGTTTAGCAACTCTTAAGACACATCTGGTTTTATACAGAAGTTTGAAAGTGGGCACTACCAACCTGTCCCAATCAACGAATAGGAGCTCGAATCAAAGGAGTTACTTGGTCAGAAGCCTTCAGGTCAGACGGGGGCTGTGAGAGGGTCACTCCTATTAGAGGGCTTGACTGGAAAGCTAACTCTCCAGGGAAGGATTCCAGGAGAGTGACATTTACCCTCTATTGGCCCTTTAATCCAGAATCTCAGAGAATAAAGCCGGCGCTAGCGCATTTCCAGATGGGGGACTGTTACTGTCCTCCTCTGGCATGTGGGACACTGTGAGGTCCAGCGAGATTCTTGACTGCCCCCCCAGCACGCAGGCGGCGGAAGCACGAGACAACCCACCTGGAGCTGCATGCCCACTCTGTTGCCCTCCTGGGCCATTCCCTGCCAAGCAGGAAGGGGCAGAATGCCCACCGCACTTGTTGCTATTGGCAGGACCATCGGCTTGTGCCCTGCTGGCTTCTGAGCAGCCACTGTCTCCTCCTTACACACTCTGGAGGGGCAAATGGTGCTGACTCCGGAACAAAATGCTGCCTCTGTTCCAGAGACAAAGAACATAGTGGCTCCTCTGGGTCAGCTGTCCCTCTGGCTGGTGTTCCCCGCTCTCCCCCAGGTCTCTTCCGAGGCTCCCAGGCACATCCTGACTGAAGAGGGCCTTCCAGGGCTGGGGCTAGGCTGGGAGCTGCTGCCCTCTGGGCATGTTTTCCCTGGCACTCATAGAGAGATTTTACCTCAATATCAAGCAGCTCCCAGCTGCTAGAGCTTTATTTGCAGGAGTGGGGCAGGGTGGGGCTGGGGGCTCCTGGGCTGGAGGCAGCCTGGTCAGTGTGCCTGCAAGAGGGGGTGAAGGCATCTTTGTGGGTTGCACAACGTGTGTGCCAGGGCACATGAGAGCTTGTGGCAGTGTGTGTAGTAATTTTGTGTGTGTGTGTGTGTGTGTGTGTGTGTGTGTAGTAATTTGTGCAGGAACACTTGTGCGTGCTAGAAAGGGAAGGAAATACGCTCGTGTCTGAGACCCTGTGAGCAAAGCTTGTGTGTGTACCTGCTGGAGAGTGTGAAAGTTCTGCACTGGGGTTGAGGCTGGGAGTACTGGTGTGAATATGAGCTGTTAGGAGTGTGCCTCAGCTTGGGGAGGAACCCTAGGGAGCTCTGGGGGCCGCTTGTGTAAAGGCATGTGTCAGCACGCCTTGGTAGCAAAAGGCGCAAATCTATTTGGGAAGGGTTGGAAGCTTGTGCACCAGAGGGTGAGCACACACGCGTGTACCAGCGCGTGCGTGGGTACAACTGCCCGAATGTGTGCAGGAGGGCTCGCATTGCCCCCCTCCCTGCCGGGTACAGCCAGTTGCCATGGGAACGCGCCGCGGCCCGAGTTAATCATTTCCTGTGGAAAGTGTGCGGGAGGGGCGGAGCGGGGCGGGCCTAGGACGGGGAGGAGGAGGCGGCGGCAGCGTGGAGCTGCTTCCAGCCGGCGGGCCGGGCCGAGCCCCGGGCGCTGCAGCGGCGTGGGGATCCTGCTTGCGCCAGGCCGGTGAGTCGGGGCCCAGCCGGGTTGGGCAATCTGGCTCCGCCTTGCTGACCGGTTCCGGGTGCCTTGTCTGGGCCGGTCCTGCCGGCGGGATCCCTGTGCTGGGACCCAGTAGGGGCATGGGGAAGGCCGGGACCCCAGATTCATCCCTCCACGCCATCCCTTGGTGTCATAAAGGCCCAGGGCAGGACATTGCCCAGTGGCAGGGCTTAGGGGCCATAGGTCCCATGGGAGCCCCTTCCGATTTCATTGGCTAGATAAGAGCGTGGACCCTACCTGGGAGCTGTGTGCCAATCAGAGACCCCTGCAGGGTCTCTCACACCCCTCTGGGCTCCGGACAGGTCTTGTCATTTCAGCCCCTCCTACGGCTCCTTGGGGGCAGTTGCCTCCCCTGCCGGGCTGGGGGTGGAGTACCATAGCCTGGCGGAGAGATTGGACTGAGGGCCTTGGCCAGTGCCCTCCGGGACAGTGAGGATTTGAGCTATGGACAGCTGCAGCTGGGGAATCCCAGCAGGCTGGGTGAGCCCAGAAGCTGCCCCCTTCCGTACCCACCAGTGAGTTAGAGCCGAACTCTGGCTGGCCTTAGTGAAGGGCCTGATCCTGCTATGTCTAAATTCTCAAGTATAGTTTGCTACCCCCACCACTCCCCAATACTTCTCTTTCAAGGTTGGGAGTTGTGACCACCCCTATCCTTTCCCCTTCTCTGGTTTCCTCTGCCCAAGGTTATATTCCCCATGTCCATGATAAAGTAGCTGTTTCCTTGGGCCAGGAGAGTCATTCGCTGGGGACTGGGAACAGCCTCAGAATGGGGCCCTGTGTTTGCAGTGATTGGACTTAAGGGACACGGAATGCTGAATTCTGCTGTCTGTAACAGCAGCAGGGAGCTGAGGCTTTGAAGTCTGAATTGGCCTGGAAAACCCAGGAAGTGTGGCTGTGTGCAGGGCAAGTCCCAGCCCTTTGGCTGCTTTCCCTGGAAAAGCAGTCCCTCTGCTGTAGCAGTCTTACCAAGTCTTGTATCCCCCTGACTTTGCAGTGTCCTTAATCTAGGGCAGGGGGGCAGAATGCAGTTCTGCTCTCTTGGTTTCAATCCAGAGGCCCACCACTGGAGCAAAGTGAATAAAATTAAATTTTTGAGCTCTTTGTATATGCCAATAGTGTTCTGAGCACTTTACATAGGCACTGTCGCATCTTTTTGCCAATGTTACAAAGGTAGACTTCTCTCTATTCTATATATGGAGGTAACGGCACAGAGAGGCAAAGGAATTGTCTCCAGGACAGCTGTACTAAGTAGAAGGTCTAGATTCTAAGCCAGTAGCCCCACTCAAACCTGTGAATCTTAGGTTGGTTGAGGTCCAAGGATACCAGATCAAGTATCTAAAACTCATGAGAGAGAGAGAGAGAGAGAGAGAGAGAGAGAGAGAGAGAGAGAGAGAGATTTAGTTAGTTTAAAGTTTGATTCTTTCTTGGTCTAGAATCCTGGACTTACTGAGACTCCTTGAGACTTCTGACCTTCACTCCCCTCCAGCTGCTAAATTCAGCTGCTTTTTCCTCTCAGGCTGTAGCACACACCCTTTCCTTTCTTCCTGACATCTTCCTGGCTGCTGTTCCCACTTCCCTTCCTGATAGCACAGGCGTGTGGTCTCCTCTGGCCCCTGTCTCACCCTGGCTAATCTACCCCTAAGTCTTCTCTTTCAACCATGGAGCAGCTGCCAGTGCCAGGCACCAGCTCACCTTGCCAGGAGCTGGGCTTCCTGCTTCCTTTTCCCTCAGTCTGCAGGGCTGGTTTCCCCCCATCTCCGCTGCATAGCTTGGAGAACGGTAACAAGTGGCTGTTCCCTTGTCTGTTTCCGCTCCACTGTGGTCCATTTCAGGTTCTCTGTGGTGCTGGGCTGTGTTCTTAGCCTCTGCCCTGGTGTTGGGCCCACATTCCTGTCCCCATCCCAGTGAGACTGTGCCCAAGGATCACCTCCTGCTGTCATCCTCGATCAAGAAAGTACAACTTCTTCCAGGTCTCTGCCATTGAACATCAGACACTGGGTGATCAGGCTTGCAGCCCCTGGACTTGTACTTCTGTTGCTTCTTTATTCATTCCCACTTCTGTGTACCCAACATATCATCTCTCCTCTTCTCTAAGCACCTCATCCTCTCAGTTCCCCTCTCTTTCCCATCCCAGTCAAACTTCTTCCTCGACCCCATCCCCCATTCCTCCAGGCTTCTCAAGTCTGCCCTCTGCCCAGCTGGGCAGACCTCTCCTAAAGGGTTCCTGAGACTTCCAGACATGGGCTTATGATGGGCATCTGACCATCTTCTCCCTCCCTCTTACTCTCTGGTCACTTCTGGGGACTGTGTGTGTCATTTCTATGGCCTTCCATACCCTGACCACCTTCACCTGGTTGTCTCTCCTCTTGCTCAACCTTGGGGATTGCATGCTGACCTTTGGAAGCAATGGCCTTTAGCTCTGAGTCTCGGTAGCCAGCTGTGATCGCTCTTCCAAGCTTTAATCAGAGTGAGAGAGACAGAGACAGACAGACAGAATGAGACAGACAGACACACACAGAGAATGTGTGTGTGTGTGTGTGTGTGTGTGTGTGTGTGTGTTTCAGGACAGTCATCCAATAAGCATTGCAGAATGGTTGGTGTGGGCGCAGAAAGCTGGTGCCACTGGTGGTGTAGGTCCCACCCTCAGAGAACCAAACTGGGTCATGAGAGGTGGACCTTATTCAAATGTCTTATTCAGTTGTCTCTGCTGCCTGGCAGAAAGTGGTCACTTCCCTGAGGAGGGCTACAGGAAGTCCTTAGGGTGCTCCTAACTCATTCTCAAAACCAAATTCCATGTCATCTCTCCAGGCTGACTTTGCTTCTGTAATTGACATCAGTGTGTGAGTCTGGGACTGAAACTTAGCTTACCTGCCCTCAAGGTTGCTCAGCACGTGGTAAAGGTGCAGAGAAAAGCTGTGCAGGGAAGGCTTGACCTCTGCTCAGTTCATTTGTTCGGATTGTGAGGGAATCCTGCAGCTTTCTGTCCTTGACCTGTCATCTACACTCCCTCTCCAGTTCCCACACCACCTGGTACCTGGCACCTGGCATGCTCCTATAGCCTCCCAGTATCCTGTTCATATCAGAGGGTTAACTAAAGCGTTTGTCTCCTTTCTGACTATGAGCTACAATGCCACATCACACCTGACAAAAAAAAGAAAAAGGAACCCTGGCAGGTGTCTGGCACATAGTGGGCCCTCAATACATACTTATTAAATGAAAAAAAAAAAAAAAAGAATGAATCTTTGTATTACTAACAACTGGCAGGCTGGATGGGGTGGCACGTGTCTCTCAGCATTTAGGAGGCTAAGGCAGGAGGGTCATGTGAGTTTGAGCCCAGCCTTGGCTACATAGTGAGTTCAAGGGCAGCCTGAACAGTACTGAACTACATAATGAGACCCTATCTCAAAAAGCTGAACCAGGGCTGGTGAGATGGCTCAGTGGTCTAAAGCACCTACTTAGAACAAACTAAAAGCACAAGGACCGTGGTTCAATCCCCCAGCACCACATGCCAGCCAGCCCCGCCCCCTGGTGGGCTGAGCTGCCCCCCCCCAAAAAATAAAAAAAATTTAAAAAAAAAAAAAAAAGCTGAACCAAACCAAACAAACTGCATTGTACCTGGCGGGGTACAGTGCTCTTGGCACGAAGTGAAAGCTACCTGAATACATGAGTGAGCTGCGCTGCAAGGTCATTGGCCGTGCATAAACCTGACTTTTACTGGGCATGGCGGTGCATGCTGTAATGCCAGCACTGCGGGAGGCTGGGGCAGGAAGATGGTGAGTTCAAGACCAGCGCAGGAAACTCAGTGACTTAGACCTTGTCTTCAAAAAATGGGGGGTGGGCAGGTTGGGGATGTATCTCAGTGCAAAGGCCCTGGGTTCAGTCTCCATTACTGCGAACAAAATAAACAGCTCTCCACTTGCCTCTGGCCCTCTCAGCCCATTAATGACAGACTGGTACTCAGAGCCTGGCCCTGAAGGCTGTGGGCTAAGCGCACAGCTGAGTGTGGTTAGAAAATAAGTTGTCTCGGGGAGAAAGGATGGGACTCACTGGATGCTGCCGACTCCCGGGGCCAACGCCTCAGGGAGCACTGGGACCCTGCATGTCTGCTGCCGTGCTCTGGGAGGAAGGGCTTGGATGGGCAGGCACACCTGGCGCCTCCTTACCCAATGCTGAGCCTCAGTATTCAGTAACAAGCACCCCAACCCTGAGACAGGCCCCACTTTGTCCTCTGAGCCCAAGGATCCTCCGGACATTGTGGCTGGGGGCGCTGTGCTGGGTAAGAGGTAAGAGGTGACTGGTCCTTCATGGACCCTTCCAGGTGCCCCCCCCCAGCACCCCACATCAAACTCTTCTTCCCTTGTCTCCACAGGCTGCCCCATGCCTGGAGGAGGCTGCTGAGCCCCGGGCCATGGTCCCCTCTCGAAGGTCGTGGAACCTGGGAGCCACGCCCTCACTGCGGGGCCTGTGGAGAGTGGCCCGGGCCCGGGCCCGGGAGCGTGAGCTGGGGATGGCTCGCCCCGCCCCAGCCCCAGCCAGCCCGGCTGCCCGCCCTTTCCCACACACCGGCCTGGGGAGGTTGAGAACTGGTGAGTCCGCATTTTTAAAATGCCTCTTTATTTCCCTTCCTTCCTCCAGATACTAGAGATGAGACTGAGGTTTCTCGAGGTTCTTAGACTCAGTCCGAGCTGTCAGGTAATTATAGGGTAGCAGTCAGGCTGTGCAGCGCCAGGCAGAGAGGGAGCGTCAATCTCACAGGAGGCGGCTCTGGTGTGGGTTAAACTTTAACAGTTCAAGGAACAAGGGGAATCAACCACGTTCTCGCTGACCCTGCCGGGTTAGGGTTCTGCGGTCTGCCTGGCACACACTGGGGGGCTCGCGCTGGTCCCTGCCCACAGCTGTAAACAAGGTAAGTGAAGTGCTGAGTGCCTGGCACAGTGCTGACACTCGATCCCGCCTGGACTCGCCCTGGATGGGCGTGCAGAGCACACCGAGGCCGCTTGGAGCATGGCCTGGCCGGCTTTGGGTGTTATGAGCTTAGTTTTAGATGTTGCCCTGGGGTGGCTTGTGTAGAGATCCCTGTAGCAGGGATGCAGTGAAGGGGTCCCGGAGTCTGGGCTTCTGCCATCCTCTAGGGAGCTGTCGTGCCGACTGGGCTTTCTGGGTCATGTCCCCTGGTGCAGGGACATCAAGGAGTGAGCGGCTCCTCTGACTCCTGGTGGAAGCTGGATTGTTGTGGCTGGAGAGCCCCCTGGGATCCCTTGCTGAGCTCCCTAGGGGCCGGTCAGGCGCAGAGTAGGGAGACAGTCTGCTGTCACCCACTCCTGACCTGCAGGGATGGGGTTAGCTTTCCAGCCTGTCCCTCTGGGCCATTAGGTCTAAGCCTCTTTGTGTACAAAAGGGACACTGAGGCCCAGAGAGGACACATAGCAAGTTCCTGTTCAGCTTCCCCCCCACCCCTTTTACTGCCACTCCACGTCTGCTGTCAGGGCAGCCAGAGCAGTGCCTTCCAAGGTCTCCCTGCTCAAGTGGCTCCCTGGAGCTAGCAGCTCCCCACCGGAGCTGGTGGTAGCCCTGGGGCGCCCCAGGAAAAGCTGTGGGTTAGGCAGACCCAGCTGTCTGAAAGGGACAGTGGATGGGGTCCACCCCACCAGGTTGTCCAGAGGATTATCAGTGTAATGTGAATGAGTGTGGCTTTTCTGGTTAAAAAGGAGAGAGGAAAACAAAAACATTTTCCCTTGGAAAACTTAAAAAAAAACACAACCAAAAAAAAAAAAAAAACCCAAAAACTTGAAAAGAACAGAAAAGTCCAAAAAAACAACAAGTCAGCAAGCGTTTTGTATAGCTCTTTTTAGTTTTTGTGTGTGTGTGTGTGTGTGTGTGTGTGTGTGTGTGTATGCAGGTCTGTAAAATGAATATTGTGACCACGCTCTAAGACAGGGTCAGATTAACTGTGTGAAATATAGGCACGGCCTGCTGCTGGGAAGGGTCTTGACCAGGCCTTTCTGAGTGCCCACACCAGCCCCTTTATGGCACCCTGAGATCAGTCAGTGGTAGTGTGTGGGTCAGCACAGAGCACTTGGGTTAAGCGCATCCTTAACCCTCTGACCTGCTGGTTCTCCTGAGGTTGTGAAGAGTTGGCGGCAGCTGTGACCCTCAGTGTCTATATGTGGGAGCACTTCCTTCTGATCCTCACCATAAGAATGTAGGGTTGGCTTATTATCCCCCCGTTTTACTGACAAGCAAACTGAGGCTCGGGAAGGGCCTGGGAGGCACTTGCCCAGTGGCTGCAGTCAGATGGAATCCCATCCCAGGCAGTGGCTCCACAGTTTGGCACTTGTCCATCCCACAGGCTATGGTGGGGGTAGAAGGAGAGAGGGCTTGCTCAGTCAGCAGGGCACTGTGTCAGAGCCCAGGGGGATGCTCTTTAGCTGGTCCTAAGGATGCTTTAGGGGATGGCAAGGGCCAGGCCACCCACTGTGGGTTTGGCTGTAATGAAGGCAGGGAGAAATTGCCACCTAGAGGCAGCCTGGGTAATGAAGCCACAGCCCTGGGGTGCACCTCCCAGGGTGGGGTCAGCTTCCCCATACTACTGTCTCTAGTGTGTGCTCCTCCACTGTGAGGAGAGGGGAAGCTGCAGGGTCTTGGGTACCCTTCAGAATAGAATCTAGGTGGCTTTTGGTACAAAAGGGCAGTCAGTAGCTACCCTACCAGGCCTCCCCTGCACACGGAACAGAGGTGTGAGGGTGTGTGAGGTGCTCCTGACTGCCAGGGAAAGTGCGAAAGCAGAGCCTGGCTGAGTCCTGGCCAGTGGTCTGTGGCCAGCGATTTGAGCTTCTCACCTGTCTGTCTGTCCTGGGACAGGGCGTGGAAGGGACACACTGGTTGGCAGGGACGAGGATTCCAGTGCCCGAGTTGCTGCTCGCCCTGGACTTGCACAGTGCCGAGCCCGCAGCGTGGAGTGGGCGGACTCTGGGAGCCCCCGAAAGCTCTACCTGACTGTACAGGTAAGCACAGGGCCTTCAGTACGAGGGGGGTGGGAGGTGAGTAGGGCAGGGTACCCCCTTAGTCCTCCGAGTTCCAGCAGCTGGTCCCCAACAGGTTCTGGGGACCTGCCTTGCATCTCTCTGCCATGTTCTCAAAGCCCGTTGGCCCGGAGCCTGCTTGCATGGGCAGTAAGTGCTGTACTGTATCTTCATGAAGATCTCACGGGAGGGGACAGAAGCTTTTGGCAACGCCCAGTCTGAGGTGTTAAAAAAAGTGGGAAGTGTGGGGCCTTCGCTGAGCTGAGCAGGGCCTCTGGAGTATTGGGAAGTGAGCTGGCCTGGGGCAGCTGTTTATTTGCACACAGGTGTGAAACTGGGGACCATGCTTTGTACAGAATTTCCTTGTTTAAAGTGAGAATCCAAAGCTGGACAGGGGCTTCACCAAAATGTGGGATTTTTTTAAAAAGGCAAATTGTACATGTATGTGTGAGAATTTGGTTGTATAAATAATACATAAAGGTAGCGCTACAGTGGTTAGTGTTTGATAAACATTGTTCCTGAATATTTGGCATTATATATCTCATATAATCCTCCTAACTGTCTCAAAACAGTTACTGTTTTATTTGAGGTTTGAGAGGAGGACATACAGGTTCAGAGAGATTAAATAACTTGTTGCTGGTCACACAGTGAGCTGGAGTCTGAGCCACTGAACACAACTAGCGTTCTGGCACATGGTATAAAGAATTTACATTGTGCATTTTTACGCAGTACCTGAAACTGAATGAATGTCCCTCGTGGTCCCCTATCTTGAGACATCTACTGTGACAGACTTGGTCATCCATTTGTCATTCCTGTGTAGCTGCTTATATTTATAGCCTCATTCTATTAGACTACTGCATAATATTTTACTTATGGTTTAACCCTTAAGTTATTATTGGGCTGGGAGTGTAGCTCAGTGGTAGAACACTTGCCTGGCATGCTTTATTTATTTTTCCCCCCTCTATCTTTTATTGTTTTTTTTTTTTTCTGGTACTGGGGATTGAACTTGGAACCTTGCACTTGCCAGGCAGGTGCTTATGCCACTGAGCTATATCCCTGGCCCTTTTGTATTATTTCTGGTTATGCTGTGCCCCTTAAATATTCATACAGCCATGGCTTTGAGTACTTTCAGCTGGAGAGATGGCTCAGTGGAATAAGTGCTTCTCTGGCAAGCACAAGGGCCTGAGTTCAATCCCCGGTTCCGCAAAAAAAAGAGTACTTTCAAGAGCATCATGGGCTCTGCCCTTTTTTTTTTTTTTTTTTGCGGAACCAGGGATTGAACTCAGGCCCCTGTGCTTGCCAGGAGAGCACTCATTCCATTGAGCCATCTCCCTGACCCCACTCTGCCCATTTTTAATCCATACATTGATTAACTAGATACTTATGAAGGACCTACTGTGCACCAGTGCTCCGCTAGGTGCAGGGAAACGGGGAAGAGGATAAACATTTGAGAGTGTGGCAGGGGTGCCAGAGGGTCATGGAATGATCATGAATGCAAAGCAGGTGAGGGCCTTAAATGCAGTGGCAGAGGATAAAATACAGGATTGTCTGGAGGTGTTGCTGAGGCCCCTAAGAAAGCCTGTGCCTGGGAGGCCCCCCCCGCCCCCCCCCCGTCCTCCCACATGCTCTTCCTAGAAGCCACATGTGCATAGAGCCTTGACAGAACCATGCACAGACCATGTATAGAGCCGTGGGCAGGAGAGGGCTGGGTAACACCCTTCCAACAAATCCTCCCCAATGTGGATGAAAGCCCAGGGCCGGGCGGTGTGCGACCCCAACCCCTGATCTGGGCAGGAGCCCAGGGCCAGTGTGCTTCAGGGGCAGGCTTGTGCTTCATGATGTTTCTCAGCCCTTCTGTGGTTCAACTGAAACTAAACCAGGTGGTGCTTTTGTCTGTAAGGTTTGAGGGAAAGCCAGTCTGGTCAGAGAACAGTTAAAGAAACCAGAGAGTTAGTTGGTGCCGTGACTTGGGCCACTGGTATTTAAATTGGGAGGCTGTGGTCAGGAATGCAAGGCCTCTAGTTGGGTGGTGCTGTGTTCCTGAGTTTTGATTATGGGGTGTCGGGCTGAAGCCCGAGGCCTGGGGTCAGCAGATATGCTGAAGCTCTCAAGCTGCAGCCAGCAGGCACCCTCCTTGCTGTTCAGGTCCCTTTGGGCCCCTGCAGGGCTCTGTCGAGTCAGGGTGTAGATGTGGGGCCAGAGTGGCCGCAGTCCCAGCAGCCCAGCCCATAGGCATAGTGACCCCCCAGCCTCCAGGACACTCAGAGGTGCTGCAGGAATCCCAGCCCTGGGCTGTCTGTCCTTCCTGCGCCGTGGCCAGGAGGCCAAAAATAGTGTAACCTTTGCTCCAGCCGACAAATGGGGACTTCCAGCTGTTGTGTTGCTGCCACGGTCAACAAACCTGCTTGTGATGATGGGTGGCAGCTGGCAAAGGGTGGGGACCAAATTAAGTCCTTGGTCATTTTCCAAAATATAAGGGGTTTGCTTCCCGGCTTAGAATCAGGAGAAGGTATAAGGGATGGAGTGGATGTCAAAGCAAGGACCCTGCTGAGCTCGCCTTAATTTTCTTCTTTGCAGTTCTTTTTATTGGATTTTTGATGATCAAAGTTTAAAAAAATAGTTTTTTTTTTTCATACAAAAATGGTAGTCATTGTTACTGTGCTCCGGGCGCTTTGCATTTTGCTTCAGTGCTGCAGTTATGCTTCACAAGCGCTAGGGGCGCTGTTACTATAATTTCTAGTTTAAGGAGGCAAATGCCGTTTTAGGGAAGGTAAGTACTGCAAGTTAGTCGCAGGCTCACCACACAGGTGACAGGTGGTCCACTCGGGCCTTGCCCAGTCCAGACCACTCTTATTTTTTTAAAATGTTGTGGATTTTTCGAGATATGGTTTCACAGTATAGTTCAACCTGGCTTTGAACTGAATAGATAGCCTGGGCTAGCCTTGAACTTGTAAAGATGCTCTTGCCTCAGCCTCTTGTGTGCTAGGATTACAGGCATGCACTATCGTGTCTGGTCAGACTATTTTTAAAACATACCATTGGTCTGTTTTGAATATGGAGAGCACAAAGGCGCACAAGCTCCTCCATGGTACCCTGTTGGTGTTAAGAAACAAACAAAATGCTGTAGATGTTATCAGGTGAAAACTTCAGGTGCCAGAGAGGTTCAGAATGAACCTCTGCTCCCTACCCCTTCCTACTCTGAAGTTTCTTTTTGTTCTTCAAAAGCTTAAATGATGCCTGCTTCTACTCTTAGTCACCGCCTGTCAGCCCCACCTCCCACATAGAACCACTGTCCACCGATTTCCTAGATTGTTTTCCCTACCTGTTTTGTGTGTACCACACTCCAATGGGATTGCACTTCCGCAGGGCTCTGCCACATGCCTGACGCCTTCCTGCGTGAGCTGCCCAGCACTGCTTTCTGCTCTTCTCACTCCCCTCCCGCCTGTCCAGTTGTCTGCTCTGTTCCTGCCTCTTTGTCTCCAAACCTCCTTGATCTGGAGGAGGGGGTCCCATGGTCCCTGGAGAGCCACATGGGGGGAAAAAAAAGAAGAAGCAAGGGGGCCCCTCCCCCGGTGAAAGGAACCCCCCAAGCCCCCGGGGCCCAATTGGAAGGGCAAGCAAGGGCCTGCAAGGGGGGCGGGGTTTGCCCTGAGATGGAGGAGCATGTGGTGGGGCTCGACAGCTGTCTGGTCCATGGGACTTGCAGGCTGCTGTCTGGTGACTTGTACCTTGGGTGCCTCTGAGGCTGGCCCAAGCTAGGCCTGAGGTCTTCAGGTGCCCAGAACCTTTCTGCTAGTCTGGTCTGGCTTCCACAGGGCAAGAGTGTATGGCACCACTGTCTTGTGGAACGTGAGCTCCACTTTCTCTTAGACCCCAGGCCTCATTGCCCCTCACCAGCACAGTGAGGGCTTGACCCCGTGGCCTGAGGGCCACGCCAGCTCTAGAGCACACAGTTCCTAGGCCCAGGGCCCTTCCTTGGTGCAACCGCTTCATGTGAGGATTCTGGTTGTGTCTTGGCAGCAGGCCCTGCAGGACAAGGGCTGCAAGAGCAAGAGTCAGGGGACGAAAGAAGACAATCTCCTGAAGAGGCAGGCGCTGGTCCCCAAGCGGGACAGAGAGGCCCCGGCAGCTGGTGGTGCCATGAATGTAGAGAAATCAGGTAAAGGAGGGCTGCCTGCTGACCCAGAACACCCTGGCAAAGCTAGTGCAGGAGGGAGGCTCTTGTGGAGTCAGAGACATCCCCATACCTGCCCCCCCCCCAGGTCACTCAGGCTGACTTTGGCCACCTTGCCTGACATAGAGCGGAACTTGGAGACTCTAGCCTGCCTCTCCCGGATCCAGGGACAGTGTTGTCTATCCCCTGCTTCTCCCTTGTGCCACCAGCCCCACCCAGTGATAAGAGGCCTCGGCCAGTGGGGGCTAGGGTTGAATTTCCCTGCTTTTTGTCTTTTCCCAGCACCTGTCAAAAGCAGGGCACAGGTGGCAGCCTCCCAGACGCCACTGCCTGCTGAGAGGCCTGGCTCCCTCCCCTCCAGCCTGGGCCCATGGGGGGTCTAAGGCTCCCAGGACAGGGATTGGATTCTCCACCTCTAGGCTGAGAGAAAAGAGCTGGAGACTCTGCTCTTCCCTGGCAGAGTCAGTTCTAGAAGATTCTACAGGCCCCCTTTGTGGTCTCACAGTCTGTGCCAGGACTCGTAGCAGCAAGGCCCAGCCCATGGAGAGCTGAGAAAGACATCCTTGAGAGCCCAAGGGGAAGCCCAGAGGAAAGGGCCTTGGTCTTCCTGTTGTTTCCCTCATCCTGTGGCTGAATGTTAATCTGTGGCTAAACTTGCTGGGGTCCAGCAAGAGTCCGCCCTTCTTTGAGGTTGTGCCAGATCTAGGTTCCAAAATTTGGGATCCGGTTGAGGTGTGGGCAGCAGGCTTGAGACGGGACATCATCCAGGTAGTGAGGTGGGACTTCCTTCTGGGGTAGCAGAGGTGCTGTGAAGAGGAAGTCCAGGTCCTATGAGGGGTGATGACTGACTCCTTGTCTGTCCACTGTGCCCCCCTGGGCCCTGAGCACTAGTCCTGTGATAGGTGGTACCTGTGAAAATGTATCTACCCGTTGGCCCTGTGGCTCGCCTCCTCCTCCCCCCCTCTTCCCTTCCTCCACCCTCCATGAGCTTCTCTAAGACCTTTTTCCTCCTTCTGGCTGCCCAGGCTTCTTCAGCTCCCAGCACCAGCCCAGTGCTGAGGTCTTCAGGAGGGGGTTCAGGCCTTTGGTGACACAGGGGGTTCAGTGTCTCAGTGCCAGGGCTCCCTGAGGCCTCATTTCAGCCTTGGGGCTATAACAGTCACCTACCCTGAGCACCCCCAGGGTTCCAGGCTCATTTCCCAAGCCTGCCTGCTGGGCTCTGCACACTGACCCCATTCACCATTCACGAAGGAGCCCAGGCAGGGCCCCTCCCACACACCTCTCAAGTGGCAGAACCAGCTCCCCAGCTGAAGGCTGGAGTCCAGTGCCTTCCCTCCCATGCGCAGCAGTCTGCTGAGGGCAGAGGGCCATGCAGGTCACATGCCCCCCACCCTGCCCCCCAATGGCAGCCCCGTGTTCGGGCCTGGAAGCATCATCTGCCCTCACTCTTTCTAGAACAGGCCGTAGAAGCCTGGACAGCTCTGTGTGACTTGCATGCTGTGTCACATGCAGGCCACACAGCCAGGGCCACTGTCCAAGCAGGGAGAGCCCAGCGCCAGCTCTCTGGAAGGAGGGAAGGCTGGCTGGGAATGCTCCTGCTCTTTAGACCTTGCGGCCTCACCCCTGCCCATCCAGCCTAGGGGACAGTTATGGAGTGGTCCTGCCCATGCCTGAGACAGCCACTCCCTCCCCTACACCTTCAGTTTCCTTGGCAGAGCCCTGAGCACCTCTCTGTCTCCTAGTCCAAGCTGGTGGCCTGTTGGGCACAGGTGTGACTGTGGCTTCAGTCAGAGTCTGGGAGCCCACAGGCCCTGGGCCAAGGCCACGTGGTCAAGAGCTGGCTTCTTTGGTCTTGGACACTTTGCAAGGAGGAGGGCCCCTCCCCACCCTTCTCTGTTCTCTGTCCTGTGTCCCCTGAGCCACTAGCTAGCTCCTGCCTGCAGAGACCATGCTCATTCTTGGTGCTCTGACAGCGAGAGCTGGCCGCTGTGACAAGATCCCAGGCCCTGTTAGCAGGTCATGGGCCTCACTTCCATATCTGTCTGTCTCTTTCTTGCTCCTGGTGACAGGACAGTGGAAGGCCATGGGAGGAGGAGGATGCAGGCCGAGGCCTTGCCCAGCACGGTATTTGTCCCTTTCTTGTGCTGGTGTGGTCCCCACGTGCAGGTGTCCCCCTGAGTGCTGGCCTGGCTGCCCCCATCCCCTGTATTGGCTTGCCTGTGTCCTGTCTGTTGCACCTGCACATACTCTGTTCGCCCCTTCTCTGTGCACAGGTGACCATTTCCTGCAGGAACAGCTGAGACCTCTGCTCTTCTCTCCTGTACTTTTGAGAGAGCTTGAAGTTGAAAGCATCACTTTCCCCAAGCACAGTGTTTCCTGGGTGAAAGCCTTTGTCTTTTTCAGTGGCAACAGCCTGTGAGCCACAGAGAGGGCTTGATCTTCAGGCCTGGGATATGTGCTTGAAGAGCAGCTGGCAAAGTCGCTCTCCTAAGCCTTGGTCCAGGCAGTTCCATCCCCTAGAAGCTGCCTGCTGAAGTCCCCCAGTGACTCATGCTGCCACTGCCTCTAGCCCTCACCTGCCCCGCACCTGCTTGCACCCCCTTCCCATCTCAGTGGTTCACCTTGCCATGCTGTCCCCTCCTTTGCCAGCCAGAACACCATAGCCCTGCTGACTGGCCACTACTTTGCTTGTAGGTGGGCGGCTCTTTGGCAGCGGGAAGTGCTCGAGCCTGTCGGGGTTGCCAAGGGCAGCCCCTGTGGTGCATAGGATGGTGGAGGCCATGTCCCAACTTCAGAAGGAGAAAGCTCAGCTTCAGGAGGAGCTGGTGGTCCTACGGGAGAGGTTGACTCTCCACGACAGTGAACAACAAGCTACCACCACCCAGCTGCAGAACCAGGTACCTGGGGAGGTAGGGATGGGCAGAGAGCACTGTCCACTGTGGAGCAGGTCAGAGGACATTGTGGGGACACCTGGACCCCACCAGGCCTATGGCATAGTAGACAATGGGGTCTCCTCTCCTGGCTGGGAAGATGCTAGATAAAGAAGTGGCCTAAATCAGAGGCTCTGGGCTTCCTTTTAGTCATCTTCTTGCTAGGGAACAGGAGTGATGTAATGTGACAGGGGCAGGAACACATCTGCTCTGAGGCCTGTACTCAGTCTACTCGTTCTTCCAGTGGCCTGGGCCAGGAAGCCCAAGAAGACAAAACCTCTGGTCAGTCACCACACACACACACACACACACACACACACACACACACACACACACGCTCACACGCACACATGCACACAGACACATGCACGTGCACACCCCAGGGTCCGAGTGCTCGACCCTCACCTCGCAGCCTGATGGCTCTTCCCAGCCAGCTGTGTCTGCCTGCCTGCCTGCTGTGTGTCTGTCTGTTCCCTGGGTTTGCTGAGCCTTTTGACTTAAGCATGGGACACGCCCAGGTGCACCTGCAACCTCCTGCCCAAAGCTTGAGTCTGGGGAAGATGGATATTTGCTGTGGCTGTGTGAACCAGGCAGACTGGCAAGGGCTCTGTGAGGTGGGCACACCTGCCAGAGGGCTGTAACCCGAGGTGGAGGGCAGGGACAGGGCTGGAGCTGAGGTCTGGCACAGCGCATTCTGAGCTGAGGGAGCAGCCTGTCCAAAGGGACTGCGGCAGCAGAAGGGCCAGGCCCCAGGACAGCCCTGGGGATGTGATGGGCACAGCGTCCATCCTGCCCAAGGCCAGAGCTCCGCAGCAGCTCTGGCTTCTCCAGTCAAGGCTTCCCTGGCACTTTTCTTTTCAATCTTAGTCTCTCTCTTCCTTTCTGAGCTTCATTGAGATAGAATTTATAGACCATAAAATCTATCCTTAAAGTTGGTCAATTCAGTGGTTTTAAGTGTGTGTATATTTTAAAAAATTAATTTGTTTTTTGGAGCTAGAATCTCACTATATATTTCAGGCTGGCCTTGAATTTACTACACAATCCAGGCAGGCCTCAAACTCGAGGTGATTATCTTAGTTACTTTTTGTTGTTGTTCTTGCAGAGACTAAATACCAGATACCTGAAGTTAAAGGAGGAAAAGTTTATGTAGTTCACAGTTTGTAGAGGTTTCAGTTTAGAGTTGGCTGACTCCAAGGCAGGGTGGCACAGCACAGGGGCATTGCAGAAGGCAAACAATGCATGGCAGGCAGAAGGCCATGAGTAACAAGAGACAAAGGACAAGCAGCAAGCAAGGGACCTATCTTATTGAATCTGCCCACCCTTAGGGAAGTCACACTCGCACCCTTAATCCCAGCATTGCACCCTTGTTCTGAGTATCACACACCCTAGATTGGCCCCCTCCCAGAAGCTATGACTGCCTGAGGCTTTTGGGGGAACCTCTCGATACTAGCCATAACATGATCATCCTGCTGCATCAGACTTTGAGGTACTAGGATTTCAGGTGTCCAGCAGTGGTCCTAAGTATATTAAGACAGTGGTTCACCTGTCACCACTGTCTAATTTTATTTTATATTTTGAGATTGGGTTTCACTACACAGTCCAAGCTGACTTGGAACTCTCTTTGTCGCCCAGGCTGACTTAAACTTATGGTAATCCTTCTGCCTCAGCCTCCCAAATGCTGAGATTACAGGTATGCGTCAGCTGTCTATCTAATTTTAAATCATTTTTATCACCCTGAAAAGACCTGATAGTGGGGGCTGGTGAGATGGCTCAGTGGTCTAAAGCACCTACTTAGAACAAGCTTAGCAAAGCACAGGGACCCTGGTTCAATCCCCCAGCACCACATGCCAGCCAGCCCCGCCCCCTGGTGGGCTGAGCTGGCCACACACACACACACACACACACACACACACACACATTAAATAAATAAATAAAATTAAAAAAAAAAAAAAGACCTGATAGCAATCAGTCCCCATTTCCTACCCCTTCAGCTCCTGGAAGCTGTTACCTGTTGTTTTTATGGATTCGCTTTTGCTAGTATTTCATATAAATTAAGTCATAAAACTTTTACAACTTTTTTTCCAGTACCGGGGAATAAACCAGGGCTTTATGTGTGCAGAACAAGCTCAGTGCTGTGAAGTTACATCCCCAGAATGTTTTGAAATTTTTATTTTGAGAAAGAGTCTTGCCAAGTTGCTCAAATTGCCTTTGAACTTTTGTTCCTCCTGCCTCAGCCTCCCGCACCCAGTGTGCACCACAATTCTTGGCTAAACAAGTTTTTAAAAATGTTTCTCCTTTAATTGTCAAGATCTGCTTTGTTGTCTCTGAGCCCTAGCTCGTAGCCCCCTTGGGAGAGCCCCAATGCAGCCTGTTCCCGAGATGGCATGGGAGGACTGAATGGTCCCCGATCTTTATTCAGAGTGTGTCTATAGACTTCCTGACTGTGGACTCTGGAAGTTTCTTGAGGGGAACTTTCTGTGAAGCTTTTTTTTTTGAACTTTATTGGGAAGAACTTTCCGTGAAGTCCCAGTCTTGGTGCAGCTCTCTGGAGGGTCTGACCCTGTGGGAACGTGGCCAGCCACCTGGGCCTGGGGCCAGCCTCAAACCTTGACTTTGGCATCACCATTGGCTATGTGGGGGACTAGTTTCCTACCATGCTATACCTCAGTTTCCTCATCTGTAGAATGGTTTTAATAACAATTTATGGATACAGTGATTTTCAGCAGGTTGTCATTGTTGCCTCTATCACCTGGAAGTTTGGGATTTAGAATTCTGGGAGCTGAGTTCTAGTCCCATCTGTGCCCCTCACCGCTGTAGGAAGTCATCCCTATGACCTTCTGTTCTTCATTGCAAACTGGGGTAACAGCATGACTCTGTGGTCATTACATGGGTCCATTGTGAGAGTGGACAGAAAAATGGATGGCAGACCGTAAAGCACAGTGCCTTGGGGCTGTCACACCTGTGAGCTCGGTCTTCCACTGGCAAGCTGTAGTCTGACTTGACTCTGACTTCCCTGGAGGGCCCACATGCTGCTTTCTAAGGAAAGCCTGCCATGAGGTATACTTGACCCATTTCTCCAAGGCCTGGTCCCCAGCTTTACCAGGCCCTAGTTTCAGTCCGGGATCCAGCACTTAGGGCCAGGTGACCTCAGATGGTCACCTAACCAAGGCCTGCTCCCTCTTGGCACCTCAACCTTCCCAGTGAGGACAATGATAACGCCCTTCCTTGTTTGGGGCTCCTCAGTGGGGATCTCACGTGGTCCCTTTCCTCAGCAAAGCTGGCTGAGTGGATGGGGCTGCTGCTGTCCCTGTTTGAGGCTGGGCTTGTTGGAACTGTCCAGGGCCCTCATGCAAAATGTCACATTGGAGGGCTATGACACTGAGAGTACGGGACAAGGGCACAAGAGTTCCAGTTTCTCCTCATGCTCACTGACACGTATTATTCTAGGAGCTGTCCTAGTGGATGTGAAGTGGCTGTGCCTTTGGCGTGTCCCCAGTGGCTAGCGAGGATGAGTGTCTGTCTGGAGAAATGTCTCCCTAAGTTCTCTGCTCATTCTTTTTAAAAAAATATTTATTTATTTGATACAGGGTTTCACTACACAGCCTGGACTCATAGTGATCCTCCTGTCTCAGCCTCCCCAGTGCTAGGATTATGGGCATGCACCACCATGCCCAGTTTCAGGGCCGGCAGGGCATGAAGTACCTGGGACAGAATTTGGGTCCTTGCACTTGCCAGGCAGGTACCTGACCGCCGAGCTATCTCCCCAGCTCATCTCTGTTCATTCTTTCATCAGGATTTTGTGGTTGGAGCAGTTCTTTTTAAAAATTTTTTATTTTTAGGACAGGGTCAACAGGGTCTACAGGGTCTCACTGTGTAGATCAGACTCATAGTGATCCTCCTGTGAAAGGTGTGCGCCACCAAGCCCAGTCTCAGTTGCTGTCTCAGCGCGCCCCACGGGTATGGCCAGCACGGCAGGCCTGGGGATCGAACTGGAACAGTTCTTACAGATGCTGGATAATTAACCCTTATCAGATAGAGGATTTGCCCATTTTTTCTCCCATTCCATAGCTTGTCTCCATCCTAATGCTGTCTTCAGTGCACGAAAGTTTTGCATTTTTGTGAAGACCCATTGTCTGCCTTTGGTTTTATTGCTTATGGTTTGGGATCATAGCTAAGAAATCATTGCCAAAGTCAGTATCATGAAAATTTTCCCCTGTATTTTCTTCTGTGAGCTTTGTAGTTTTATCTCTTGTATTTAGGTCTTTGATCAATTCTGTGTTAATTTCTGTCTGTGGAATGAGGTGAAAGTCCAACTTCATTCTTTTGCATGTAGGTAACCAGTTTCCCAGCATTATTTGTTGAAAAGATTATCCTTTACTTCCTAAATAGTCTTGACACCCTTAACAGAAATCACTTGAGCTGGATGTGCCGGCACACCACGCCTGTGACTCCTGAGGCTGAGGCAGGAGGAGGGTCACTGTGAGTTTGAGGCTGGCCTGAGCTATGAAATGAGTTCAAGGCCAGCCTGAACTGCAGAGAAACCCTGTCTCAAAAAGATTAAGAAGCAAAAAAAAAAAAAAAAAAATTTTTTTTTTTCTGTGTTTGAGCACAGGCATGAGTTTATACCTAGGCTCTCCATTCCCTTCCATTGTTTTAGGTCTGTTTTTAGGCCGCACTGCACTGATTTGACTACTGAAGTAGTGTAAGCTTTAAAATCAAGAAATGTGAGATTTCTGCTTTCATTGTTCTTTCTCAAAATTGCTTTTTCTCTTTGGTTTCCCTTGAGATGCCGCATGAATTTTAGTACAAATCTAAATATCTTCAAAAAATTCTGGGACTCTGCTAGGGATTGCATTGTATCTGTAGGTTGCTTTGAGTATTATTGATATCTTAAGTTGAGTCTTCCCATCAGTGGACGGGGGATGCTTTTCCATTTATTGATCTCTGCTTTAATCTTTTCGGGCATCATTTTGTTGTTTTTAGTTTAGAAGTCTTTCTCTTCCTGGTTAAATTTATCCCCAGGTATTGTATTCTTTCTCATGCTATTATAAATGTAATTATTTTCTTATTTTCCCTTTTGGGTTGTTTATTGTAAGTTACAGAAATGCAGCTGACTTAGATATGCTATATTTGGTCATTAGTTCTACTTGGGCTAATATTTTAATCAAATTCATTGCTTGGGGCTGGGGAGATGGCTCAGTAGGATAAGTGCTTCCCTGGCAAGTGCAAGGGTCTGAGTTCAATCCCCAGTTCCGTGAGAAAAAACAAAAAAACAAAAACAAAAAACCAAATTCATTGCTTATATTTAAATCTTAGTTTTCATAAAAATCTAGGCATCATTTTTGTGATTAAAAATGGAAAGATGGGGCCAGGGAGATAGCTCAGTAGAATTAAGAGCTTGCCTGGCAAGTGCAAGGTCCTGAGTTCAATCCCTGGTACCACCAAACAAAACAAAACAAAGAACAACAACAACAAAAAGGGAAGATGCAGCCCCTCTGGGAAGAGTCCAAGCACGCGTCCTCCGGGGCCGCTCTGCCCAGCAGCCTCCTGCCCCCACTCTTAGCAGCCTGATGCTCGGACCCTGCTCCGCCTGCCCTTGTTTATCCAGCACTCATCCTCCTGTGTTTACTGAGCACCTGGCATGTGCCAGGCACTGCGAGCACAGTGCTGGGCACCGCAGCCAGAAGTCTCCACCTCCACAGACCTTTCATTCTAGAACAGAGTGAAAACCCCTAATCCCAAACTCCAAAATGCAGAATGCCCTCAAATCGGAAACTGTGGATTAATATCATGCCACAAGTCTGATGGCTCAGTGTGTACAAACTTTATTTTATTTCAGAGAGTATGTAGTGCTGGGGATATAGTTCAGTGGCATAAGCACCTACCTGGCAAGTGCAAGGTTCTAGGTTTGATCCCCGGTACACACACACACACACACACACATACACACATACACACACACACACATCATCATCATCATCATCATCATCCTCATCCTCATCCTCATCATCATCATTGTCATCTTTATGTTTGCGCTTTGTGGTAGATGTCTGTAAGCCTAACGACTTAGGAGGCTGAGGCAGGAGGATCACAAGTTCATAATGTAGCAAGACTCTGTATAAAAATAAAATTGAAAATGAGGTAGAAATGGAGCTCATGCTCAAGTGCTTGCTTAGTATGCATGAGACTCTCGTTTGATCCCCAGGACTGCAGGAGAGCAGTCTTCAGGCTATGTATGTAAAGGTGTAAATGAATTTTGTGTTTAGACTTGGGGTCTCATCCCCAGGATATTACTTACATGCAAATGTTCCAAAATCTAAAAAAGCCTAAAATCAACATAGTCTGGTCCAAAGCATGTAGAGTAAGGAGTATTCAACTTGTCACTGCATACCTGGGCTGAGCTGTGCTGTGATGGTCACCTCTTCTCTCTCATATCCTCCTAAGAGCACCTCAGTGAGGTTACCTCTTACACAGATGATGAGACGGAAAGGTACAAGAGGTCAGTAGGCTTGTCCAAGGTGGGTAAGGTGAGCTATGGCGCAGAACCCAGGCAGCCTGGCTTGGGAATCTGTGCAACTGCTGTTCTGGCCACCCCTCCTCATCCTCTACCCCTATGGTGGAGAGGCTTGATTGTGAGTATTTGACAGTGGAGACAGCTGTACAGACAGGCTACACAGGCCTGGCCACAGTGGTCCCATAGATGGCCAGGACCTGGCCTCCTGGGCAGGGGGTGTTGGTGCAGGATGGGAGACAGCTATCCAAGTGGTGCTCCATGACTGTTTCCTTGAGGCCTTTCTAGCTCAGCAGTGCTGGAGGAGGAGGAGCCCATTTTGCCCAGAAGGTGGCTGACACGAGCAGCCCAGGGCAGCCCAGTGCGGTGGGTGGCAAGGTGGTAATTAGCAGGTTGTCTCAGTGAAAAAGCCACCTTGGGAGCAGACAGCTGAGAAAACACAGACCCAGCAGGCAGCCCCACCTGCAGAGCTGTTCTACCTGATGTGCAAATGCAGGTTTGTGTGGGGTCAGCAGACAGGCCCTGCTCTCTGCAGGCCACGCCCTCTACCCGACTCAGTTTCTCTGGTTGGTGAAGGGCTTGGGCCAGGGAGGAGTGTTGCCCCCGCCCCGCTCTGGCTGACTTCTATGCCACGCTGGGACCATCTCCTTGGCCTGGGCAGGAGGCTACATTCCCTGGAGATCCCAGACCTGCCTGCCCTGCCTTCCAGTTCTGGAAGAAGCTGGCATTGTCCCCCCAGCCTCCAAAGCTGGCCACATGTGGGTTGGGGCAGGGGTCCCTCTGCTGGGCAGTGCCCTGAATGGTGCCCATTAGGGCCCTAGAGTGGTTATCTGGCCTGACAGGGCTGTGGCCACTTTAGCCAGGGTGCCCTGTGGGTTTGATCTGCTACATTTCAGCTGGGTCCCCTGTTCTGCTGCCTGCTGCCTGAGGCAAGCTGGGCAGCGGCTTAGTGTGTGGTGTCTCTTGCAGCTCCTACTCAACCCCCTCTATCTCCTGCCCTTCAAAGCCAACTCTGGGGTGGCCCTACAGATTCTGCAGATACAGGCACCCATGTTCCTTTGTGATGCCAAAAGGGACCTGGAACCCCGCGTTGAGCAGGGAATGGGGTGTCTTAGTTCCCAGAAGTCACTGACTGCCCAGTTCTGCTGCCTCCCCAGGTGCGTGCGGATAGTGGGCCTGAGAACACCGAGGGGTGAGGTGGCAGGCAGGCTGGCGAGGGAAGAGGCTGAGCTTTTTGGGGAGGTGGTATGAGAGGATTGTACTCGTTTTGAGACCTAGACATTGCTGAAAAGCACATGGCATTTGTCAGCTGTGAAACCACAACCCAGAGCCCCTCTTTTGTATTGCACACAGATATTTTTCCTTTGACTTAGTATGCTGATGAACTGCGATGGGACCTAGGTGGCGGAGGGGTGTGGGAAGGGAGGAGAGTTGGGGAAGGGGCTACCACAAACCCTTTGATCAGAGGTGTTGGACACAAGTCCTCTTTGGACTTGTAGCAGGCAGCAGAGCAGAAGACACAGCTGAGAGGTGGCACTTGCCCCTTCCGGCTTTACACTAGGGATATGTAAGCCTGACATAATGACTGCGTAGTCCTGCGTGTAGTAGGGACATGCACCCACTGTCATTTACCCTGCTCCCCTGACAATGGGTTCAGAGTACCCCAATTTTATGGCTAAAGAATGTAAGGCTATGTCATGTGAACCACCCCTCACTCAGCTGTGGGGCTGGCGGCCCGAGTACTCCTCCCCTCAGGCTCTCAGCCTGACAGGGAGCTGGGTGGGGGTGGTGCACACCGTAATCCCAGCTCTCGAGAAGTTGAGGCAGGATGATTGTGGAGTTCATGGCCACCCTGGAATATATAGCGAGTCCTTGTCTAAAAAACAAACAAAAACTCAGCCCAGCAGGGGCATTGCTAGTAGGCAGAAAGGTGGCACGAGTGTTGTTGCCCTGCTTAGTCCATGGCCCAATGCAGAGCTTGACGTGATGACAGAGGTGACCTAATTGGCCTTGTGCAGCCCCCCCGCTGGGCCCTATGTCCTGGGCACCCCACAGTCCTGGCACCTCTCGCCCATTCTGGGGAGTGAGTGGACCCCGTGGTACTCTTCTAACCTCCATGCAGAAGCAGAGGCCTGAGTAGTTCAGCCCCAGCCTCTGGGGCCCCAGGGCACAGTGACTGCCAAGACCAAGCGCTACCCTGATTTTTCTGATGACATCTCAGCCATATGAAGTGGGGAGATTTTCTCCTCCCTCAAGTCACCTAAGCATCTGGCCTCTCCTGCAAGACAGTTTGTTGATTCTGGACATGTGTTCATCTGATCAGGGCCACGGGAGCACTGCATGATGGCCTCCTTGAGTGGCACTTGGCCACCTGGTCCTGAACAGCCCCTTCCCAGCTTTACCTGTAGGCCATGGAGATTGTCACCTGCCCCTTAATAATGAGGGCTCAGTGCCTGCTTGGCCCCCTACACCACTGGAGTACATGTGACTCGTGGGTCTTTTCCAAAGTGATAATGCTCCTTACCGTGAGTGCTGTAGAATCCTGGACAAACTCTGGTGGATATGGCTGTGGATGCCTGGTCTGCCTGGATTATTTTCTGAGGAGAGGACAGGTTCCCTGGGTGGGCTGCTGTGGGCTAGTGGAGAGCTCCTTTGAAGGGTCACTGTCCTGGGGTCTTGCTCTTGGCCTCTGGGCACCCTTGCTTACATGGGGTGCACCCCTTCTCTCTCAGAGCCTCGGCAGATTGGGAGTAGGGGTGGACACAGGTCCCTAATGTGCTCTGGCTGTGGTGGGTAAACCCAGCTTGGTAGGCTGATGCCAGAAACCAAAGTGGAAAGTTCTGGAGGCTGGGCAAGGACAGATCCAGGGCTCTTGGGATCCAGAGCTTATTATGTATGTGTATGATACTAGGGATGGAACCCACACACTGGGCAAGCACTCGACTGCTGATCTACATCCCCAGCCTGGGCCTGGAGTTTATACAATCTGAGTTTTTTCAAGGAAAAATAAGATTATAGATAGGAAGGCAGGTCCAGGGCCTTGGAGTGGCTCAGGTTTGCCTGAGAGGTGCCTTGGTGGTCCAAGGCATGTAGTAAGGGAGGAAGAGCCTAGCCTGGCCAGGCCCCACAGTGGATGGGAGAGGGTGCTTCAGGGTGTCAAGAACAGTCCAGCCTCCCACCACTGGGAGTCCCATGCCTGGTGTTTGAGTGCCAGAAGACTTGAGGCCAGAGGGCCAGAGGGCCCAGGGCAAACCTCATCAGTTCTCTGAGACCCAGTGCCAGAGGTCTGGGTGTGGCTGGAGGTGAGGATTGGCCTCACTGTGGCTCTGGCTCTGTGCTGACAGGTGGAAAACCTCAAGGAGAAGCTCATCAGCCAGAGCCAGGAAGTGAGCCGACTGCAGTCAGAGCTGGTGAGGCCCCACCTGCTTTCCTGGGGTGAGGGTGGGGGCGGGGACCCCTCTGTCCAGCAGTGCAGCCCCATCTCCCAGCCCACCCAAGCAGATGCCGCCCTACCTCAAGCCCTGCCAGTCCCCTCAGAGTAGCTGCAGCTCCCGAGGGGAGGGGCTGATCTTTCTGGCTGACGTAGAATAGGAGTGTGAACTCTCCATCAGTGTGACTTCTTGTGACTTTCACACTGGGGAAATAGAGCGAGGGGGCGGGGCAGCCAGGGAGTGCTGAGCTTCCCTTCAGCTCTCTTCTGTGTCTCTTCGTCCTCTTTGAACCCTGCTCTTCTCTTCCCCCCTCTCATGCTGTTCTACTTTCTTTCCCCCCCTGTGTTGCTTCTCGCCTCTACCCCCTTGCACACTGTTGCTCCCCGGTGGTTGTCCCCTGCCCGCCCTTGCCACATGCCCCCCCTGTGCCCTGGCTGTCTGCAGGGAGGCACCGACTTGGAGAAGCACCGGGACCTGCTGATGGTGGAGAACGAGCGACTGAGGCAGGAACTGCAGTGCTGTGAGGCAGAGCTACAGGCACTGCGGGCCCAGCCGGCAGCCACACCCTGCCAGGGCTGCGAGCACGTCCAGGTGAGCTGTGGGCCTGGGGAAGAAGGGGCTCCCACTCTGCACAGCTGCCCGGGCTGCTCACAGACCCTTATCCCTCTGTCCTCGTGCTCCCTGACTGCCTGCAGGAGAGCACCCAGCTCCGAGACAAAGTGTCCCAGCTGCAGATGGAGGTGTTGGAGAACAAAGGAATGCTGTCAGAGCTGAACCTGGAGGTGCAGCAGAAGACAGACCGGCTGGCCGAGGTGGAGCTGCGGCTCAAGGACTGCTTGGCTGAGAAGGCACAGGAAGAAGAGCGGCTCAGCCGGCGCCTGCGCAACAGCCACGAGACCATTGCCAGCCTGCAGGCCCAGTCTCCGCCTGTCAAGGTGAGCCGCCCACCAAGGCAGGGCTTGCACAGAGAGAGGCTTCTCCTGGCAGATGCATGAATTCCTCAGTTGTGTCCTCAGCATTGCTCCTCTCGGGGGTGCAGCCCAGGCTCAGGGGAGTATCCTGCTGTAAGTGCATGAGGTACCTGGGGAGGGGGGGGGGTGTCAGGGTAGATGCAGTGCAGCTTCTACAGTGTGCCTTCATCTTACCTAGTCTGCCCAGACTAGGCTCTCAGTGGTCTTCTTGATGGGTAAACAGATCCCAGCAGTCTGCAAAGCCTGGGCCTTGTAACTCCTGGGGCTCTTAGTGGGAGTCCCAGAGTCCCCCTCCTGGGTCCAGTCATATCTGCTGTGCCTCCACATACCCATCCTTCCCTTCCCTTGCAGTACGTCATCAAGACAGTGGAGGTGGACTCGTCCAAGACCAAGCAAGCCCTCAATGAGTCCCAGGCCCGGAACCAGCACCTGCAGGAGCAGGTGGCCATGCAGCGGCAGGTGCTGAAGGAGATGGAACAGCAGCTTGAGAGCTCAAATCAGCTGACCACGCAGCTCCGGTCACAGGTGTGTAGGCCATCTGTGATGCCCATTGGGTGGGGACACCAGAGGCCAGGCCTTTAGTATATCTTTTGGTTAAGAATTCTGGGGCCCCAGGTCGGGAGTCTAGTCCCTCCTCTGCTGCTCACCTGGCCAAGAGCAAGTTTTAACCAAGTCTGCATTGGCCACCTATAATGCAATCTAGTCACAGAACCCTCTTCACAGTGGAGACTCCAGAATAGGTCACAAGAGGTTCTCTGCCTGGGCTCAGCACCCAGGTGTGCTCATGTGCAAAGCTGCTTCTCGGCTGTATAACAAATGCTTCCTGAGCTCCCCGGGGGTCACATGGCTTATGGTATGTGCTTGGGACCAGGTTGGTGCTGGAGCCAACATAGGGAGGTGGTAGCTGCACAGCATTCCCAGTCCCCTGTCGGGTAGAGGCCATGCTACTCTTCTCTCCAACGTGTGTGTTCAGTGTGTGCGCGCTTTTGGGCAAAGGCTGGGGCCTCCCTCCCAGAACCTGCCCGCTGTATCCTATGTCTTCTCCTGGCCTCGCCAGATCTCCATGTATGAGACAGAGCTAGAGCGGGCCCACGGGAAGATGCTGGAGGAGATGCAGTCCATGGAGGAGGACAAGAACCGGGCCATCGAGGAGGCCTTTGCCAGAGCACAGGTGGAGATGAAGGCCGTGCATGAGAACCTGGCAGGTGAGCCTACTGCCTGGGCCCCACCTGCTCCTGCCCAGCCTCATATATTGTTTACCTCATACCCTTTGTGTTCCCATAGGGGTCCGGACAAACCTGTTAACGCTACAGCCGGCACTGCGGACCCTCACCAATGACTACAATGGGCTCAAGAGGCAGGTGCGCAGCTTTCCCCTGCTGCTGCAGGAGGCCCTCCAGAGCGTCAAGGCTGAGGTGAGCGAAGGAAGCCAGGGCAGGCTGGGGGAGACCCAGAACCTTGGCAGACCAAGCGTGCACCCAGGGCTCTCATCCAAAGCTCAGAGCCCCTAGGCAGGCCCTCTACCTCCGTGCGCCCTTGCAGGCCCTGTTTGAACATAGATGGGTAGACTGGTCAGGCAGGTTTGGGGGTATTTGTCCTACTGTGATTGTTTAAAGCAAACATGTTACATGTATCTCAAACCAGCTGCACATATTCTTATATCTGCTATGTTTAGTTTGTATGCGGGGGTGGGGGTGGAGGTGGTGAGGACGGAACCCAGGCTCCTGAAATTCGTATGACAGCCATACAGAGACTAATATGTTTTGGGAAGAGAAAGTAGTTCTTCAAAAAATGTTGTTAGGGCTGGGAGTGTAGCTCAGTGATACAGTACTTACATAGTATGTATGAGCTCTGGGTTCCATCCCTGGCAGAAGGAAAAAAGAGAAAAAGTGCATAATGCACAGAAGGCCACAAGGAGAGGTCAGCCTCTGCGGGGTGGGCACAGAAAGGAACAGGCTCTCCATTACCCTCTCCAGAGTGCTCTGAGCATCTTATACCCACTGCTGTCTATGGACAAGCACTTAATCCCCCCCCTTTTTTTTTTTGGCGGAACCAGGGATTGAACTCAGGCCCTTGCACTTGCCAGGCAAGCGCTTATTCTACTGAGCCATCTCCCTGGCCCCTTAATTCCCCTTTTACCCAACAAAGCAGGCATGCTGGATAGATGGTTCCGTATCTTGGTTTTTTCGTTCATGCATTGCAACTTGGAGATCCTTACCTCCTGCCTCCTGCGGACTCCTGAGTTACATGATGTTATTGCCTCAATGTACAGATAAGAACACTGAGGCTCGGGGCCAGGGAGATGGCTCAGTAGAATAAGCATTTGCCTGGCAAGAACAAGGTCCTGAGTTCAATCCCTGGTACCGAGGGAAAAAGAAAAAAAACAGTCTCAAAGACATTGAGGTAGTTTGCTCAGGTCCCCAGCTACTGCTGAATCCTGGAGTCAGGTGATAGTGCCAGAAGTGAAGGCAAGGTCCTGGATCTGTGTACTCATGGGGTGGCTTGGGCTATTGGCTTAGCTTCTGTTGGGTTCAGTTTCTTCATCTGTAAAATGGGGACAGTACTCAGAAGTGTTCTTGAGGGGAGCTGACCTATGGGGTGGGCAGTGGGTCAGGTGGAGCCAACCTGGTAGCAGTGCATGTGCCCCACCAGATTGGCCAGGCCATTGAGGAAGTCAACACCAACAACCAGGAGCTGCTGCGCAAGTACCGCCGGGAGCTGCAGCTGCGCAAGAAGTGCCACAACGAACTCGTGCGGCTGAAAGGTGACTGTAGTGGGCTGGGCTGGGCACCAGGAAAGGGTTTTCTACCAGCTGAGCAGTCGTCCTTGGAACAGTGCCCTGCCACCAAGAAGGTGTCATTGATGGGGGCACAGAGAAGGCAGGGAACGTGCTCACAGCCCCAGAGCTAGAAAATTGTCCACACTGGACTTGCACTTGGACCTGCCCAGCTCAGAGGCTCCATGTTCTTGGCAGGTTGCTCCTGGGCTGTGTGTGACCGAGAGGTGGGGTGGCAGCTAGAATGCAGCCTGTTCTGACCTGGGCTTGGTCAGACTTGAGATTTCATGTTTTGTTTTGTTTTTTTTTGTTTGTTTGTTTGTTTTGTAAGGCTGGGGATTGAACTCAGGCCCTTGTGCTTGCCAGGGAAGCGCTTATTCAACTGAGCTATTTCCCCAGCCCCCAATTTCATGGTTTGATGCATCAAGCTCTTGCTCTGGGCCAGGTGCGAGGCCAGACACTGGGCATTAGGCTGTGGCCCCACAGACTGTCCTGTGCCTCAGTGTGCTCACTTCAGCTAGGAGAACAGGCATGGTCACCATTCTCCCAATATACCCTGTTACCAGGGCAGGGAGGGGACCTGGGAACCCCTGAGGACTTCCTGAGGAGGTGGCATCAGAGCCAAGACCTGGCGCATGAGCTGGAGTGGATGGCAGAGGGAGGGCCATGCTGGCTGGCACTGGAGGGCAGGAGGGTTTCCCTTTTATTCCAGGGGCACAGGGATCCCATGAGTGGCAGGAGGCAAAACGGTAGCATGGCACCCTGTGGCTGTGCCCTTTAGACATGCTGGCAGGCATCCATCCGCACCTGGTCTTGTTTGCCCATCGGGTGCCCAAGCCCTGTCCCGGAACTTATGCTGTCCTTTCAGCATGGTAGAACAAGTCCCTTGGTTCATAAAGCCCAAGCAAACAGAGGTCCAAAGAGGAAGAGCGTCTACTTTGGTGTCTCACTAAGACCGCGTGCAGTGCCTGGGCCACAGCTCACCTTGTCTCCCCATCTCCAAAGCAAAACTCCTACTCTCAGCTGTTTTACTCAGGAAGAAAGTGTACTAAGTAAATTCACACTACAGTGTGCATCACTAATAACAGCTCTGTGGGTCACCTTGCCTTGTGAGGCTTAGAAGGGACGGGACTCCTAGACTACTGGGAGACCAGAGTTGAAGCTGTTGGGTCTCAACGTAGCCGGGGCCCATCTCTCCATCCCCACCCAATCCAGGAAATATCCGAGTGATTGCTCGAGTTCGGCCCATCACCAAAGAGGATGGGGAAGGGCCCAAGGCGGCCAGTGTTGTGACCTTCGATCCCGATGATGACGCTGTCATTCACCTGCTACACAAGGGCAAGCCTGTGTCCTTTGAACTGGACAAGGTCTTCTCCCCGGGAGCCTCACAACAGGATGTGAGTGCAGCCATGGGAAGAAATAGCTGAGGGGAAGGGGTTGGCTGGGCAGACAGGCCAGGGATGGGGACAACATGGAAAAGTGTGGCCTTCTGTCCTTCCCACTGGGAGAGGGGAAAGGAGAGGGTGGGTCAGGGTGAAGGACCTCACACAGCTGTCTCAGAAAGGGGTGGCTGTGCCAGGTCCACCTCACCAGAATCGTGCCCTCCCCACATGCACGGCCTCAGACAGGACTGCCCCCGCCAGCTGTACCACAGTCCTTGCTAGGACTCCTCTACACCTGGCCTAGTGTCAGGTCCTCAGCTTTTCTCATTTCTCGCCTGCTTGCACCCTCCCGTTCCCATGCCCAGTCCTGCATTGCCTTCTCAGTCCACCGGCAGGCAGACTCAGGCCAGAAGAGGTGCCAGGCACATGCCTGCTCTGCCCTCTTTCTGCTAAGCCTTCAAGAATAGAGATGAGGACGAGGGTGCAGGGAGCACAGGCTGTGCTGTCACTGCAAGGTGCAGGGCAACAACTCAACAAACACGATGTGCAACAGTGAGGTGTTGGCTTTGGGACCCTGTGCCATGTTCCAGTGAAGGGAATGTGGGTGGGGCAGGTAGCTGGGCTCAGGGTTTGTGGGGTCCCTGGAGTCCCCTCACCCCCCACTTCGTGTTCCCCACCAGGTGTTCCAGGAAGTGCAGGCCCTGATCACCTCCTGCATCGACGGCTTCAATGTCTGCATCTTTGCCTACGGCCAGACGGGTGCTGGCAAGACATACACAATGGAGGTGGGTGCCCCGATGGGTCAGAGGTTCCAGAGTGAAGCCACCCATTCCCCTGTTGCTAGGGCATCCCCTGTGTGTCTTGGGGTTCTGCATGGCACATGCTCTGGGAGCAGAGGCTGTGGATATTCTGTGGTCCCTTCAGCATTGGTCTGATCAGGGACACCTTGTTTGAGAGCACCGCAGTGGACTCTACAGGGCTGGGGTTAGGGGCAAGCATGCCAAGCAGCAGCCAGTCAGGGGGCCCTTGGCCTCAGGCCAGACCACAGCAGGACATGATGGCACTTCTCAGGATGGAGCTATCATGCCTGTCATATAAAGCTCCCTCCTTTGTGGCTGTCCCCCACTGGGCCCAGACCACCAGGTTGAATGAGGTGGGGTGCTGGCCCCAGAAAATGCCAGGGCAGTGGTAGAGACTGGCCACGTAATGTGTGTTGACTTTTTGAGAATAACAAGAATAATTCTCAGCATAATTGAGAATGACTATTGAAAGGAAGGAAGATTCATGTTGGCCCAGTTTCAGCCCATTGGCAGGTGGCTGGCTCCACTGGTTGAGGCCTTCAAAGAGGCAGAAACATCACGACAGAGAGAAGCTGCTCACTTCATGCAGCCAGGAGGCAGAGAGCCAGCAAGGACCAGGGTGAGGGACCAGCCCAGACCTGGAGGCTGCATCCCTGTGGCCCACTGCCCTCACTAGGCTGCACCGCCCCGTAATGCCACTGAAGTAAGGCCTCAGTGGATTATCCACTGGTGGGGTAACAGCCCTCGTCATCCGATCCCCTCTAGAGGCCCTGTCTCTGCACACGGCCGCAAACCCTCAGTGCACGATCTTTGGGGCACATGCATTGTTAAAGCATAAAGTGGGGAGCCCAGCTCGTAGGATAGGCCCATGTCTCCCTGCTTCAGCCAGCCCCTTCATGCGGTACAGTGGGAACAGCGCCAGGGCAAGGACTGGAGGTGTTGAGATGATGCCTCGTCTCCACTGTGGAGAGAGAAAAATGGGAAGCCGGCTCTGGGAGCAATTTCCCTGTTCCTCAGGGGAGCCAGCTTCTGCTGTCTGGGGAGGTGGCTTCTGACAGCCACAAGCTGAGGTCAGGAGGTACATTTGAGGCCTGGTTGGAGGCCTCTCAGCAGGAATGGGGGTGGGGGCTGAGGACCACATTTCCCAAGAGCCTCCAGGGCTCAAGCAGGGACTCCAGATTTCCTGCTGGGAAGGCCCCAGGGCCCTTGACTGCCATGCTTTGCCTGCCATCCACCACCCAAAAAGCCCTGCTCATGGCCTCCTGATGCCAGCCTCATATGGACAATGGGAGGACACTCAGTTATTCTGCTGCCTCTACCAGGGTCTAGCAGGGGGCAGGCATGTGGTCTCAGCGCCATACTAGGCCTACCACCCATTCCTTTGCTTTAAATCTTGGGCCCATCCTGGAAGGGTGCTGCTACTGTAAAAGAGGGGAAACCAAAGTTATTTGCCAGGATGTTCTGAGGGGCAGAACAGCATCAGCCCAGGAGGCTCCCCTTTGAGGGTTATGCGAGGGCTTGGGCATAGCACATGGCACACAAGTGTCTGTAGCGTCACTGGGGCCTCGTCTTCTTCCTTCCCCAGGGGACTCGCGAGAACCCAGGCATTAACCAGCGGGCCTTGCAGCTGCTCTTCTCCGAGGTGCAGGAGAAGGCGGCTGACTGGGAGTACACTATCACCGTCAGCGTAACCGAGATCTACAATGAGGTCCTCAGGTGGGTCTAGGGCACCGAAAGTGCTATCTTGGAAGCTTTACAGTCCTTGCCACAGGGCTGGAGCCACAGGCATGGGCAGTGGGGTCTTCCTGGTGGGAGCTCAGGTTCCCGATGAGGCCATGAAGGGGCCATGCCTCAAATTTGACCTGACCCAGCCCTGAGGCCCAGGTGTTCCCTGGGAGGGTCAGTCACTGAGCTGCTTGGAAGATGCGTACAGGGACCCCTTGTCCACCTGCGGGCTGCATGAGGTGGTGGTGAGTGGGCGCTGGGAAGTGGCCTGTGGGCTCAGCACTCCCATAGGACTGTGGGGGATCAGTTGGTCTCCCCATCTCCAGCTGAGTGCAGAGGAGGAGCTTAGCCTGATGGCCAAAGGTCATGTGAGGAGTAGGGGAGAATGTCCTGGGCTGGGAGGCCAGTGCAGTGCATGTGGAGACCAGAGGGAGTGATGGTCCTGTCTGCCCTCCAGGGACCTGCTGGGGACAGAGCCTCAGGAGAAGCTGGAGATCCGGCTGTGCCCAGATGGCAGTGGGCAGCTGTATGTGCCAGGGCTGACTGAGTTCCAGGTGCAGAGTGTGGAGGACATCAACAAGGTGAGGGGCTAGGAGAGCCAGACCCAGGCAGGGCTGCTCTAGAGTAGGACAGGAGTGGAATGGAGAGCCGGCTCTGCCAGGTCTGCACGTGCAGCCTCCCTTCAGCAGGGAGCTTCAGGACCGGTGACTCCTGGCTCTTGTTCTGACTTTCCGCTCTGCCTGCCACACAGGTGTTTGAGTTTGGCCACAACAACCGCACCACGGAGTTCACCAACATGAATGAACACAGCTCCCGCTCCCACGCCCTGCTCATCGTGACGGTGCGGGGCCGGGACTGCAGCACAGGCCTCTGCACTATAGGTGAGGGAGGGATGGCAGCCAGGCCTGGGACCCAGCACTGCCTGGGGCAGCCTCGACCTCCTGATGCCTTCTCTACAGGGAAGCTGAACCTCGTGGACTTGGCCGGCTCAGAGCGTGTGGGCAAGTCGGGGGCTGAGGGCAGCCGCCTGCGGGAGGCACAGCACATCAACAAGTCATTGTCAGCCCTGGGGGACGTCATTGCTGCTCTGCGCTCTCGCCAGGGCCACGTGCCCTTCCGCAACTCCAAACTCACCTACCTGCTGCAGGACTCGCTGAATGGCGACAGCAAGACGCTCATGGTGGTGCAGGTGAGTCTGGGCGCTCCTTGCCCTCTGTTGTGCAGTCGCAGGGCTTCCTGGGGCATGCAGGGAAGGGCCCTGGTCTGGGCTGCTCCAGCATCAGCCCCTGCACCCTCCCACCTGCTGCACACACAACAGGCCGCAGGCATGTCTGTGCCCTTGACCTTCCTGCCCTGTTCTGCCCTCCTGCTCCTCTCCTCTCCTCTCTACAACTCCCTCTGGGGACTGTGGCCCCTCGGTGCTGAGTTGGCAGCCAGCTGGCCTGGATGGGGTGTGACCTCCTATGTCCCCTAGGTGTCCCCTGTGGAGAAGAACTCCAGCGAAACACTGTGCTCCCTCAGGTTTGCTGAGAGGGTGCGCTCTGTGGAGCTCGGCCCTGGAGCCCGCCATACAGAGCTCAGGTCCTGGTCGAGCCAGGAGCATCTGGAGGTAGGGCATCCACTGTAGCCGTCTCAGGCCAGCCCCGGGCCAGCTCTGTGGGTCACATTATGGGGAGTGCTGTGGGGAGAGGGCACATTCTGTGGAGGAGGGGAAGAAGCTGCCCTGGGGGAGGAGCTAGAACTTGAACCAAACCCAGTAGCCCTAAGTGGTCCAAGTATGCCTCAGCCTTGGAGCACATGTGACTCATCAGTAGTCCTTGGGCTTGGCACATGAAGGGGCACAGAAGGAGCTGATTCTCCACATAGATTCTCCTTTAAATCTTACACAAACTCTGTATGGCAGGAGCATCATCATGCCCATTTTACAGATGAGGAAACCGAGTTTCAGGAGTAGAGGGACGTGCAGTATGGGGGTGGGGAGGAGCCAGGTCTGCCGTGGACCCCAGCCGATCTACCCTTCCTGCTCACAGTTGGAGCCAGCTTGCCAGACACCACAGCCATCAGCACGAGCACACTCGGCCCCTGCCTCTGGGACCTCCAGCCGTCCTGGCTCTATCCGGAGGAAGCTACAATCCTCAGGTTAGCGTGCCATACACAGTTGTCTTAGCAACTGTGTTTCCCTCACCTAAAAGGTCTTTTTCTTTCATTTTAAAAAAATCTTACAAAAGTTTGAAGCTAGTCCCACATTTCTCATACTCCCAGAAGCAGTCAGGGCAAGCAGCACTGTGTCCATTTTACAGATGGGAAAACTGGGCCCCAGGAGAGAGGTGATATGAGGTGCCAGGACAAGATTCTCAGGCTGGCTCACGCACAGGCCCTCGGGCAGGATACCTCCCTGTGCTGGGCCTGGATACAAGTGTTCTTATGGGGTGAAGGGCAGAAAGCTCAGAGCTTACTTCATGTGAGGAGTGGGCTCCCCTCTTACAAGGTCCTGGCCAGGTCTGGATTCCAGAGGGGTCGGGGGACTGGGCCCTGGTGGGACAGGATGAGCCCCCTAGTGAGATGCCTGTCACTTTGATTTCAGCCTGACGGCTGGAGCTGCAGTCTCCAGGTGAGTGTGGGGCCAGTGGTCCAGGGCTGCCTACTGCCCACCTACCACCCCTGCAGGTGAAGGGCTATGCAGGTTTAGCTGCTCAGGCAGGGCCTGTGCTTTGCCGCCTGCTGTCTGTGTGCTTCTGCTGAGCTCCTTGCTAATCTTGACCCTGCATTGCCGTGGGCCCACACAACACCGCAATGGCTGAGGACCTCTGTCTCCCCTGCAGGGAAGTTGAAGCCAGTGCCTGTGTAAGGACAAGGATGTGCCAACCTGCTGGGCCTGGAGCTGGCCCTGAGGCCTTGTGGGTCTGCTCCTGCTCCAGCATCAGGGATGGAAGCAGAGACCCTTCTGCTCTGATGCAGAGATGAGAAACTCCTTCAGAAGGAAGCACTGTCACTCAGTAGATGGCATGGGCTGGAAGGACAGGGACTACCTGCTCTGCCTGGCAGGCTCTGGGCATGGGAGCCGGCCCTCATGGGGATGGCAGGCCTTTTGCTGGACTGGCCCAGCTCCTTTCCCGAGCCTGAGGCAGGCAACCCCCTCCTAGTGCATGCCCTATGGGGCCTCCAGGGAGCACAGGAGCGCCTGGTACAGGCTTGAGCAAGTGTGCCCTGAGCCCGCAGTCCTGCAGAGGGGCATCGCACAGGGGCGTGTACATAGTGTTCCTAGGTGTACAGAGAAGCCCGGCCATCTGCCAGGGCTGGGCCGTATTTATGACTGGCAGGAGAGGCCAGTGGGCAAGCTTCCGCCCTCTCAGCAGCCTGGTACCAGGCATCCTCCTTGCCCACTGGCTTCCTTTTGCCTCCTTCCCTCTGAAATCCTATTTAAGAACTTTTGGAAGCTTAGCCATTTTTATTAAAATAAAAACCTTTTTACATAAGTATCCTTTGAGTGTTGGTCTTGGGAGCCCTGGGGCTGCACTGGGGGACAGGAGTGTTGGTCTCAGGAGCCCTGGGGGTGCGCTGGGGGAGAGACGCACTGGCTCGTCACCCATGGGTCCCCACAGCCCATCCTGAACTAGGGAACCAGGCGTCATCACTGTCCCTGCCACAGCGTAATGCTACCTTGTGTTTACAGGCATGGTTACCCTTAGGAGGTGCCTACTGTATGCCACATTATCTGTGTGTCCCATGGTGTCACCTCTATGTCACAGGTGGGAAATGAAGGCTCTGGTGGGCTGGAAGGCTTGCTGAGACACTCAAACTGTGCTGCAGCACCAGCTTTCCTTGATTACACTGGCCAGAGATGAGCTGCTGCTCTTCCTGACCCCCCAGGCCCCCAACTCTGACTGCTGTGCAGCCCCAGGAAACTGATGCAGGGGGCTCCTGGACGAACAGAAGCTGCTCGGAGCCCTCAGCAGAGGGGCTGCTGTCCTGGCTTTGCACCAGCCTGCAAGGACTGCTGAGGGTGGCAGAGATGGATGAGGGCTGCTTCCTGGGGGGCCTACTGCCTCTCCCACCCCTCTCAGAGTAAGCACACCTGTCACTCTGCTGCCCCCTCCTGGCCACATAGCCTGGCACACCAGGCCACTGGGTGAGCTGCATGGCCAGAGGATGCTGCACGACAAAACAGGGAACAGTTACAAATTTAATAAAACCTGCCTATAAATTATAGCAGCAGCCCCGGGACTGTTTGCTGCCCCAAGAAACAAGAGTTGGGTGAAGCTGGGCAGCCATTGCAGGATGCACACGGATAGGGCCTATTCTGCCACCTCCAGGATAGCCTCAGGGGCAGAAGCACAGACCCGGCAGAGGCTCCCGGGGTGGTGGGCGAACCGGGAAGATGAGGGAGGCCAGGCTGAGGGCCTCCAGGCACCCCAACCTGCGGGCCCCTCAGTCCAAAGCAGCCATGAGCAGGTGCAGCTCCCGGAAGGCACTGCCATGGCGGCCGCTGAGGCTGGACTTGCTCCTGATGAGGCCGCTGATGCTCTTGAGCTGCTTGTAGCAGAGCCGGCACTTGTGCAGCCTGTGGGCAGAGGGCCAGGGCCCCAGGAGGTTGGCAAGGCAACTGTGATCCACCCCCAGCTCTGCCCCCTGTGCCCCTTCTCAAGTAGGAAGATGGTGGTTCAGGACCCCCCAGCCATCCCAGGGCTGGGGGCACAGCCAGGCCCCGTAGAGACCCGGCCCTTGGCTATGCCAGCCAAGCCTATGTGCTGAGCCCGGACCTCAAATGAGAGGTGTTTTCTATACTGTTGGATCCTGGCCTGGCTCTCACCTCTCCTCTCGGCTGATGTCTACACCCACGGAGGGCGGGGCAGCCAGGATGTCTGTGATCAGAGGCAGGAAGCGCTGTAGGATCAGCTTCAGGGACGTGCAGCCTGTCTGGACGTAGCTTTGGGGACAGACACAGAACAAGGCATGTGCACACGCGCGCGCGCGCACACACACACACACACACACACACACACACACACACACACGGGCCTTTTTCCACTCTGACCGGCCTGGGAGCAGAAGGGCCACAATGCTTCCCAGCTACCTCCCACGGCCCTGAGGTCCCTGGCTCCCACCTAGCAGGCCTCATTCTCTACCTCTCATACTTGCTCTGTAGAAGCTTCTCGATCTGTGGCAGGATGGTGGTACACAGGTCCAGCTTCCACAGGGAGCTGGGGAGAGGCGGGTCATGGCACTGACAGGCAGCTCCGGCCCTCCTACCCCTCCCGAGCACTCGCAGCCACTTACGCTTTCTGGTTGACTATGTTCAGGAGGTCCACCACCACTGACAGGTCATTGATAGCTACAGCAGAGTCCACAGATGTCTGCAAAGAGAGCTCCATCAGGGGGGTGGGGACAGCCATGATGCAACCACAAGGCTCCCCTATCCCACATGTGGCCTCATCTCAGTTCAGCCCAACTGCAGGCAGCAGCAGGGGCTTGAGGGTGAGGGGGTGGCCAGGCCCCAGGCAGCATGGGTAGGGGAACTTGCCTTGATGTCACTTGTAGTCCACACAGCCCGTACAGTATCCAGGTTCTTGTGGCGGCTGGTGAGTACCACGCACATGGTGTCGTGGCCTTTGCGGATCTGTGACATGGCATCTTCATCCACTAGCTCTGCCTGCTGTGGGAGCTTTACAGCCTAAGGGACAGACCCAGGCACTGGCATGGGAGCAGGCAGCACAGCTCTGTCCTCACCCCATGGCTGCCACCTCACCCTTCAGGCTGAGTCCCTACTCACAGGCAGGAAGTCAGAGGCCTTTAGCCCGATGGGCTCGTTCCGGGTGGCCGGGATGATGCTGAGCTCACCCTTGGGTGCAGGCGTGGATGTGAGGACCGGGGGCTGAGCTGGGACCTCGAGCTGCAGCAGGCAGAGGTTCAGCAGGCAGCCAGCCTGGGACCTCCCCTCGCCTCCCACCACCACGGAAGGCTTTGGCCCAGGCCCAGGCCTGCAGCCCCTCTGCTTGGACATACGATTGTCACTGGGCACTGCACATCCAGGGCTGGACTGGGCTTTGCCATCTCCTTCACTGTGGCCATGTCTGGGCACAAAAGGAAGAGATCATGAGGTTAGGCCAGAAGTGGCAAGTGGGGAGAGGGCTGTGCTTGGGGAGACTCTGGGGCACCTGTTGGGGGAGGGAGCAGCAGACAATGGGGAACCCAGGGAGAACTGGGAAGGGGAGACCATCAGCAGTTGCCAGTCCTGAGAGGCAGGCAGCAGGGGTGTGGCTGTCTCCCCAGCTCTAGTTTTATTTGGGGACCCAGGAGTCTCAGAGCCATCTTGTCACTAGGAATAGTGTGTGTAGTGAGGAGTAGATGACAGATAGGACGTGGAGGAAGGACAGGCTTTTAGGAAGCCTAGCCTCAAGAGGGGGACTGAGATATTTGGTCTCATGAAGGGAAGCCAAGGGGAAGGCAGGGATGCTACGCAGAACAGGGGAGCTACCCATGTCCCTCCATCCTGAATTAGATCACCTTTGTTCCACTGTAAATCCCAAACTCCTGGGCCTCATCTCCATCGGGCTCACCGGCTGCCGCCTCTCCCCACCCCGTCTATCCCTTCCATCCCCTCTGCAGGCCCCACTGTCCTCTGTGGCCTGTGTCCCTGGGCAGACCCCCTGTAGGTGTCAGTCTACTGTAATCTTTTGCACACTCAGGTAGACACAGGCACTGTCTGCCAGGCTCACATTGGTCACTGGGACCTTGTCCAGAACACAACGGGGGAAGGAATTACAGGCAGGTGAAGGGACAAGACACTGCAGGAGCCAGCTTGGAGGCTGTACCAGGAGCGGGCAAGGCTGGGGAGACAGGGCCCCCAGAGGCCTGACTCACCGTCCTCAGGGGGTGCTGGGAAGGGCTCGCTTCTTCGGGGTGGCGTCCGACCTGCTGAGACAAATGGCACTGAATTCTTGGGGCTCCTCCTGTGAGTGAGCTAGTGATGGCGCTCCTGGCCCCAGAAGCCTCAGCCCTGCCCTCCCCAGCCCAGTACTTAGGGGGCTCCCCCCTGCTCAGGGCAAGGGCTATAGCACATGAGGGACCCTAACCTCTCCCCAGTGCTTCAATTCCTATTCTCAGTCCAGAAGCAAGGCCCAGTGAGGCCCAGAGGACAAGGGTGGAGAAGCTGTGCCCAGGTGGTGTTAGGAATGTGGCCAAGGGGACACAAAGCCACAGCACCGCTGTCCCTGGGAAGGACCCTGCTGAGAGATGTGCACAGGGCTGCAGGGTGGGGAGCAGCCTCACTGATGCTGTTCTTGGGCTGGAAGATCTCATTGTAGTCCTCAGCATTCTGGATCTCAGCCCGGGACTCGCGCTCGTCCTTGTCATCCTCACTGCTGGGGCTGCGGCGCTCACTCTCTGAGTTGTGCTTTACCCTGCAGCGAAGGCCATAGTCAGGCCCAGCCCCAACCCTGGATCCCCAAGCTCTCCAAGAGCCCCAGCACCCCACCTCTGGGGCTTGCTGCAGGTTGTGCTGGGCCGCTCATAGATGCGCCGGAGTGGGGCGCTGGGGTTGGATGGCTGCTCTGTTGGGGGCCGGCTGTCCTGCACAGGGTCCTGGGCCACTGTGCCTGTCCTAGTGACCCGAGTCAGGTCCACCACGTAAGAGGAGACGTTGCTTTGGGAGAAGGCCACACCGATCTGGGAAATGAAAGAGCTGGGGCTGAACCTATTGCTGAGGCCCAGCAGGGTCGGTGACAGGGTGGGTGTCTGAGGGGATCAGAATGGTGGATGCCTCAGCTCTCACCAGCTGGTCATTACAGATGGCCAGGTCAGCCACCTTGCCCCAGTTAACGACGACCACATCGAAGCAGCGCTCGGGCTCCCAGCCATAGACACGCAGTGAGTCCTGGCAGCCGCTGTACAGGCAGCAGCCGTCGGGGTTGAAGAGGATGCTCCTGGGCCAGGCGAGAGTGGGCTGTGGGTCCTGGGACACCCAGCCTGTTGCCACCCTGGGAAATCAGGGGAGCCCAGGACCAAGCAGCAGCAGTAGCAGGGACAGAGGAGGTCCATGCATCCCCCACAGTGCTGCCTGGAGGTAGGGTGCGGTGGCACTGAGCCTGCTCACACAGCTGTTGGTACCTGACAGGCCCTGGCTCTCCTTCGATGCAGCTCACCACCTGGAACTTCTCCAGATCCCAAAAACGGATCGTCCTGCAAAGGGAGCCTCATTGTGCCAGGAAGTCAGTGCCCACCAGGCTGCCACACAGGCCTCTGGCCTGGGCAGCCAGCTTCTCTCCAGATGCCTCTGCCCCTGGGCTGGGGCCACCAGGAATAATACAAGTAGGGCCTGACCCAGCACAGCTGCTGGGAAGGTGAGCGTGACTGAGATTGAGTCCAACTGCCCTGCCCCTAGGGTGCTGATGGCCATGACCTCCCTGTATCATGGATGCACTGGGGCCTCAGATCCTGAATTGTCCAGGAAAACATAGATCCAGGACATCAAAGCCAGGAGCCAGAGCTAGGGGAAAGATGAAGCAGGGAGCAATCGCAGTTTGGCTGGAAGTCAATTCAGCTTACATGGGTTCATTAGGCATATGATGCCTTGGGATGGAGATGGCGTGGGACAGCAGTCCCGGGGGATGTGGCCTGGGCCTCACCTGTCAGAGCTGCCAGAGGCCAGGAGGTACTCGTTGGGATGAAACTCTACCACGTTGACAGGTCCCGTGTGACCAGGGAACTCAGACATCATCTTGCCAGCAGTCAGGTCCCAGAGCTAGGGGCCGGGTGGGCAGCAGTCAGGGACCAATTTGGCACCTGGCTGTCCACTCTTTCTCTAAGCCAAGCCCAGCTCTTTGTCCACAAAGCTCCCACCCTGCACAGACTTGGGGCAGATGAGGAAGGCAAGGACTCTGAGCAGCGGACCCTGGCCCCCCCCATCCAGAGTTACCTTCACCATGTGGTCATCTGCAGCTGATGCCAACCACTTCCCATCGGGGCTGAAGCGGAGACACCGCACAGCCTGGCTGTGGCCCTGAGGAGGGAGGTCAGTACATGGAGCCCACCCGAGGAGCCTGGATGGGCAGGCCTTTCCCCAGCTCGACTAGCCCAGCCCTGACAGTGTCTTCCCAGGGAACAGGCCCAGAGGTGGCCCTAGCTGGGAGATGTCACACCGGGATTTCTCCACATGTAGCCACAGACTCTTTGGCTTATAGGACAAGGTGACTGTGATGTTTGATGGTCTTTTTTTTTTTTTTTTCAGGACCAGGGATTGAACTCAGATCCTTGCGTTTGCCAGTCAAGCGCTTATCCTACTGAGCCATCTCCCTGGCCCCAACCATGATGTTTGAGAAACATATTTCATGGCCCTTTAGGAGAATTAAATGACATATTTTAATGTCAGGGTGTGCTGGCACATGTCTGTAATCCCAGCACTTGGGAGGCTGAAGCAAGAGGATCACTGTGAGTTTGAGACCAGCCTAGGCTACAAATTGAGCTCAGGACCAGCCTGAACTACCCAGCGAGACCCTGTCTCAAAGGAAGAAAAAAGCTCTGAACTTTTCCAAAAGTAACTCACATCAGCAGAACCATATTTACTGAGTAAGACCAGTGAGCTGCCTGCGAAGTCTAGTGCAGAGCAACTGGATGACCCTGGTTACAGTTGTGGGGATGGGTAGAGCCAAGGGGTCAGAATGGGTCACCTACAGCACCCCATCCTCCTCCCGACCACAGTCCAGGTTTTACCCATGGTAGGCTGCAGGCCACACTCCACACGCCGCACATAGTCATAGACTGAGGGATCATCCTTACCCTGTACCGGAAGACACAGCCTTTTCTCCTGATGTCCCAGAGCTGTGGGGAGAGAGGTAGAGGGGCAAAGTCATAGGAGATCATGACCAGGAGCCGGGGCTAAGGGCAGAGCGCAGCTGTGGGCATTCCCAGTCTCAACAGTTACAATGACAGAGGCCTGGACACCACGCACCCCGGCTAGGCATTCTAAACCCAGTGTCTGGTGGGTGAGTGCGTGCATGTGCCCCTTCCCCAGCAGGCATGGGTGCTACCAAGTGGAATGGATGCCTCAGAGGCACCTGGAAGCTCACCTGTCAGGCAGGCTGCCACGCAGAGGGGCCACTCACCTTGATGTTTGTGTCCTGGGAACCTGAGGCCACAAACTCGCCATAGGGGTGGAAATCCAGGCTACAGATGTTGGCTTTGTGTCCCATGAGCGTGCGAAGAACTGAGAAGGCAAAAGAGCAGAGGCTGCGGCATGAGAGCAAGCGAGATGGGGCAGAAAGGCAAGGCTGCAGGGTGGGATGTGCCTGTGCCTTTCAGTAGTAACTGCATGGGAAATAAATCGGCTAGCGTTCCACCGCCATAACCAGTAGCGTTCCTGCTCTTGAGATGACAGCCATTCCTGTTTTTACACAAGTTCCCAGGAAACATGACACACTCTACACAGCTTAATTAAGCAAAGCCTCCAGGGCAGCAGTGTAGGACAACTGCACAGAGCCTAATAAGGTCCTGGCTGACTACAGGGCAAATGGTTCCACCCAAGACACTGCCTGGGAGAGGAGACAGGCAGGCAGCAAGGGAGGAAGGGGCATAGAGGAGACAGGGAGACAGGGAGAGAGGAGGAGAGATAGGGAAAGGGAAAGAGGTGTGTGTGTTGGGGAGGCTCTAGCCCTGGGAGCAGCTGTTTGGTCAACAGGAGAATTCCAGACAGGCTTTTCAGAGGTGGCAGATTCTGAGCAGACATCAGTGGGTGGAGGACAGGGAAGTGCAGGCAGGGTCAGGCATGGCTGGGTGCTCACATGGCTCTTGGGGTGACACCTATGAAGAAGGGATGTGGAGGGGGGGTGTCATAGTGAGTGGAGGAAGTAAGGATAAGACACACACAGGGAGAACATGGCCTGGGCTGGAACTGATCCGCATCTCTAACCAGAAGTCACACCTGCCACAACTCCATGGAAAATCTTTTTTTTTTTTTTTTAAATAATCTTTGCTTCAACTTTATTTATTTATTTATTTAGTGTGTGTGTGTGTGTGTGTGGCCAGCTCAGCCCACCAGGGGGCAGGGCGGGCTGGCATGTGGTGCTGGGGGATTGAACCATGGTCCCTGTGGTTTACTAAGCTTGTTCCAAGTAGGTGCTTTAGACCACTGAGCCATCTCACCAGCCCCTCCATGGAAAATCTTGCACTGTCTTAAGGCATCCTCTGGCACCACTGGTATTGATTCCCTGCATCTTGCTTTTTGAAAGATTTCTACTGCTACTGTCTGGGGGAACTTGATCAGCCCATGAGTGCTGGGGGCCAGGAGTGAGAGTCCTCAGCCACTCTGAGGTTTGAGTAAAGATGAATATTTCAGACAGTGGAGTGTTGAATCCAAGCACTGGGTAAATCAATGAAGTCTACTGTGTGGTCTCCATTCCTTGACACTGGGCTCAGCATGGAGGCCAGAAACAGCTGGGATTAGTCCTGGCTCTGCTTCCTGCTTCTGTGTGACCTTGGAAAATCACATTCTCTGAGCCTCAAGCTGGGTTATAGCCAGAACCAATAAGGAGATGAAGGGAAATGAAGTGCTCAGCATGGACCTGGCAAGCCCCAAGTGCTTGCTACGTGCAGTCACAATGACTTGCACCGCAGACCCGTCCATCCCCCATGCTGGACCTTTCTCTTCTCTTCCTCTTGCAGCACACATCTTCCTTCTCCCTCTGTGGCCTCAGTGGCAATGCGCCTCCCAGAGCTAAGGCCATCTGGCACCTCCCTTGTCCCCAGGATGTCTAGTGAGCGCTTGCAGTGTTTGACAGGCTGAGCAATGTCCCTGCATTACATCACTGAGTCCCCCCAACCATGCCAGGTGGTGGGTGAGGGCTCAGGGCATATCTGCTGGCCTGAGGCCAGAGTGGTATGCAGGGCTGGAAGCTGGACCAGCTCTGCCACTTCAGCAGCATCCTTTGTCCTTCGCTGTATGCTTTGCCTACAAGGGTGGAGTCTGTGCTGGGGCCACCAGGACAGGGTAGGAATAACGGTGCTGCTATCATCCTCATCTGCCTTAAGGCGTGAGCCCATACTCTTCTACATGGCCTCTAATGCCCCTGCAGCAGGCTGCTGGCTCCAGAGCTGGGACTATGCTCCTGCCACACCTGTCCTGTGAATGTCCAATTCATCCCTAAGCAGCTGTCTCTTCTTGCTCCATGCTGCCATGTGTTGCTAGGGGCTCCACACTGCCGTGCTGGCTAAGGAGCCTCAGGTACACACCACCCATTCCGTGCCAGCCCTAGTTTACTCACTTTGCATCCCCCAGCCAAAAGCCCAAAGTCCTGCCCTGCCCCACACAGCTGCAGGGGCTCCCACCCCTGCGTGGGCCAGCTTCCTAGGGCGCACACCTTCTTGTGGGATCTACTGGCTGGCCCGCCCTCACCCTCTGGCTGTGCTTTCGAAAGCCAGCAGGACCACATTCTTCTGGCCTGACTTCTGCCCCTGCTTTTCCAGGAGATGCCTGAACCTGGTCAGAGGACCCCAGAACTGCAGAGTGGATGGCACTCAGGTGTATCTGCTCCATGCAAGGAGCTCCCAGCTTCCCAGGCCACTCAGCCTCTGCCGAATCCTTCAGGGCTAGGCTGAGTTCAAGGCAATCAACATGATGGGTGGCTCTGAGCCTTGTCTGCACCTGGCCTTCCACTACTGTCACACCCTGGTGATGACCCTGAGGTGGTACCTCCACCTGCTGAGGGTCAGCTTCTTTTCCATCTGGGAAGCCCTCAACTCAAGGCAGCAGAGGGCAGAGTAGAGAGCCCTGGTGTGGGAGTCCTGACATTGGGATTCAGGTTCCAGGTTCTGTTTGAGGGCAGGGCTTGCCAACCGGGCTCTGCACTGGAATCTGCCGGAAGCGTACTGAATGCATGGTGCAGGGCCCACCCCACTACCACCCAGGTTCTCAGGTGCTCTGGGGCCTGCATGCCAAGCTCCTGTGCAGCAGCCACCTGGGAGCCAGTGTCCCAGAAGCCAAGGTCCTCATTTTCTATTTCTTGGCTCCCTGAGGAATCACGTTTCCCTTATGAGTGAAATCCTGTGGCCAAGGCCTGGGCTGGGGCACAGCACTCTTGCCTTCTCCCTCTGATCCTTGTTCCTCAGTGAATTGTGAATGGTCATATGCTGGGCTTCTAGTCTACACAGAGGCTTCTGGGGGTTGCCTTAAAGCCACGCTGGCCACTCTCTCATCCCGGGCATGTTTCTGTGCCTCACTCAAGGCCAACAGTGCCTGAATTCAGCAGCCCTGAGTCCTGCTGTGGCTGGGTGTCAGGCCATGTGCCAAGAAGCAAGGCGCACAGCCCCTTTGTCCTCAAGGGGTCCTGGGGCTCTCTTGTTTAACAAACCACTACAGGGTGGGCAAGTATTGCTCAAGGCCCAGGGACATCGTCTTTCCTGAGACCTTCTGTGTAAAACCACCACCTTTCTTGGACAGTGTGAACCTCGCCACTAGGTTTGCATGGCCAGGAGGCACTGTCCTGCAGCACATGTGGACATGGGCCAGAGGCAAGACCCAGAAGAGGGTGCAAGGCTCAGCCAGGCACAAGGGATGCACTGCTGGCAAAACCCACTCTCACAGGCTGTGGAAGACGACCTTTCTGGCACACCCCGGAAGCAGCAAGAACAGAAGCTCTATCTGCATCTCTAATGCTGCCTGTGCCGTGTGCTGCAGAGCACACTGACTCAGCCAGTAGCAATGAAAAAGGGGGTCAATTCCCCAGAAAGGTCCAGCTTTCCAGATTCTTTTGACAAATCTGTGGGACTGGAAATGCTGTACCTATTGCCACATGACAATGGCCACCAAGCCTGTGTGGCAGCCCACCTGCCGGAGAATCAAGACTCTCTGGGGCTTTGAACTGATGACAGGTTCCAGACTGAGAAGACCTGGGTCAAGGATGAAAACAGACCCGCACCCGAGGCTCACGGCCACCAAACGCCACAATGCTGCACACAGATCCTACAAGCTTGGCATGGGAGACAGGGAGGGAGGGAGCAGATGCTACTGGAAGAATCTGGCCTAACAGCAGCACTGGCCTGGACCCTAAGAGGCAACAGACCTGTACCTTCAAAACTCCAACGACAGATTTCCAACCAGAACTCTACACTCAGACTTTGAAAGAAAGCATGGGGGTAGAATAGTCACTTTGCCCAGGACGGTCACTAACACCGTGCCTGCCAAGCACCCTTTCTCTATAAACCATGGAAGGATGGGCTCCATCTCAGGAGAAAGGGACCAGAAAGATGATGTCATGGGAGAGGACAGGAGGGCTCCATGTCCCCATTCTCCCAGGCACTAGGACTTCGAATACAGCCCTGAGAAGACATGGGATGGGCTTAAGGAAAGCAGGAGGTTTACTTTTCTGGTTAAGAACCTGGGATAAATTGGTGTCAGGGAAGAAAAGAGGAACAATTATTAACTCCAGGGAAACCAGTTTATAGAAATAAATGTAACCAATTGTGAATAACAGCATAACCCTTACAGCATATACACTGGCTGCAGCCAGGCGTGGTGGCCCGCACCTGTACTATCAGCACATGGGAGGCTGAGGCAGGAAGACTGCCCTAGTTTGAGGCCAGCCTGGACTATATAGTGAGAATTATTTCAAAGAAACAAACAAAAACCCAACCAGACAAAAACCCAACCAAACAAAAACAACAAAAAGTTCTTATCACTTAAGTGGTGATACTGAGGAGGGATAGAAAATTGTGAGCAGGGCTTTGGAGATAGCTCAGTAGAATAAGTGCTGGCCTGGCAAGTGCAGGTCCCTGAGTTCAATCCCCAGTACAAAAAAAAAAAAAAAAGAAAGAAAGAAAAAGAAAAATATGAGCAATGTCTGGCAAGGTGGTACATGCCTATAGTCCCAGAACACAGGAGGCTAAGGCAGGAGGATTATTGAGTTTGAGACTAGCCTGGGCAACAAAGTGATCTCAAGACCAGCCTGCACTGCATAGAGACCCTGTCTCAAAAAGACAAAAGACAAAAAAAAAAAAAGAAAGAAAGAAAAGGAAGGAAGGAAAACATGAGCCAGGGATGGCTGCAAGAAAGCTAAACCCTCGCTTCCAAGCAGGAACAGTTAAGGGCATGTTTATTTAAAGAAAGAAAAGAGAGTGTAGTGTCACTGTTGAGAAAGGTCGTAGTGTCACTGTTGAGAAAGGTCGAGGCAATTGGAGCAACAACAGGTGAAGGACAGAAAGGTGAGGGTTTGGAGAATGAGAAGAACGGGATCGTGAGTGATTCTAGAACCACTCTAGACTATCCACACATTTAAAAATTTAAATTTAAATTTCTTCCCAAGGGCTGAGCAGATAGCTCAGTGGCACAGCACCTGCCTGGCAAGTGCAAAGTCCTGAGTTTGACTTCTTGTACCAAAAAAAAAGCAGCAACTTCCTATCCAGAGAAAAACTAAATTAAGACAAACATTACAAGCAACAGAAGACCCGGCCACCTGAGGCAGGTGCCCCTGTAGTGACTGGGCGGAGCTGAGTGTGGCAGCCCAAGTCCCTGGTTCTTCACAGCGCCACCCACTGACCCCAGTGTACTGCAGGGTCCCCAGCAGCAGCAGACACCTTTCCAGGCTCCAAATCCTGATCCACTCCCACACATCTGCGCTTCCCAACAGTCGTTCCTTCAGCCATCCTCAGCACCCCTCAGGTGACAGCAGCCCATGCAGCTGCCAGGCGGTGATAGCAGGTGGGCGCCACACCATCTGGTCGGATGGAGAATGCAGGGCAACCCGCCTGAGCCCAAGGAGGAACCCAGCATACAAGGGGCCTACTTTTGGCAGCTTCCAGGTCCCAGACGCGGATGGAGCCCGACTGCGAGCCAGCCACAATGAGCTCCTCGGGAGTGTTGAGGCGGACGCTCTCCACGGGGGACGTGTGACCCGTCAGGCTCTGTGGAGAGGGGGAAGCAGCTTCAGTGCACTGCAGGGACAACCCCAGTTTCTGTCCCAAAGTTGGGGTTCCACGAGAAGTGGCTAGGGGAAGGAGGTTTCTGCATGGCCATGTCTGCCAGCAACAATGCAGGGTGACAAGAGAACCCAGCCGCCCCCCAGCCTCCTCTCATGGTGTTCCTGGTGTGGGCGGCGCCTACAGACATGGGAGCAGCTCATCAAGATAAAGAGAGAGCATTAACCAGACATGGTGGTGCACAGCTATAATCCCAGCATTTAGGAAACCGAGGCAGGAGGATCACTGGGAGCTCAAGGCCAGCCTGCGCTCCGTAGCGAGATCAACGCCAGGTTGAACTATATAATGAGATCCTGTCTAAAAAAAAGGTATGCCAATCCTCTGTCCTGATCCAAATGACCTAAATGACCTTCTGACTTTTGCCCAGGGTGGTCACATCTCTACTCTGTCTGGCACTGCACTCAGCAGGAAGCTGTGGCAGGTTCTCCTCACCCTCTGGGTTCCTGGCTGGTGTGTGTGTGGGGTGGGCTGCCCAGCTCAGTCAGGGACCCTGCCACAGAGCCTGGGGGCCTGGACTGTCTCCGCTGGAGGACACTGGGCTCTCACCCACCCAGAGCAGCAGAGCTGAGCTGGCCACTCTGAATGCAGCAAGTGCCAGCATGTCCAGCTTTCTGGTGAAGAGGCTGGAGACTGTGTCCGTGGTATCTGTCATTCTATGCCTGATCCTGGCCACCCCAAGGCTCAGTGGTGACTCCATCAGTGCTTGCTAAGGTGACATTTCCACTAGGAATTGGGGAGGGGACCTGCTCCTCAGCAGATCTACCCTCAAAGTAGATAATTTACATGTGGCTTGTCTAACTCCCATCCAGCTCTAGCAGGGGCGTGAATGGGTAAAAATTATCTGGGCCACAAATAGGCAAACCCTGTTCACATTAGGCACATTTGCTTCAAACCAGCCACTCCATGCTGGGGAGCTTGCTCCTGCTGTGTGCAAGCCCGTGAAACACCACAAACCCAAGGTTATCTGCTACACCGAATCTTATGGCTTAAGTGGTAGCGTCCACAGTCACTTATGCAATGGAAAGCCAACCACTGAAACAAAGAAGGCAGTGGGGTGTGATGGTGCTTGCCAGAAATCCCAGCATTCCGGGAGTACAACGCAAGAGGATTATTGCAAGTTCAAGCCCAACTTGGGCAACTTAGTATCCCAGGGAGATGCATGCAAGTATGATACCTGTTGTTTGCAAAAGTGGGAGAAGAAACAGGTAATACATTTGCCTCTCCTTATTCAAAGGAAGTCTGGATATCAAGCAGGGAATCAAGGAAGAAAGAAAGAGGTTACTGTTCACCATCTTTCCAATGTTGAGCCACACGGGCGTTCCATTTGCTCAAAGGTAAACACAAATAAATGAAACAGGTCTTCTGCAGAGGGAGCAGCCAAGTATGAATCCCCAGGCGGGAGACTTCGGGGCTACCCGAAGGCAGAGTGGGTGCTTTGTGGTGCGTGAGGGGGCAGAGACACAAGTTAAGGCCAGCTGGGGGCCTGAAGGCTCCGTCTGGTGTGCGAAGAGAACTCAGAGGGACGGGCCCCAGACGTCCCCGTGCTGCTCTACGGGAAGAGTGTGTAGCAGCCCTCTTGCTGATCTCTGTTGATTTTTTCAACTTGTGTACTTAACTGGCATGTCCAGGGAGACAAGGCCCTTCTTGAACAGTAAAATCAAGATGGAATGTCCGTTCTAGCTATGGCCTGGGAAGGTCTCATAGAAACACTAGTGATTATTATTATTTATTACTAATAAATGTCACCTCCCATTTTCTTCATGTTTATTTGATCAAGAGTCAAAAGAATAGTAATTGCCTGGGTTGGCAAGGATGGGGGTGGGCCGGGTTCCTACAGCGCTGCTGAGAAGGTAGATTGGTTTCTGGAGGGCAATTTGGCAAGATGTTTTGAAAGCTTTTCAAAAGTGCACACCCTTGGATTACATGCATCAATGGCCAGCCCGGCCCACGGAAGGGTCGGTATAGACGAGGAGGCTCACCACAGTCTGGGTGAGCAGAGCCAAGAGCCTGGCCTCAGACTCTCGCTGATAACAGGGTGTGGTGGAGCTAATTACAGCTCATCCCTACAGTGGAATATCAGGAAGCCATTAAATATCACGCTGTAAAAGAATATTTGTTGACATAGGAAAATTCTCACAACATTGTTAATTCTAAACAACTGGGTTACACAAGAGTAAGATGATAATTGGAAGATTCATTTTTATGTATATGTATGCAAGTGTATATGTATTTCCACACCTGGAAAGGCACAGATCAAATTAACGATGCTACTGGTCTTGGAAAATAGAACTGTGTGATTAAATTCCATGTTTTTCCTCCTTTATGCCTCCTGTGGGCTGTGTTTGGAAGGCACTTTCCAGGCCTGGATCTGGTTGGGTAACCAGAAAAAGCTGCTTCTGGAGAACTAGCTCCCTAACCAGCTCTCACAGGGTCCCTGCAAATCCTTTTTGTGGACTGAGGTTGGGAAAGAATCAAAACATCTCCACACAGGTGACAGGGGAAGCAGGAGGCACAAGCCTTTTGGCTCAGCCATGGGAGAGGGGCTTATTTGGACTTTCTCATGTAGACCCAAATTCTACCCCACAGCCAGGTGTCTCCCCTGCGCTTAAGAACCAGTCACCACCGCAGCCATCCTGGGGCTTCCTGAGCAGACAGTCAGGGGTTGCCTGAGAGTGTGCTGTGTCTACGCCCTGCCTGTGCTGGCCCCAGAGGATGGGTGTCTTGTGGTCTAGGATGCCTGGGAAGCCGTCCACTCCCCATCCCCCAGCCCCACCCCCGAGACTCACCATGATGCAGTTTGGCTTGTTAATGGACCACAGGTTGACTCGGCAGTCGTCCCCGCCCGTGGCCAGAAGCCGTCCCGAGGCTTTGCCCAACACCAGCGAGGACACATTGCTGGCATGGGCAACAATCTCTTCTGCATGGAAACGGAGGGAGAAGGCAGTCAGAGGGTTTGGGCAGCCCATGTGGAGGGGGGTGGCTCTGCCCGGCCACCAGCTATGGAACCTGAAGCCCAGAGAGCCCTCAGGGCTGAAGGATCAGGGACCTCAGATTTAGTCACTCTGGCCCTGCCTGGAAGCCTTCTGAGCTTTCCTTTTATGTCCATTAACTGATAACAGACTAACTACACAGGCCTGACACTCCATAGCCACAGACTCAAATGACTGACAGCTAAAAATATTTGGGGAGGGGGTCAGGGAGATAGTTCAGTGGTATAAGTACCTGCCTGGAAAATGCAAGGTCCCAAGTTCTATCCCAGTACCACAAAAAAATATAAATTCATCTGTACTGAGTAGGTACAGACTTTTCTTGTCATTATTTCTAAATAACACAGGGCAATAATGATTTACACCACATTCACACTGGGCCAGGTACCATGAGTAATGCAGAGCAAAAAGTGCAAAAGAGAACATCCATGATGTGCAAATCCTGCATCATTCTGTCAAGCTGCTCGGCACCTGTGGGTTTTGGTGTCTAAGCACAGTGGTCCTGGAATCAATCCTACATAGACACTGAGGACACGTGCCAAAAGTTATTGTTTTTTACTCTAAAAAGAATAAATAGGGGTTGGGGAGATGGCTCAGTGGAATAAGCACTTCCTTGGCAAGTACAAGGGCCTGAGTTCAATCCCCGGTTCTGCCAAAAATAAACAAACAAATAAATAAATAAATAAATAATACCACTGAGCTGCACAGTGGCTGGTCTGAACTCTGCTAGTTGCCACTGTGTGGCCTCCAACAAGTCACCTGTCCTCTTGAAGGCTGGTCCTTGCCTGGTAAATGGGATGAGAATGGTGTGTCCCCCCCCCACAGGGGGGGTGTTGGGGAGTGTGTGTGTGTGTGTATGTGCCAGAAACACAGCCCTGGATGGGTAGGGAGTGGGAGCTTGTGGCTGCTAAGCAGGAGATAAGGACCAGCCACCAAGACAGAGTGGCCAAGTAGTCCCCGAGGAGGTAGTAGAAGGCAGCAGACTCGCAGACCGGTGTGGAGAGGGCTGACCAGTCAGGGATGGAGAGGAGACCTGTGGGCAGCTACCAGACCTCTGGGCTGGACCCTGAGGCCACAGCGTGAACCTCCAGGGATCCTGTCAGGACTCCAAGAGGCAAAAAACAAGGGTGAGGAACTGAAAGTCAGCTCAGGCCTATAAGCCAGTGCGTGGGTGAGCTCTTCCCTGGAAAAAGGAGAAAAGACAGGTCTCCCCACAGAGGCACGGGAAAACCCCAAGGTGCCAATGCCCTGCAGCTGGCCTGGTGGTGTGGAGGAGAAGGGTGTCACAGCTTTTCACAGGGCCCAGCCTCAACCCGGCTCAGACTCCACCTGCCTGAGTGGCATGAATGCAGGCTGCAGGCCACAAAAAGGCTGGAGGGGGCCAGGGAAACTGAGCAGCCTGACTTGGAGGGACTAGCAAAGATGCTTAGGGGCTTGACACCTGCTGGGAGGGCCTGGCTAGGGCAGCACTGGCATGGGTAGCACCCAGCCCAGCAAGAGGGAGAGCTCCATGCAGGCTCGGCCATCGGCCATCTGGATCCAAGCAAGCTGGGTTCTTCTTGAGCACTCATCTCAACCACAAAGCCTTCTGTCCTCTGGATGCGCAGGGACAGAGGCATGGGGCCCTGGCTACTAATACGTGTGCTTAGAGCTTCTGCTCAATCCAGCAAGGTAACAGGGTACATGTTTCCTAAGTGCTCTGCTCTCCTGCCCTGAGCCCTGTCCGCTTCTCGGAAGTTACTGTCTGTACTACCCTCTCTCTTGACCCAGACGGAGGCTTTCATGGTCTGCCTGCCTCTTCCACTTCCCAGGGAAGTTCTGGCTGGACCTCAGCTTACTGGGCCTCAGGACCTCTAGAGGACCCTAGAGAACCACAGCCAGTAGTCCATAACACAAGTACTATCTAGGCCTGCCACTGGGAGGCTGTAGAGAATGCAGGAGAAGGCCTTTGTGTGCCAGTGCAGCTGGATGGCTCCTGGGCCAGGGAAGGAGCTACGAAGGGCAAGACTCTGGGCAAGGGCCCCTCTCCTCTAAGCAGCTGACCAGACGGGACACGGCTGAGAGGCAGCCCTCTCATTTGGCCTGATGGACACCAAGTAGCAAAGGCCCATGCCTGGGATCTGATTTAATGCTGAGATCAAAATCTTCAGCACAACTCCTGACAGGCCAGGTGACAGCTGCTGCACTGCCCCATGGTGCAGGTCCCCAGCAATTTCCCAGGCTCCAAAGCTGGGGAACTCTTTGCCTTCTGGCCAGAGGAGCTGAGGACTTGTATCCCAGAAGAAAAAAACAAAGAACTAGGCACCAGTGACTCAAGATGGCCAAATACCTTCTGATCCTTACTAGATTCTAGAGCCTCAAGGAGCTCTAGAGGCCAGATGTCCTTAGCTGCCTCAGACATCTTACAACCACAGAAACCGCTGTGCATATGAAATTGTCAGCAGGTGCCCAATACGCCTGGTCATATCACATCACTTCCTGTTAAATACGTTGAGAGCTTGACCTTGCCTTTGACAGAAGGGCAAAGCCTCAAAAGGGCTATGGACATGAGCCCTTACAGAATTCATTAGCATTATCTGGCACCTCATTCTCCCTGCCCCTGTGCCACAGGTCACGGCCTCTCTTAAGTCCTTGTTATACTTCAAGCTTCCTGCCTTGGGGCCTTTGCGCTTGTTCATGCACTCCCTGTTGACTGATTCAAAGCACACACACTAGCAAGGAATCAAAGAAGGACTGGAAATGGGTGTGTGTGTGATTAGTCAGTTCCTGCCTGATGGGGTCTTCCCAGGGACTCCCATTGTGCACTGACTTGGTCTATTTTGTTCTTCAATGGCTCACATACGGGAGACCAGCTGTCTGAATGATGGATATATAATCCTGATAAAACAAAATGCCATTCTGTGAAAAGTGTATTCTTCTTAGGAAACCATAAAAGGGTTCTCTGCAAACCCTAAAGCTAAAAATTGCCCACACCTTTTATGTTATAAATGAAGAAAGCGAGGCCCGTCAAACTCTTTGCCCAGGGTCTCATGATTAAAAAGTCGTGGAGCTTTACCTCCAGCTCCTGAAAACCTCCCAGGGAGAGCAGGTGAGACACATCAAGTCTGTGCCGATAAGTAACAGCTGGGGTGGGACACGCTGTGGTGCCAGCGTGTGCAGCAGTCCTGCAAACGCGGTCTGGGGAACTTCTGCGGGCCTCAAGATCCTCTTGGAGGCGTAAAAGGACAAAATCATTCCACTAACATGGTGTTTGGCTTGTACTCTCAGTTGCTCATAAACATACAGTAGTTTTCTAAAAGGTACATGACATGTGGTCACATTGTCAAGTAGTGTCACATATGATTATATCTTCTTATGTTTTAGAAATCTGAGAAATGTCTCTAACAAGGTAAACACTGAAAGGCGTAAGTTCTGTAAAGAAAATCACTTTTAGGCCCTCAATAATTTTTAAGAGTAGAAAGGGTCTTAGATCAAAGTGTTAGGACCACATCACAGAGCAGTGATGGGGCGAGAACACACGTGCTGTTACATTCCACAGGCCTGTCAGCGGCCCCTGCTCACCCCACCCCAAGATGCTCTCACCTGGCCACGGAAGTTTGACTCATTAGATGTCCAAAATGCCTCAAGTATCTCAGAATTTCTCATCCTGCTCGTCCTGATTAGGCTAACTGGAAATCCTGCACTAAGTACTATCTGATGTTCATTTTACTTGAATCTCATAGCAACTACACAATGTTGGGTGTGATCGTCTTGTTGTATAGATGAGGAAACAGAGCTCAGAGAGGTTAAATCTCCTGCTCAATGTCACTGGCAATCTAAGAGGTGCCAGTTATACCTCCCATCATGGTCTATCTCACTACAAGATCTGGGGTATCCTTCTCTGCCAAGGGGAGACAAAGCTGTGAGTCTCACTTTGCCAGCAATGACCAGCTAACAGTTAACAAATGGGGTGAGAAAGGAAAATGAAAACTACTCACGCAACTTCCAGGCTGTCTTGGTGACCACAGGGGTGGCCATCCTTCAGGGGCTGGCACCTGAAGCGTCACCCACAAAACAGAATATGCTTTCTTCGTGGGGTGGGGGTGAATCCCCCCCAGATCCACCAATCAAGTTGGCAGGCAGTCCCCACACATCCAGGCAGAGGGATTGCCTCTTCTGGCCCTGGACTGCCTGGTGCTTTTAAATCATCCACAGCAGCAGCAGCAGCCTGTGCACAGCCTGTCAGGATCCCAGCTCATGGAATGTCAGGCTTGAGCCATCTCAGTTCAACACCTGGCTGGAAATCAGAGGCGATGGTGGGTTAGGAAACACTTGGTATGGGGAATGGTTCCCAGGATCATCATTAAGGTTCGTGATAAGAGTGATACCCACCAAGGTTACCAGAGCCAGAAGAAAACACTGCAAATCCGGTTTGAGAATCTGCAGAAGGGTCATCTCAAGCCGAAGGACCTAGAACAGAGAGCAAAAGAAGGTCCTCCCAGGGGCAGAGATAATGGAGGTGGCTCTGCTCCAGCACGCTGGTGCCTAACCTGCAGCACCTGCAGTGGGGCAGGGATGACCGGCAGTCTGCAGTTGAGGTTTCTGGGCATCACTGTTTTCAGTTGATGGAGCTGAAATCGGATGCTAAGCTTAGGGGCCCATAACAGACAATCCAGTAGCAACCAGTGAAATCCTCTCTGGTGACAATTTCAAAGAAGACCCTGAGGGTCCAACCTGGCTCCTGGCAAGAGTAACTACACCTGCTTCCTTCAATTTCCAAAGACAAAGCTGGGAGCTGGGCCTCCAATTTGCATGTATGACCCTAAAAGGCCACCTCATGGAGCCTCCCACCTGTTTCCTACAGCGCCTTTGCCTCTTTCCCACGAACCATCTCCCCTGCATTCCCTTTCCCAGATCCCCTGTTCGCTCACTTCCCCGCCGCTACTGGCATCTCCCATTCATTCGCGTTCCCGTCTCTCCTGCCCTTACCCATCGTCCCGGGACCCCCCCAGCTCTGCTTCCAGCCCCCACGCCAGCCCCGCTGGACCCAAAGGCTGGGGCTCATCGCTCAGCCTCGCCACATCCTCCCTCTTCTCGCGCCTTGCGAGATAGTCTGTGGCCTCCCTCGAGCCCGAGTTCTCTCCCACAGCCCCGCCAGCCCCGCGTGGCTCAGCCCACTCCCCAGGTCCATCTTCACTTCACCCCTTGCCCACCCTACCTGCAGCTGCGGCTCCGGAGGCCGAGGCCTTGCTCCAAGAGCGACCTCCACTGGCCTCCATCCCCTGCCCTGATTGGCCGCTGCTTGACAACCGACCCTCACAACAAAACCTCCGGCCTGGAGCCCCGCCCACCTCGCCTAGCTCACCAATCAGCTGCTGCGGACGCTCCACCTCCCGCAAGGATTACCAAAGAAAGCAGGCTCTTCTGAGGCTTTTCATAGGTACCCGCTCCCCTTTCCTTCTAATCACGAGTAAGAAGCGTCCAAGAGCCGCCCTTTGGGCTCTAATGAACCAATGCGGCTCATCATTTCCTTGGTCCCGCCTCCACCTCGCGCTTTCCCTTCACTTCCTCCTCTTCCTTGAACCTGGTTTGCTTTTGAAAAAATTTGCTAGGTGCCCTCCTATGGCAGCTGCGCCAATCGCGTTAGCCACCGTCCTTGATCGACCAGTCAGCGATCGCATTGTTGGAAAAACCAAGTCTCAGCTGGCCAATGGGGAGGGATTTTTGGAGTAGCCTGAAGCCAAACGCCTTCCATCTTGGAATGGGGCGAATCAGTCCTAGTTAGCATTTTGCTTCCCTGTTCTCTTTAACTGCGGGCGGTGACTCAGAGGCCAAAGGATGAGCTTCTGGTCTTCGATCCTCTTAGATCTTAGTAGACGCCGGGTTGAGTTCCCCGCAGGAGGCCTAGAGGGAAACAGTGCCTGAATCCAGGTTCGAGTTGCACAGCTGGCCTCTGGCAAGTGGCTGCTCCCAGGAGAGGGTGAACTTGGGCGACTGCACCCTGTTGTCCAAATACCCGCAAGCCGCCCCGAATTTCCTCCAGTCACGCACCGCAGGTCGGATCATTTGGTCTTAGTACAGTTCACCACAGCTCTAAGGGGTAAGACTTGTAATACCCATTTAAAAGATGAGGAAACTGAGGCCCTGGTTAAAATATGTGTAAAATCCACAGCTGAAAAGAGCGAACCCCAGGACTGGAACCCTTTTTCTGAAAGCCAAAGCCTGGGGCATTCCCTGCTTGGCTGACACCACCACCACCAGCAGCCACACTAGAGGCAGGGAGTCGCTGTCCCCAACACACTTGAAACACCTGAAACTGATTAGAAGAAGTATACCAATCAGCCTGCAACCCTCCCCCCTTACTTGAAAGACATACAGAATATTTGAGAGGATACCACCTAGATTTTGACACTTGCTACCAGTTTGCTACATATACTTGTGTATTTTTCCAGAAGTTAGCATTGCTGTAGGCAGCTGAAACAGAAATACAGGCAGTCAGACAGGGCTAGGCCTTCAAGGAGACAGCACAGTAGACGAGATACTTTACAACTGTGAGACAGAGACTGATGCTCCTGCTATGGGCCAGACCTAAAGACCAAAGACCTAACAAATGCTGACCTCCCTAAAAATGAGCATCTGGGATTGATCATCACCTTGAGGAAGCCAGGAAGAGTCACTAATCCAACTGCTACCAGCTGGCTACTGGAGAAACTCTTGTTCTATGTTAGTGCTCACTTGCTACGTGACTCGCTTCCCCATTCAGTTCTGGATTTAATCAACTTTACCTGAGCAATGGTGTTTGTATCTCATTGGTTGACCGTAGTTTTGTCCCACATCATGCCCACCTAAGTGAGTTCCTAAGTTCCCACCTTAGACCCACCTCACTGCATGGTGTTACTCTAGAAAAGTCCCTGGAAGAGACAGCTTCCCGGGGGACAATGTGCTCGGGCCTCCCATCTGTTCCTCTCAGACAAAAGCTTTCTTTCCCCCAGTAAATATTCTGCTCTTAACCTCTGTTTGTTCCTAAAATGCATTCTTCGGTTTTAGAGCACACGGACATGTCCCAGGTACCTTTCAGGTTGGGAGTTTCATGACATTTCAATCCTCATGATGGTCCCACTTGAAGGATTTATCTGTGTTCTTCTGATTTACCTTGTGCTTCTTTGGAATTTCTTATTAACTGGAAATCAGGTCTAAGACTCCATTAGACTTGTGATACGCATTTCAAAACACTGAAGAAAAGTCCACACCAGAACACACACTGCACATGTACAAGGTCGCCAAGTGTTCACCACCACCACCACCACCACCAGGTCAAGAAGCAGAACAGAGCAGAAGCAGCACCTAGAAGCTCCCGGGCTGTTTCCTCCCAGTCCCTCACCCCCAGACCTGCTTCTTTTTTTTTTTTTAAATATTTATTTATTTTTATTTATTACATTTATTTATTACATTTATTTATTGTGTGTGTGTGTGGCCAGCTCAGCCCACCAGGGGGCGGGTCTGGCTGGCATGTGGTGCTGGGGATCGAACCGCGGTCCCTGTGCTTTGCCAAGCTTGTTTCAAGCAAGTAGGTGCTTTAGACCACTGAGCCATCTCTCCAGCCCCCCCCAGACCTGCTTCTAAAGGGTAATTTCACCTATTTTTGTTCTTTCCACAAGTAATCATATTGTGTTAGTTGATACATTGTGTCAACTTGGCTGAATCAGCTGGGCAGTTCTCAGCTGGGGCCTAGCCCCGCAGGTGGGCAGGGCCCAGGAATTGAGAAAGGCAGGAAGCCCCCTGCCTTGGCTTCTGTGGACAAGTCCCAGTCTTTGGAGGAGCTTTTCTGCCGCATGAATTGCTGTCCTTTGCACTGGAGCCAGCAGAATATGGACTGAACCCTCCTGTAACTGTGAGCTAAATAAACCTTTCCATCCTTCAGTTTGACTGTTGGTATTTGTCCCAGCAATGAGTAAAAAGTAACTAAGACACATATAATGCATACTTCATTGGAATTTTCGATAATATTGCACTTGAGAAATTCGGATCATCACAGGTGACTGGCTCGTTCATTTTCATCCCCATACCTACCTCTGTATTCTCAGTATCTGGGGCTGTGTGTATGTTGTTGTAGGGGGCTGTCCAGTGCCTTGTTCCATGACTACCCCTCCTCTCCACCCATTGATGCCAGTAGCGTTCTTCTGACCAGTTAGGATAACCAAAAAAATTCTCAAGACAACTGCATTATTCAGGTGGTCATTGCTTGAACCAAGTACCTGTCATAAACAATGTGGTTTCAGTCCCTGGATAGCTGGCTCCAAGACAGACGTCACGGTGAAGGCCATGGTGGAAGAACAGTGCTCATCTTGGGGTGGCCAAGGAACATGGTGGGTGAAGAAGAGCTGGAGAGAAACAAGCCAGGGACCAGCTATTGTTCCCACACCCAGGCTGCCACGCCCTCTGTCCCTGCTCCCAGTGTGCTTTGCTAATCTAAATGTCTCTCAAACTATTTAAATTGACAATCAAGATTAACCATTATATCTTTCGCATCCAGGGGGAAGTGGGTACTGCACTGCAGCTTTATTTACTCTTCTGTCCAAGAACCTCACTAGGACTTGTAAACTCAGCCCTAGTAAAGGATTAAAGGGACCAAGTTTATAAAAGGAAAATAGAAACACTATTTGAAAGAAAGAAAAGAAGGACCAGCCAGATAGCTCAGCAAATTAAAGTGCCTGCGTAGGCACACCCAGGAACTGGGTCTGATCCTGGGTGTGCAGTACTGGGAGGCTGAAAACAGGAGGATCACTACGCATCTGATCTGTGTAGTTAGACCCTGTACTAAATACAAAAAAAGGAAAGAAAAGCAGGGGACAGACAGCTACCTTGTGAGAAGGCAGGGAGCTCTGGAAAGATGGGGGAACCTTTATGCTGGGCCTTTTTTTTTTTTTTTTTTTTTTTTTATCAAAAGTGTGGCAGAAAGAGTTTTTCTTTCCCCCTGGAGTTTGTTACAACCTGATTGGCTATTTCAGGGCCTAAGACCCTTAATTTGGGCTTCATCATCTATGCAGATTCCTTATTTTACCTTTTGTCCTGTCACGCCCTATGTCTGAAATTTAGGAATTTAAAAGGACCTTACAAGGTCAAGGAGAGGGAGAGGTCTTTTAAATGGCCACCCCTCCCCTCCTTTGGAAGGTTAGGGACCCTGCCCAGTTTATCAGCTTTCTGTAGTTTTGTTAATTGCACCCTCAGTCAAGTTTTAACACTTGCTGGTCAGGACTAGCCAGGAAGACCAGTGAGGCCTTTCCCTACTTACAGACCCCTTCCCCTACGCAATCACAATTTATGTTTCCACCCTTTTCCTTCCTGGTATGGGGATTAAACCCAGTAACACCCTGCCCCTGGGCTGCATCCCAGCCCTTTCTATTTTATTTTAGAGCCAGGTTCTTGCTGAATTGCTCTAGCTGACCTTGAATTTGGTGATCTTCCCAGGTCAGCCTCCTGAGTAGCAAGGATTACAGTTGGATCATCAAACACACCTAGTGGTGTGATTCTATTTTTTTTTTTCTTAATTTGAAACCACTTATTTATTTGGCACAGGGTCTTGCTGCGAAGCTCAGACTCATGGCAACCCACCTGCCTCAGCCTCCTGAGTGCTGGGATTTTAGGCCTACACCATCACATCTTGTAATCTTCTTGCTTCCGCCTCCAAGATCCCTGGGAGTACCCGTGTATGCAACTGTGCCTCGCCTCTACTTCTGCTGTACTGTCCCTTGCTCACTGAATAGCTGGATAGATGGATGGGCGGGTGGATGGTGTGTTAATCTCTCCATCACTATAACAAGATACCTGAGGTAATAAACTTATAAAAACAAAAGGTTTTTTCACTACAGTTCTGGAGGTTACAGTCCATGATTAAGCAGACCCATTGCTTTTAGGCCTCTGGTAGCAGGCAGCACATCATGACTGGAGCACACAGCAAAGCAGAACACCTGCCTCATGGCTGGGGGCAAAAGAGGGACGGAGAAGCCCTGTGGTCCCTTGAGAGGCCCCTCGGTGACCTGAAGACCTCCTGCTGGACTGCGCCTCTTAAAGTTCTGCCCTTGCCCAGCAGCACCTGCCTGGGCTAACTCTTTAGCAATAGGGCCTGTCTGGTACATCCAGGATCCAAATGACAGCAGGTTGGCAGAGCTGACCCCGGAAGTGCAACCGCTGGGCCATGGTTAGCTCTCTGTAGATGCTGCCAGTTTCCCGCAGATCTTGTACCGATTTAGACCTCTGTGGGAAAGCTGTCTGTGGGCTGCTGCTCCTTCTCCTCCTCACCAGCACTTACTATACTGGTTGGTGTGTGGTAGATTGCATTTCCCAGAAGACTAATGAATTGGATTTTTTTTTTTGATGTATTTATTACAGAGTCTAAATACAGGGTCTTACTACACAGATTGGACTCGTACTAATCTTCCTGCTTTCGGCTTCTCAAGCTCTGGGATTACAGGCATGCCGCTCAGTCGCAGTTGCTATCTCAGTATGCCCTGGGGGGCAGGGCCAGCATGGCATGTGTGGGAACAAACCCTTGTCCCTATACCTAAGCAGGTGCGTTAGTTCGCTGAGCTATCTGCTGGCCCAATGAATTGGATTTTTAACGCATTTGATGTGTTTTTGCCCCCCACCAGACAAGAGTTCAGGCTGGCCTCAAACTCTTAGAGATCCTCCTGCCTCAGCCTCCTGAGTGCTGAGATTACAGATGTGCCCCGCCACACCTGCCTGTAGCATTTTCTTTTTTTTTTTTTTCTGTAGCATTTTCTAAGCCAACATTTAGTGAGTGCTTTCTGGTTGGCATAGCTAGCCCTCTATGCCTTATTTAAGGCAGTGGTGTCATTCCCATCTCACAGATGGGTAAAGCATAAGAAGAGGAAGAGGAATTCAGTCCCTGGTACTCACATCAGACCCCTGGGCCTTGCCATTACCACTCTGGGAGCAGGGCCACTTCATCAGGTAGAGGTCTACCTGGCTGCTTGCAGTGGCTGTGGGGCCACCTGCAGAGGTGATGCAGAAATTTCCCACCAAGAAGCAAGGAAGCAAATGGGGAAGATGGCCGAGGTGGTGGGAAGGGGCAGTCGCAGCCTACAAGTAAAAAAGAGAAGAGAAGATAGACTAGAGCTAATGTGTCTGAGGCACAAATCCAGGTTAAAGTGTGTTTATTTATGGGAAAACTATGAGAAGCAGGAGGCCCAAGTGCAGGGGCATAAGGTGCACAGGGCTGGGCTGGGTGGGCTTCTGTCTGGCTTCTGGCGGCTTCTGCCTTAGGCTCATGAGGGGTCAAGCAAGGACTTTGAGGAACTCTGCTAGACGTGGGTCCTTGTAGAGCTTTTCCTCCAACGCCAAATACTTCAGGGGAGCCAGCTCCTTGTGTCTGAAGCAGAGAGAGGAAGGAGGGAAGTGAGCGGCTCCCACGCCAGGGGCCAGCTTCCAGGTCCTCTCTGGCTCCCACCCCCTCACCGATTGAGCCGCTGCTCCAGGATGCGGATGCGGAACATGGCCTGAGAGCAGTAGCTCAGGTACAAGTCTTCATCCTCTGGTGTCAGGGTCACCTGGTTCTCCTGGTACCACTGCTGCTGCTTCTGCAGCTCCTGGTTCTCCTGTAGCCACAGAGAGACAAGCACGAGGGTAGGAGATGATGAGGGCGGACCCCCACTCAGACTGCAGGCACCATCCCACTTGGCCACCAGACAACACCACTAGACAAGCTAGAGAGGCACACACAGGGGCCCCAGGAAGTCTTGGATAGAAGGTGTTGGGGTCATGTTTAGAGGGATACCATGCCCATCGGATCAAAGCAGGGTCAACCACATGTTCTGGACATGTTCTGACGTTTTCAGGCCCTCCAATTTCCTTTCTCCAAAATGAAGGTTACTGTCACCCACCGCTAGTCCTTGTGGAGCTCTATTTGAAGACTGCATGGGAACCATGTGGTGTGTGCCTTACACATAGAAATGGGCCAAGCAGGGCCGGTGAGATAGCTCAACAGACTAAGCACCTGCTTAGGCAAGCACAGGGACCAGGGTTCAATCCCCAACACTACAGGCCACACCAGCCATGTCCCCTGGGTATGCTGAGCTGGTCACCAAGACTGGGTATGGTGACACAAGCCTGTAATCCCAGTACTGGGGAGGCTGAAAACAAGAGGATCACTAGGAGTTCAAGCTGTGTAGTGAGGCCCTGTAACAAATAAATATTTTTTTTAAAAAAAGAAAAGAAATGGGCCAAGGATTAGAATTGTAATGCACCATCCATCCATCCACCCACTTGTGGCCCTCCCATCTAGCTCCTCGTCCATTCCTCAGCCTGTCCCTCATCTCCCTGTTCACCTGCTGATCCATTCACCCACTCATTTATTCATTCATCCACCCATCTATCCATCTACCCATCCACCCATCCACCCATCCACCCATCCAACCATCCGCCCATCCATCCATCCATCCATTCACTCATGGCCCCACCCACCTAGCTACTGGTCCATTCTTCAACCTGTCTCTCTATCTCCCTGTCTACCTGCCCATCTGTTGACCCACTCATTTATTCATCCATCCACCCACCCACCCATCCATCATGCATCCCTCCCCTCCATCCATCTACCCATCACCCATCCATTTGCAAGAGCAAGGAAGAACAACCCAGCCATCTGAAAACCCCAAGCAATGACAAACTCATCCCCATCATGGGTCCCTCACAGATCTGTGTGGTGCTGGACTGAGACCTCTGAGCCCATCTCCTAGATAAGAATACTAAGGTCTCCTCTTCCCTCCATCAGCCATTGTACCTTCTCAAAGCGGGCCTGAATGAGGTTGGCTTTGTCAATGAGCCGCTGCTTGAAGTCACTGAGACACTCGTCCTTGAGATGCACAGCCTGCATGCGTGTCAGCTTCTCACCAGGGGGCAGCTGGGCCAGGAATGGAGCCAGGTAGTCCAGCTGGGCCTCTACCTGCCGTAGGTGCTCCTCGTGCATCACGCGCTCCTGGGGAGTGGGGGCAGCTAAATCAGCGGCACCTACATTCTTCACCCGAACACCACAGGCATTGACTTGGCCACAGGCCTGGGAGGGGAGCTGGCCTGGATCCTGGCTGTGGGGCGAGGAAAGTCCAGGACCGGGCTGGGAGCGAGCCTCACCATAGCCTCCCGATACTCCTTGCTTTTTTCATTGCGCTTGGTATCGTAGATGGAGATATTCAGCGTGTGTGCCTCCTCCTCTTCCTCTCGAAGCTTCAGGATCTCTAGCACCTGAATTGGGAAGTGACGTAGACATGATGAAGAAACCTGTTATCGCCTCCCCCCCTCCCCCGGCTATGGGACTCCCACCTCCAGCTCAGACTCCCAGGCCTGGTGTTTGGACAGCTTCTCTTCATTCTTCAGATGCATCATGGTCTCATACTGGTAGAGAAGCTTCTTGGTATGCTCCATGGGTTCCACCTGGGACCAGAACCGCTACAGTGACAGGCCTCAGTGGGTCTGGAACCATCTGGTTTGAGTCTACTCCTGCCATGTGAGCTCAAGCAAGTTGTTTAACCTCTCTGGGCCACTTTGCCTACTTACAAAGATACAGATAGTAAAAGACAAAGTGGCCAAGGAATGTGCTGGTGGTGTGGTTAGGACAAGGAAGGTGGGTGCCTTAGGGGTAGGAGGTAGGATCCTCCCTACCCCCCGTGTGTTCCTGGGCCTGGGGACTGCACTGACCAGAGCTGGGACAGGACCATGAGGAATGGAACCTACTGGGTTCTCATTTGGGTGAGAAAGGAGAGGGACCCCAGATGGGAGCTGTGAGTTTTCCCATGGGGCACAGATGAACTTCCAGGCTGGCTTCAGGGGTGCATTTCTTGGATCTGCAGACTCAGTGGAGCCAGACACCGCAGGGTCCTCTTTTGCCCACTCCAGTGGCCTCACCCGCCCTGCCCCCTCAGGCTCAGCTCACCTCAAAGCTGATGCACATGTCCGACGTCATGATGATCTTGTTGCCCTTGCTGTCTACCTCAGAGCGCTGCAGGAATTCGCGCTTGGAGGCCGTGATGTAGTCGTCACGGCAGTGGTAGCGCAGCTGGATGCGCTCATCAGCGATGAGGAACACGCGCTCCGCCACGTCTTCATCGGCAGGCTTTGCGGGGTTGCGGGAGAACCGCTCTGTGATTTTCTGGGAGGCCAGAACACGCACGGGATGAAGACAGAGGCCTTCCTTTGGGTTCTCCAGGGCAGAAGCAATACACACTGGCGACATGAGTTTGGGCTTGCTTGGGGGACCATGTAGAACAGCCTGGCAGTGGATTCTGGGTTCTCAGTGCCAGGCCACCCAGCCCTGTGTGGAGCTGGAGCCTTTCTCCAGCTCCCTCAATAAGACTGCTTGGCCAAAAAAAAAAAAAAAAAAAGACTATGTGGCTCCCTCAAGAGATGGGAAGCTCACCCCCCACCCTGCCCCCACCCCACAGCTTAGACATCTCTCACTGCTAGAAAGAGCTTCTTTGGATGCAGCTGTCAAATAATAGGTAATGATTTATAGAGCAAAAATGCACAACTTAATGAAAAGTGGGTAGCTGAGGGATTCTAGCCCCCACACCCACCCACAGTTGTCAGTTAAGTTATAAAATATTCTCAAGACCAAACCCATTAATCCAGTAATGCCTGGGGAGCCATTCTACTTTATATGTCTATTTTTCCGATTGGTGTTTGTCCACAGCTAGAAGGAGACATTCGGCCATGGGTTCAGCACTCTGTCTAGTCCCAGTCAGCCAGGGGCTGTGCAGCTGGCAGAATGCTTGCCTTGTAGTCAGTGCCCAGGAACCATCTCAGGCCTTGATGTCACTCCAGAGCCAGGGCTCTCTCTGTCCTGTGGTGACTGTTTGCTACAGAAGGCAGGCAGCCTGTCCCCAAGCCCAGTGAGCTCTTACCGTCATGGGCCGGGGGTTTGATTCGGTACTGGCCGAAGTGAGTTTCTTGACCCTGGGCCCAAAGTTGATATGGCGGTAGGAGAGGAAGTCTGGGCGTCCTTGATAGTACTCGGTCATTGTCCTGGGAGTCTCCTCGCGCTTTATCAGGCCATCCACACGGGCTGTTTCATAGAACTCCATGATGCGGTCATTCTCGGGTTGCATGGTCTTGTACACGTGCACTGGGATGGAGGGAGACGCCTGGGTGAGGACCAGGTGCCACCCTGCAGCTGTGCTGGCCCCAGCCTGGGCCCAGGGAGGAGGTGGCACCACATTATGGATGAAGATTAGCTGGGCCCGAGTCCCCATTGCTGAGCACTTAGGTTGTGTCTAACTTTTTGTTATTGAAAGCAACACCGTGATGTCCACCTGCACCATGCATTTTTCTGTTGTTACCCATTATCTGCTAAGACCAAAGACTCAGCAGTGGAATTACTGAGTCACAAAGTGTCCACATTTTAAGGTCATAGTTATTTTAGGTGCTAAGAATTGAACCCAAGGCCTTGGGCATGCCAAGCACACACTCCACCACTGAGCTAATCTATTTTGCCTTTGGCGGGGAGGGGTGTTGGCTCTACACTCAGCAGCCTCACCTGCTCTGAATGCAGCCCACACTGGGTGCCCCTGGCTGGATTCCTATCCCATCCCAGGCTTGACTGCAGGCAGGAACGTGTCTCTGGCCTTGCCCTTTCTGCGGGAGCGTTGGCCACATTTCCTTGGATCTTCCAAGTTCCCTGTTGCACGTCTGGTTTGCTTAGGGAGCAGATACCTGGAGGCTGGTTCCTCCCCCGGCACCCCACTGTCGAGGACCTTATGCTAAGGTATGTGTCACCCCACCCCCAGGGGCCCAGCTCCACGCACCACGCAGAGCCTGGGGGTGGCCCGGCCTGAAGTAGTCGGTGTGCAGGCCTGAGCTGTTGTTTATGTGCTTCAGCTCCAGCGTGTCTTCCCGGTTCTGGTACCACTCCTTGACCTCCAAAATTTTGGTACCTGTGGGGCCCAAGGGTGCTCACTGCAGCCGGGACAGCATCCCACTGCTCCCAGCATGGAGCCCAGTGAAGCCCACACCTACACTAAGAGGCCCAAAGTCCCAGGTATAGGGTGACCCAGCTCTCCCTGGCACCCCAGACAGCACTGTGCCTTACACTCCAGGTCTTCATAGGTGGTGAGGCGGCACACCAGGCCATTGCTGTTGAGGTATGGGGCCCATTTCTCCAGCCGAGCTCTCCTGTACTGCAGCACCTTCTTCCCATTTGGGCAGCGGGTCTCAAATGCTATGGGTGGGCACAGGAGTGCTGGGGTCTCTCCTTTCAGGCTGGCACAGGAAGGGCCAACCCCACCTGGCCACTCAGCCACCCCATGGCCCTGAGTACTAAGAAGCCCTGAGCTCCTCCTGGGAGGAGGACAGTGGTTACCACCACTGACTGCAGACTGAGCTGCTTATGGATCTGCCCAAGCATGGGGTTCCCATAGACCAGAGGAGGGACCCTCCAGCCATGCCATTCTCACTGCCAGGTGCCTGCCTGTGCAGATCCCTCTTCCAGGATCACCATGGCAGCCTACCTTTGCTGGGCTCCATACAGACCCCCCAAAATTTAGCCTCAATCTGGCATGCTATTGCACACCCATAATCCCAGCATTTTGGAGGCTGAGGCAGGAGGATCACTGTGAATGTGAAGTCAGCCTGGGCTACATAGTGAGACCCTGTCTCAAAAAACTAAGGAAACAAGAAACAAAACTTAGCCTAGTGACCTTGTTCAGTCTGGCGTGTATCCTCCCCAGCCCTTACCTAGGGCTGGGCTATGTGCCTTACCCCCTGTGGAGACGGCCTGTGCCCTCCTTGTGGACTGGGACTCCCAGAAGGGCACCTGGGCAGCCAGCAGACATGAACCCTGGACATATGACATCTACTCTGCAGCCCTCTACCTGCCCTTCCTAGGTTCTGAGACCCTGCACTGTCTGCTCTGGGTACCTCACGTGGCCACTCTAGATGGGCATCTGAGGGAGGGAGGGGCAGTGTCCCAGTCCTCAGTGGCTCTGGTGTCAACCGAGCCCTTCTTGTGAGCCAGACGGAGTCAGGCCCTGGCCACAGAGCTGGCTGTGGGCTGAGGGAGGGATGAAGGGTGGGAGGGAGGGTGAAGCAGGAATGTGGCAAGGAGGGCCAGGGCAGTCCCTGCACGTCTCCCTCCTCCTCCCCACTGACTGTCAATGGACACCTTCCTGGAGCCCAGGGCTGGTTCTGGAGAGAGCAGTGAGCAGCATCTGCAGAGACCTTCTGGGGAGATCGTGATCTGTTCCACCCACGAGGACGGCATGTCAAAGCTCTTATCCTCTGTCTCCTTGCCCTGTGGGGAGTGGGGGCAGGTGGGTGGTGCTGGCCTCATCCCCCATACCACCCAAGCAATGGGTCCTCAGCTTCCCTGGGGAAGGTGGAGGTCAGGAGTGTGACCCAAGATACAGAAGTTGGGAGGAGTCAGCTCCTGCGGGGAGCCCAGCCCCTCCCCCCCCCTCCACCTGGCATGCACCCCTAGGAGTCAGGTGGACGCAGCCACACCCTCATCCAATGCCAGTTAAGCAGCTGAAGGTGAGTCCCTTAATTACTCCAGGTTTCAATATCCCTAACTGAGGCCTGGGCCTGTAGAGAGGGGGCAGTGATATAAGGGGTCAGAGGTCACCACCAGGCTAATGTTATTCCAAGTCTTTGTTTCCCCACCCGTAAAAAAAAGGCCTGATCTAGACAAAGATCCCTCCAACTAGGTATGCACCGACACTCGCATGAGATTTTCTCAATGTGTAAGTTTTCTCCCACAAAGATTACTAAAGATCCAAACTAGAGCTGTCACAGCACTAAATACAGGGCCTCCAGGAGTCTGCACATCATAGCCAGCAGGGGGCGCTTGTGTCCTGGATTTATCGCTCAGGGGAGGCCCCTGGTTTCCAGAGGGGACTCCCAGGGTATTCCACCCCCTTTCCAGGCCATGCTGCAAGGGCAGGTCACACGTTTAGACTGTCTCCTTCTCAAGCAACCCCACGAGAGTGATTGTTGAGAACTCAGACTTTGGAGCCAGGCTGTTTAATTTCAAATCCCAGCTCTGTCACTTAATGGCTGCGTTCCTCTGGATCAGTTATTCAGCCCCTCTGTGTGCAAGCCTTCCCATCTGTAACAGGGAACAGTGGGTAAAAGTCTGGATAATGGCACTGGGACCCACTCACCGCAGGGTGGTCCTGGAGGCTTAAACCTGTAAATTGCTCAGCACCACAGCCTGATAGTTGGGGCCCAGTGGATGCTGCTTATCACATGGGTGTTGCTTTGTCTTCCAAATTCATAGGACTGCATTTGGAGATAAGGTCCTTAAAGAGGTAGCCAAGTCTAAATGGAGCCATCAGGGTGGTCCTGTGCAAAAGGACTGGTTGTCCTTACGAGAGGAATTCAGGACACAAACTCATGCAGGGAGGATACCATGTGAAGCCTGGAGAAGATGCCTATGCAAACCCAGGAGGAGGCCTCAGAAGAGACTGCCCTGCTGCCCCTGGGTCTTGCACGTCCAGCCTCCAGAGCTGTCTTCAAGCCCCCAGCTGTGGCACCTTGCTGCAGCAGCCCTAGCAGCCTAATGTTCCTTTTCTTGAAGATGGATTCCCTATGTTATGTACAGATGAGGAAACTGAGGTTCCCAAAGCCAGGACATTTGCCCAAGGCCACATAGCCAGATGCAACACTAGGGGACCCAGAGTCTCCCACACAGACCTGCCTGGTGAGGTGAGGCTGGTGATCTAAGGCCTGGGGACAGTGCTGGACCAGGGATGTTTGGAAGAGCTGATAGGGCAGACAAGTAAGGCCTGCAGGGTGAGAGGAATCAGTGCCTCTCGGGATGGAGCTGAAGAGTGTCTGGCCCTCCAGCCCTGGTGGCTGGCAAGGAGCTGCCACACCCCTACTCTAAGGCTAAGCTTTCTGCAGGACCAAGACAGCCCCTGAACAGGGTGGGTTATTAGGGGAATGATCAGGAGGCCCAGATTCAAGGCCCAGCCTTCCCCTGACCCAGAGAGTCCTGGGCAGGCTCAGTGGGCATGTCCGGATCTCAGACTGCCTCCCAGAAGTCGTGCTTTAAAGGAGCTGTAATGGGTCCACCCGATCCCATTCCATACACATACATGGTTTGGGGGAGGTTTCCAGGTGCCCGAAGCAAGACAGTGCGCAAAGCTTTCCTCTGGCTCCGCACACCTCTCAGACTCACCAGATCTTCTATGTCATCATCATCGTTCAGCCCCTCATCCTCTTCCTCCATCAAGGACAGCTGAGGCTTATCTGTCCCCAAGAGCATGTACTCCCACCTCACAGGGTCTCCCAGGTCAAAGACCAAGTCCTGGTGGAGGGAGAGATAGCGAAGTGCACCCTCACTGCCCCAAGCTTCACCTGCTCAACAAAAGCAGGTCTCGGGCTGGAAGAAGCCTGCGGAGAATGCTTGCTCCTGGCCAACGCTCTCCTGCAACAGGGAAACTGAGGCCCTACCAGAGAGGGGCTAGCACTCACTGCCCATCACCCAGTCTCCCTACAAAGAAATCTTGCATTGATTGCTGGAGGAGATGTGGGATAGGTGGGGTGTGAGGTCACTGTGTGCCTCTGGGGCGTAGCCCGCTATCAGACGTGGGATTTCACTGGAAGAAGATCTGGCAACTGGGACAGCCGGCTGAGAAAAAGTGGCCTTAAGCGTTTCGCCCACACCAGGGCAAGGGAGCTGGGCAGGGTATAGCGCATAAGGTGGGAGGGGCTGCTCTTTCACCTCCTCTTTTCCAGCCTGTCTCAGGCCAGGGGCTCTGTCCCCTCAGTAGACAGTTCCTGCGAGGCAGGGAGCACCTCTGTGCCTGTGCCTCCCAGGGGACACGCCACTCTCATCACCCTCCAGGAAACCAGAGACTAACTTTGCGGCCTGAGAGGGGCTTCAGCACTCAGCTAGCTGAAGGGACAGATCAGCGGAGGCTCCTGCTCCCTGTCCTGGTGAGTCCTGGGAGAAGTCCTGAGAGCTACTGTGCCCTAGCTGGGGTGGTGGCTGGAAAAGGAGGACGTGACTGAGGACAGGGAAGGCCAGAGGCCCCGATGACACGACAGTGGCTGGGGAGAGTCAAAGATTGGCTGAGAGGAGCCGACTGCACAGATGCCTGTGTCTCTCCGACGTGGCCTAACCTCTGGCATGCGTGTCAGTGCTGAGCAGTCCTTATGTGTCGCTCCTTTACACGAAGTCCTATTTCTTCTATAGAAAAGGCATCGTTGAATGTGAATGTACAACTTCTATCTCCAACGAGCCCCATGGGCCCCCTCCTCCTCCAAGATGCTACTTCCGGTTCTCAGGAGGGAAAAGCACTTCTTCCTTCACAGTGCTCGTGTGGCAGTGACCATGAGGGGCACGTCCTTCACCCCTCACTCAGTTATGCAGTTCTGCCCCTCTGGCCCTCATTTCATCATTCTCTTATCTCGGTTGTCATTAGCCCTTGCCTTGCACAGATGCAGGGTGAGCCAGCTTGTGGTGTGGGTGCTGCAGGACAGGATAAGGACCCGAAGGCTAGAAGAGGGGCTTCCGGCAGCGGCCACAGGAACATCACCCTCTGGGAACCCGGACCACAGAGGTTTCAAGCCTGGCTCTGGAGAGCCAGTGTGGCGTGGGAGAAGCTGTTTCACTTCTTAGAGTCTCTGTTTCCTTATTTGTGAAATGAGAGTAATAAAAGCTAATGTTTACTGAGTAACCAGGGTCTGTTCTGAGCCCCTGGTGTTGTCTCCCAACCCCTGGGAAACTGGGAGAACCGAGATCCTGGAATCATAAGGGCAAAGTTTCTGTGTCTTGGAACTTTTCATTTTTGGCAGTACTGGGAATTGACCCTGAGGCCTTGAATGCTTCATGAGCTTTGTCCCCCATCCCCCCTTTTTTATTTGAAACAAAGTCTTATTAAGTTGCCCAGTGAGAATTTGTGATCTTCCTGCCTCGGCCTCCCAGCATGCTAGCTTCTAGCTCTGCCTCTGAACTTCAGATTTCTACTGTCGCAGAGCCACTCACCCTCCATTGCATGTTAACTCTGCTTATCTCCCTTATGGGTGACAGTAGTCCTTAGGAGGTAACATTAGAATAGGGAGCCAAAGGGTGGAGGATTTGTCTTTGGGACATGGCCTGCTCTTGAATAGAGGAACTTGGAAACAATAAAGAAGCACAGGAGTCAGAGCCTCGAGGCTAGAGTTCGAGGCCAGAACTCAAGGTCAGCAAGTCCTGCTGGCTTATTGGTGTCCTTGACATGCTGTGGGTGGCATGCTGTGGGTAGAGCCTTGGCCACCTCACATCCTGCCAGTGCACTCTATCTTGGCCCAGTGCCACCCTTACACACTCACGGGACCAGCTGGGACACAAAGGACAGAGGCATGGATGAAGCTCCCTGAACTCTCACCCTTGCTGGTGGGAGTGTAATTGCTACAATGATTCTAAAAGTGAGCAGAATCTTCCAAAGTGAGTACATGTTTCCTGATAGATATGTAGAAAAAGGGTCACATCAGTACTATCCAAAACAGTCCTGCCCAGGCATGGTGGTACACACCTGTAATCCTAGCACTCGGGAGGCTGAGGCAGGAGGATCACTGCAAGTTCAAGCCCAGCCTGGGCTACATAGTGAGATCCTATCTCAAAACACAAAAACCAAGAAACTGGAAATATCGACAGATGCCTCTATAGAATAGAAAAATAAGTTCTGTTGCACTTAAATAACGGGAGGTTAATAAACAATGAAAGTGAACAAAACACAGCTACACATAAAGCATGGATGAGACCCACAGACCCCATGGATGAAAGGGTGCAGGCATCAAGGATCCGCACTGATGACTCAACTGACAGGAAGTATGAAACAAGATGAAACTGACAGGTGTGCTCAGCTATGGAGGTGTTAGTGACCAGCAGAGGGGGGTGGGGACATCTCTGAGATGCTGGTCTTGATTTTGTAGAGGGTTCAGGGTATGAAAATTTAAGGATGTACACTTGGAATCATGTACTTCTCTGTACTCATGGTGTGTTTGTGTGTGTGTGTGTATGTGTGTGTGTGTGCATGTGAATCTGTGTGTGCAAAGGCCATTCATAAGCTAAGAATACATGCACACACAACTTGAGATGCTCCTGCCTCAGCCTCCCTCAGTGGGGGAGTTGTAGGTATGCGCCACCATGCCCAGCTCTCTTCTTGATCTGGGAGCAGGGAACAGGGCATGCTCAGTCCATGGGAAGTCGCTGGACTGCATGCTTGGGGGGATGCACCTTTCTCAGCAATGGTTACTGGTGGGCAAGACACAGGCCATGAGGATTCAGCCGTGGGAAAGCTCTCCCCGAGCCACCTCACACCTCCCTCCATCCTCCCCGCATGCCTGCCCCCAGACCCTGTGGGCACCTTGCAGCAGTTCCAACAGTCCTGCATGTTGATCCAGTAGTTCCTGTGATTCCAGAGGCTCTCAATGCCCAGGAAGTGGTCATCCTGGGAGCTGTAGCTGCGCCCAGTGAATGGGTCGATGAAGAAGCTCTCAGGCACCTCTCGCTTCCCTGACAGCACCAGGACCCAGCAGTGGACCCGAAGGCCATGCAGGGGATCAGGCTTGGCTTTCTCTGCCTCCTGCACAGAAAAGGTGGGTGACCTCCATCCAGCCAGCTGGGGGGGTGTGTAGGGTCAGGGGTCCAAACCTCTCCCGGGACTGGGGAACCACAGGACAGCTGAGATCTTCCCAGAAAGGACCTCTGAGCCCAGTGTTTGAATGAATGAAATGGGGGCTTCGACTAGGTCTAGGGTCACCAACTAGATCTGTATGGCTGTAGGTACTGGGGTTGGCTTTGTGTGTTGAGATTCAGGGTGAAAGTAGGGTAACTCCTTCAATAAAGAGTTCACTGAGAATTCAAAGAAAAGAAACATTTGGCTTCCTGTCCTCATCTTGCCAGTAGAACTGTGCCTGTCATGGTCCTCAGAGTGTCCCTAGCAGGGTCCCCCAGTGCCCAGAAGGGTGGAGGCTGCAGGGGGCCCACCAGGAGACGCTCCTCCTCCTCCCGCTGCTGCTTCTCCTTCTGGGCTTTGGCCTCCTTCTGCTTCTTGATCTCCTGCTGCTGCTCAAACCTGCTGGTCAGGTCCCGGGGCGGCTTGATGGTGTACTTTTTGGGCTGGGCCTTTTCTTTCGTCTTGACTGTCTGTCCCAGCAAGAGAGGAAGTGTGGCTGGCCTCGAGCAGTGCCCTCTACACAGCTCAGAGAGCTGAGATGTCTTGGCCCTGGAGCCAGGGACTGGCAGTTGCTCCTGCAGCCTGTGAGAATGGTGAGCCCAACAGCAGAGAGAGTGGCAGCTCTAGCTCTGGGCCCTCTGGGTTTCAGGCTGCTGTGTAAAGGGGGTGAGAATACTGGAAACTTCTCCCCAGGCTTGTGCAGCAGAGGAAAGGAAAATGCCTATGAGAACTGTCATCAGGACAAGGGGGGACTGGGGAGGCAAGGGTTTCTCCTCTTCACTCCCTACCAGCCAGATCTGAACCAGAAAGTGGGCGAACTGGAGAGGGTCAGATTTTTCAAATAATTTATCACTGGAGGGTATCATGTGTGGACTGAAAGTATGAGTTTGTAGGATCGGGAAAAAAAGAAAAGCCTGTGTGTGGATGTGTGGGTGTACATGTGTGCTGAGGGTGTGAGTGCACTCCTGTGTGTGTGTGTGTGTGTGTGTGTACACACGTTGAGAAGTGTTTCTGGGGAGGAGCAGGGCAGAAGCTGCCGAACTGTGCCTGTGACCACTGGAGAGAAACAGGGATCTCCAGGGTTTGGAGGCTAACACAGCCCAGTGCAGGCCCTGGGTCTCCTAGCACTCGTTGTGTGACTTCGGTCATGTGATTTTGCCTTCCTGTTTTATCTTATCAGCCCCAGCTGTAACATAAGAGCCATAATCTCTACCACGCAGGATTATCGTAGGAGCGATCGAGTGCGTGGGCATGAATGTAGGCCGCAAGCCTGAGGCTCTCTGCATCTGTTGCTTGTTGATGTAATTTTGGTTATTAACATTTGGCTCATGCACCAGCCATGCACAAGCTCAGCGCCACAGCTATATTGGACCCTTTGCTCTGCCATCCTTTGGGGTGCAGCAAGGCTGTCCTGGGGGCCTCCTTTTTCTTGCCCTCCCCCCACTTGTGCCTGGGGTTCAGGTGTTCCCTCAGCCACACGGGTGCTGTGCATCCTGCTGGAGGCCTCAGGTTTCTGGATCCCCAGTGGGCCCCTGGGCAGCATGACCCTGGTCACCGCAGAGTCCTGGAGGCCTCCAGCTGGTGGAAAGCACTGTAGCAGGCCTGGTTCCCCAATGGAAAGCAATGGCCTAAAGATTCTGATCACTAAAATTCATTTAAGAGCGTGTCATGTGTTCACAGCAGCTCTGGCCACATAGAAAAACAACTACCACTTGTTGGAGGGCCACATTTTTTTCTACTAAAAGTGGCCTTTTTTCCTGGTTAAGAGGAGGAGACTGAGAATCAAATCTCTACACTCACTTGTTATTTCCCTAGATGTGAGCGGCAGGCGAAGTTTTGCCAAATGCATATGGCAAATGGAGTTCTTCTTAGGAGGAGGGATGTGACATTCACCAGACTCACCCAGTGGGACACAGTAGCTTAAACTGAATCAATGATGGGAAAATGCTACCTGTTGTGGAGAATCAAGCTATGGTGGTTTTGAAAATAGACTTGAGAGCAGCCAAGAAAGGGGCAGCTTAGTGACAGGGCAGCTTAGTGACAGAGCGGCATCCTCGTGGCTGGGGCAGGGACATGAGCCTGTAAGGATGGCACAGCACAGGTGTGTATCCTGGGGGATGCCAGCCATACCTCTTTGGGCTTCACCGTGAGCGGGCACACCTCGCGTGTCAGATCCATGTTGCACAGGGCCTGCGAGCCGTAGCCATTGACGCAGTAGGCGTCGTAGCCAGCGCCAAGCAGCATGGAGCAGAGCAGTGTGCTGAAGTCGAAGCAGTTCCCCTTCTGCTGCTTGAGCACCGTGGTCGAGGAATACAAGTGCGAGGGCTGTGGGGCAGGCAGTCAGCAGGGGTGGACCACTGCCCCTAGGTATCTCTCACCTGTCCAGGGGGCAGGGCTGAGAGCTGCGGGCAGCTGGTATCCCCCATCACCACCTTTTGGCACCTTCTGAAGTCATGAAGGGGACTGAGGCAGAAAGAGGCAGAGGAGGCCAAGAGGTGGTGGCAAAGGGGCCGGGCTTGCTGTGTCCTTGGGCAAGTGGCTATATCTGAGCCCATGTCCCCACAGGGGGTCTCTGTGGCCTGACCCTGGCTGAACCTCCTTCTCCCACATCCTGCCTCGCTTCTTATCTTGGGTCTGCTGGGCTGCAGATGCAGCCTGTGAGTGGCACCCACCGGCTTAAGGGGGTCCGGGAGCGGCACCTTGGTGAGGAAGTCAGAGACAAAGTTGGCACAGCCGTCCCAGTTGTAGAGGTCAGGGTAGGGCATCAGCGTGGGCCGGATGGTGGTGCTCACAAACTTCTGCAAGGGGATAGATCAAGCCAGGGCCATGCACAGTAGGGACTCCTGCAATCCTGTGCCTGGAGAGGCCTCCTTCCTCAGTGCATCGGGAGACCCTAGGGGTCCATGCAGCAGACCAGGTCTGAGGGCTCTGGGGTGGCAGAGAAGCCCCTGGCTGCAAAGGTGACACTCAGGTCTGGCATGTGGCAGCTATTGATGAAGCAGTGGCAACAGCTGGCACAGAGCAAGCTTATTCAGGATCTAGATGAGGAGGGCCTCAGAGAGCCCCTTCCTCCATCCCCTGGGGTACCCGTGGGGGAGACCGAGGCCCAGAGTGGCCAAGTAAGCTGGCCGAGGTGACATAGCAAGTCAGGGATGAAGGAGCGCAGGTCTCCTGCCAGGCGTGGGGCCCTCCCGAGGCCTGCAGAGGTTCTGGGTGTAGGGGGTGGCTCCTGGGCTTGCTCTAGCCTTAGAGGTGAAGCCCACCTCTAAGGGCAGATTAATAGGACAGAATAGATCAGGACTTGTACCAGGACCAGAGCAAAGCACCGGCTTCTTCCTTCCAACCCCATAACCCTAGGCAGCTCCCTGGTTTTCTCTGGGCCTCAGTCTCCTCATCTGTAGGTAGAGCGGCATGGCATTAATCCAAAGACTGCAAAGCAGCAGCCCACAGTTCAGCGGTGTTCCTCAGCCTTGTTTAATTTGGCCCGTGCGGACATTTCTAACATTTGTGTTAACTGCCCCATTCAAAAATCAGAGCCCCATGCAAACCCCACTCCTTTCTTTCCTTGAGCCACCAACCACAGGCCTTAGTGTCCCCTCAGACTGCCTCCTCAGGTGGGCCTGGCCTTGTAGGGCTGAGTGACAAGAGCCTGTGGCCTGCTGGCATTTGCAATTATGCTGTGGGGACTAGGAGCTCAGGCTGGCAGGAGGCCTGCTGCTCAGCAGAGACCTTGGGGAACCAGTGTCAGCTCCCTGTGCTCCCCAACCTGGGCCCTGCCCTCTGTTCCCAGCCTTACAGGAACTTCACACTCATTCAGCGGGTGCAAGAAGAGCGGCACGCGGTCTGGACACAGGTGGCTGTACTGGCGGGAGAAGTTGTCGGCCACCTGCAGCAGGTGCTCCTCCTTGGGCGTGTTGGTTTTGTAGGAAAGGGGCAGGTTGGAGACATCAATGGTGTCCTCAGTTATGACCCTGCACCACAGTGCAGATGGCATCAGTCCAGGGGAGGCAATGCCAGGTGCTCACAGCCCCTCAGTCTACCTCATCATTTAATTCTCCCTCCCCAGTCTTAGCTCACTCCCCAGTGCCCTCCGCCCTCCTCCAGCCTGGCTCTTCCTGTGCCTGGCCCTGGTCTGCCCTTGCCCCAACACACTCACGGGGTCCCTGCTGGAATGGGGATTTTGATCTCCGATAGCTTCTTCTCCAAGTCTCTGAGCATCTCCTGGGTCAGGATGGTTTCTTCCTTCTGCACCTCCACTGGCCTCGTTTTCTCCATCCTTTCAGCCCGCTCAGCAGCCTCCTCCCTCTCGGCAGCCTCCTCCTCCTCCACTTTCTCCCTCAGCACCTCCATTCTGGCAATCTCTGGCTATCTAGAGATGATGTCTCTGGAGAGAAGGGCAACTGTTCTCATAGTGGCCCAGGTCAGATCAGACCAGGTTCTCAGAGTGGCCCATCAGACCAGGCAGGAGCCCCCAGACCCCCTGCACGTGCCTGGCCACAGTTTCCAGTGGTTTCCTTCCAACACTTAGGGAGGAAGCAATTACTGCTAAACTTCAGTCCATCCCCTGGCCTGCTGTGCCAGCTCCGCCCCCGGGGCATGCTGAGACAGCCATAATCCCAGCACTTGGGAGGCTGTAAACAGGAGAATCACTACAAGTCTGAACACCCTGTAGATACTTCCTAAAATACAGAAAAAAAAAAAAAATGAAATTGAGATTTTCTCAATGAAGGAGAAAGTCTCAGGGGCCAGGTATATAGCTCAGTTGCATATGCGCCTGCCTGGCAAGTGCAAGGTCCTGAGTTTGATCCCTGGTACTACATTAAAAAAGGAGAAAGTTTCTGGTTGATACTAGCACCTCTGTACTACTTCTGCCACTTGCAAATCAGCACAGACACTTAGCTCAGGGGCTTTGGGTCAGCTAGCCCAAAGGCCCCAACATGGCTTGTCTGTTATCTTTATTTTTGACAGTTATCTTCTCCTTCTGGCAAGTGATGCTACTGATGCTGTGGGAATTGCTACATGGTGCAATGTTTTCTATTAAGATATATTTATTTTTTAAAGTTATGTTTATTAAGGCCAATAAATGACTAGGCTTAAAGAAAATTATTCAAAATCATAAGGTGACAAAAATATGACAAAAAAAGAGAGAGAGAAGATGGGAGGTGAATGATATCTCATCTTGCCAACTAGAAACTGAGGCGCAAAGAGAGCAAGCGCAGGACTCCCTCCAAGGCACTGAGACAAAGGGGTGGGATGAGCATTATCATTCTCCGATCCGCACAGAGAAGCTATCTGGGGCTCAGGTACCCAAGAAAAGCCTGGCCTATGGCCACAGAGCAAAGCCTTCTCGCTAACTTGGAATCCTGGCCACCCACCCAAGTTTCTAGGGCCACCTCCTGTGCCCCCTGCAGACTTTCAGTGCATGTGGAAACCAGCCTCCCCTTGGGTCCCTGTTTCAGGATACCCAGCACCATCCCAGGTGACACAGGGGTCCCCTGCCTCCAGCTGAGGCCTTTCCACCACCAGCTTTACATCTGCTTTCCTAACAGCAAACAAGCAAAGGTCCAGCACCCCAACCCACCAGTGGTGATGGGGGAGATGGGGACATGGAGATAAAGAGGAGGGTCTCCCAGGATTTGTCCTGCTGGAGACAAGCCAGGGCTGAGAGGAGGGTTGGCTGGTATGTAGTTTAGTGTAGAGCATTTGCCTTGCATAAATGTAGCTCTGTGTTGAGGAGGTAGGGAAAGGAGGTGCCTAGCCCCCCACTGTGCACCCCTGCCCAGGCCACCTCTGCCTCTTGGGGAGCTGAGTCACAGCTGCCATCAGGACTGAGATTGGCTAAGAGAAAATCTGGCTCTACCCACAGCTCCCACTAGGCCCTAACTTTGGCTGGGCCTCAGTTTCTCTTTCTGTCATAAAAAGGGGGACTTTCAGGGGTGTGGCTACGTTATAGAGCATTTGCCTAGTATGTGGCAGGTTCTGAGTTCTGTCTTCCACACTGTTAAAAAATAAAAAGAGGAAAATAAGGTCACGTACAACTTCAATTGACCAGTGAGGCCTAACTAGCCCAGCCAGAAGTTCAAAAATGGAAAGAAGTACAGCTTTTTGTCCATTCTGACAATATGTGTGCTGGGACTGAGGAAAAGCTAGACACATCCTTTGGTGGAAGTCAGCCTGCCCAAGTCCCAGACAGGTGAGGTCTGCTATCCTTCAGGGCCCGGTCAGGATGACAGTTCCCCATGGACAAACCTCCAGCCAAGCTGCACAGCCTGTCATCAGATCCAGCTATCTGCATTTCAGGCACAGAGAAGCAGTGCCCAGGCAGGGCAGCTGATGTGGTGGGTGCCGGGGCATGTGGGGTAGGCCTGGTGCTAATGGCTTTGTTTAACCTTGACTGACTCTATGAGGCAGGCAGTCTTACAGGATCCACTTTGCAGATGTGAAGACTGAGGCTTGGAGAGCTTAAGCAAGCTGTGTAGGTCACAGCACCAAGTGGCAGCTTTGGGAGAGGAATCCACATAGGTCCTCTAAAACTCACATTTCAGAGCTTCAGGAGATGGAGAAGTTCTAGAAGGGACGGCGGGGGTAGGGGAGTGGTGGGCGAGCAAGGAAGTAGGATGGAAAGAAGGTCAAAGTGTCAGTAAGAAGCTGGGGCAAACACAGGCCGGGGTCACGGGACGCCTGTGTCAGAGATGAGGTTGGGACTAGACCTATGACTCTTTATTTCCTCCTCAGCTACAGCCAAGTTGCTGGGGAGGGGGGTCCCCACCAAATTCCCTGGACTCTGCCTAACATAGCTCCTGCACACCACGCCCAGCAGCAGCTTCCACCTCCTCCCCACCACACACACACACACACACACACACACACACACACACACACACACATTCATACACACATTCCCCAAAACAAAACAAAACAAAACTTTCCCAGAAAGAACAGGCCTGGAGACTCTAAACCAGAGAAGCTCCTTACCCTACCTCCTCTTTTCTCCCCCTGACAGGCACAGTCTAGCACGCCCAGCACCCTGCACCCTCCTTACCCTCCGTGCACAGCTTATCTGTTAGCTATTTCCATGGTTACCGCTGAGGGCTAATCCTGGGAGAGGTGCCTTCTGGGAAATGTAGTCCTCTGTGATCAGCCAGGTCTGGTCCTGGACCTTGACAGGCTGGTACAGCGGAACGCCAATGTGCGAGGTGACTGTTAGTTAAACTTTAAGGAACTTTTATGAATCAGTTATCAAACACAGCACTATTAAAAATTAGATGATAAAAAAATTAGATGATAAAAACCCCATGAGGAAATAACTATATTAAAAATAAAAGCAATGAGTACTTAAAACTCATGACTTCCTAATTATTCCAGTCTTTGGCTCTTGGCTGGGCGCCTGAGGTGGTCTATATTGGAGGTGGTTTCATCTGAGCCATTTTCCAATGCCAGCTGATGGGAGCAAGTGCTCGGGTCAGTCTAGATCCTACCCAAAACCTGTGTTTCTTGGCAGTGCTACCTCTCATCGTCTGCATGTGGCCTGCGGCTGAGTGTGCTGTTCTGTTCCGTTTTCTTCCTTCCCATCTCTGCAGTCTCCGTGTAGGGTGTAACACTCTGACCCTGCAAGTATCTTTCCATGTCTGGAGGTTGTCTCCTCCCCTGGTGCCCGCTTTCATTAAGACTGACAGTAATTTGAAACTTTGATACCTCCTGTGCATTTTAGTCAGTTTTTGGAGCATCTAAAAAGCAAAATCAGCTGGAATCATTATTGGGGTTGTATTCATAGATTAATTCATGAGGGATTTTAGATCTTTTAATACTAAGTCACCTGAGAACACAGAGCAAATAAGTCTTCTTATGTTCTGCCTGTTTGTTATGTTGTAGTAAGAACACTGACGAGGAAGACACAGGAGAGAGAGGAGGCAGAGGCCCCAGAGAGAGGGGCTGCTCTGCCGCTAGGGGCCAGGCAAAGCTGAGTCACATTCACAGCAGGCCCAGGGACAGGCACTGGGCCATCCAGAGCCAGCGTCTCCCATACTCTTTCTGTCTGCATACCCGGCTGCGCAGGCCAGGAAGTAAGGCCTGGGCCTGGCCCTCGGCACCTGCGGAGCAGGGTGGGCAGCAGGCAGGTGGATGCAGGGATGTTTCCAACCGTGGTGGTTAGTGCTGCCAGTGAGGGTGGGAGCTCTGTCTGTCAACCCTGGTCTTCAGGTCTTAATCCCTCCTAGCTGAGCACGAGACCTAGGCCATTCAACCCCTGCCTCATTGTGCGGTGGAAAGCCAGCCGGGAAAAGGTGGCTACCTTCCTGTCTGTGCTGGAAAGCCCAGCTATGGGCGTGTGTGCTTGGATCAGCCTACATCCTACTCAGCATGTCTGGCCAGCTGCAGTTGCAGCCTCCCCTGGGTTCAAGATGAAGACAGGTGATAGTCTGGGGGGAGGAGCCAGCCATGCGAGAGCCTGGCCCCAGCATGAGCCCGGGCTTAGGAGCAGCTCTGGCTGGGAGGGGTGCTGGGCCACCATTTCCAAGGTGCCTTCTCTGAGGCAAATGGCCAGGGGGAGCCAACCAATTCTTACTGAGTGAGTGCTGCATGCTTTTTAAAAAAATCATAATGCTCTTAGGAGGAAGCAGGGACTTCATTATCCCTATTTTAAGGGAGGGGAAATAAGGCCTGGAGAGGAGGGGACAGGCCCAGGGTCACACAGCTCCAGAGGAGCTGAGTCAGGCCTGTCAGACACCAACAGGAACAGGTGTTGCTCTGGTCAATCAGGTCACTGACTCAGAGACTTTGGGGTAAGGGAGCAGAGCCCTTCAGCATGAGAAACAGTTGTCTGTAAAGATAAGTCCCCAAAGTCACCATGCTTGTCCATTAAAGCACACCATGGCCCCTCCGTGTCCACACCCCAGGATTTCCCTTCCAGGAACACAGCGGCTTGCGCAAAGCAAGAGACACCTTCCTGTCTCTCCTGGCAACAACACCCTGCTGCTGGGTGGGAGGAGGGAGAAGGGAGGGTGCTTCCCCAGTGGACCTCTGCACCCCCACTCCCAGAGAGCAGCCCACAGTGTGGGGGGCTGTGGGGAGTATCTGAGAAAGACACTGAGTCCTGTCTATAGAGTCAGTCCATGGTGACATTGGGTGGTCAGGTGAGGAGGTGGGTGGCAGGCTAAGACCAGAATGGAGTGACAGCTTGTGGGGAGGGGACAGATGCTGTCCTGGCCCTGGCTATCACTCTCTGCCTGTTTCCTGTCCATGTCTGTCAAGGCTCTCTGCCCCACCCCCCCCACGTGTCTCTCCTCTATCTCTACTTTCTGCTGCTTTTTTGTTTCTTACTGGCAAACCTGCCTGCAGATCGGAAGAGGCACAGCTACTGGAAGTGATGTCCCTGGGCCGGGTGTGGCCTCACTTAGAGTCCTGCCAATACATCATTCTGCTTGACCAGCAAATGTGAGAGTTTATTGAAATATCTGGGCCAGTTTGGCTTGACATGGGCCAGCCCTGAGCTCGGACTGGGCTGGAATGGTGAGTGAGGCTGCTCTGCTCCCTACTTGTGGAGAGGATGTCCACTCTGCCTAGCAAGCCCTCTCCCCACCACCCCTTGACCCCACACACTGAGTGGATGGGGGTGCGAACCCTTGACCCATCTTGACAGCAGATCAGAGGTCTAGCTGCCCACCTAGCGGTTGGTGACTCATACACTTTAGGGAGTGTATATGGTGGGCAGCAATCTCTGAAACCTTTGTACCCAGGCCCCTGAGGGCTGGAAGCCACCTGAATGATAGGGGTTCTTCCATGAGAATGGGCACTGGTAGGGTGGGCAGAGATTAGGATCAGCCCATCCTCAAAGCTAACTTCTAGTCTACAACTCCCTCTTGCCCCAGGGGATAATGGCTTCCTGAATACCCTTCAGGGACACAGGTAGCCAGAGAGTAGAGTTGTGACAGGGAGAAAAGAGGGAGAGGCGTGCTCTTTGAGGGGGTGTTGTGCAAACCAGACTGGCTGTTTGGGCTCAGGTCCTGCTGAGACCAGAAGGTGGGCAAGGGTGGCAATCCAGAGTGCTTTGCTGTGCAGGCAGGGAAGGAGGCGATGGTGGTGCTCTTTGTTGGCAGGCATCTTGGGGCCACAGGAACTCCCGTTTCCTGCTAACCCAAACATGTGGACTCTCAGGTCCACGTCTGTCTCTGAGTGGGACATACGTGGCCACGTGGCCCAACCTGGTCCATCATCTCCCTCTACAGCCGCAAAGTACAGAGAAGGCGGCTGAGGCCTAGGACAAAGCAGGGAGACACAGAGGTCACGCAGTGAGCCAGAACCGATGAGAAAGCAGGGCTGTGCCTCCTACTGTTGCGATGTGGAGTGGGCTTGGTCCAGGCGGGCGGTGGTGCCAGAGGAGGGGGATTTGGAACTCAGACTTGGAAAGTAGAGGATGGTGAACCAGCAGAAGATGAAGACACCTGCAGAGGAGAGAGGAGCTCGGTGAGCTCAAGGCGCTGGGCAGCCTGGGAGGCAGCTGCTGAGGTCGAAAAGGTCCTTCTGGGGCCAGGGAGATGGCTCAGTAGAATAAGTGCTTCCCTGGCAAGCACAGGGGCCTGAGTTCAATCTTTGGTTCCACGTTAAAAAAAAAAAAAAAAAAAGAAAAAGTCCTTCTATAAGTGTTCAAGGGCTTAGAAAAAAAATCAGGCAAAAATAAAACCTACTCCTATAGAAAAACCGAAAAGAAATCGTGCAGATGAAAAATAAAGACCTTGAAATATGCACCTACAATGGCTGACCAAAAGACAAGGTAAATGTTTATAAGGTATTGCAGGGCCAGGATATAGCGCCGCAGTGTGGCTTCTGTGGACAAGCTTAAGGTCCTGGGTTTGATTCCTGGTACCAAACAAAAATATATCTCAGTAAAAAACACATTGTTGTGAATTTCCCTGCAAATTACTCCCTCCACCTCTTAATACGCTTATCATTTTTTCTACTTCTAAGCCATTCCAGACATTCTTGTGCATGTCATTTTGAGGTGTGTTAAAACATAACGAATGTTGCTGCAGAGAGCCATGCTATGGGAAGGCGGGCCTGTAAGAACACCAGTGAGCCTTTGTCCACCCGATTCACTGGACCTGGCACCTGTGACTTCTGGGCCTTGACCATGAAAGGTAACTATTTTTAGTTGATTCAGTACATCGAGGCATCCGTAGCAGTGCAAGTAAGGACAGAGTGGTAAGAGTGAGACAGTGTATTCGAAGTGAGAGAGAAGTCTTTGGAGAGGGATTAATGACCATGTGTTTTTTGCTCTTACTTTTCTCTATTTAAAACACACTGTCTGTTTCGATCTCACTTCATACATCTATCACAGAAAAGAAAGAGCCACATAAGGGAATTTTCGGACATACAAACCCAGCACCATTACTGCATGTCTCTTAGTCTGCTCTTTTTTCTGGGACAAATACCCGACACCCAAAATGAAGGAATGAAAGGTTTGTTTAGCTCACAGTTACTGGAGGTCTCAGTCCACACTCCGCTGGCTCCAAGGCAGAGCGGCACATGGCAGAGAGCAGCCTTCATGGTGGTGGCAAAGAGCAGAAAGCGAAATGGAAGAGGAGCAGCAACAATGGCCACGGAGAGCAAGCCTGTCGCCCTTACGTTGCACTCAGCCTATCAACCCCAGGCTGGGTGTAGTACTCACACCCATAATCCTTGAGCATGAGTTAATCTCAAACTCTAGAAGTCCCTGCCCCATGACTGCATGAGGCTTTGGGGGGACAACTGGATACAACCCATAACACTGCATGGGGCTTCTCTACTGTTCCTCTATAAATAAATATTATGGAAAGAAGAGGGAAGGAGTGGGATGTAGGAAATTAGAGGAAGTACAGACATTGACCGAGAAAGAATATGAGTACGTTTAAAGGAAATACATAACTAAAATGCTATACCACAATAACAATATTGAGAACTGTTCCATGGGTAATTAAAATGTACCCAGGGCTCTGTTGGGAAGAAGCTAGAAATATCAAATAATACAGACTCAGTTGAAGCTGAACTAAATAGACTAAGCCATGCAGGCTGAAATATCAAAATAACTTCTGCAAGAATGTCATAATCTATAATTTCAAGATGTATCTGTTGGGAGCAACTGAAGCTGAAATTGATCCTATGTGGGAAGCAGGATGAGGCCTCACTGTCTAAGCAGTCAAGCTACCGTAGTCTTGAATAAAACATCCTGCCTGGACATTGTGGGCTATTGGTCCCTAGGCAACCTTGTATCTTGTAGCTTTGCAAAGGTATAGATAAAGACCCTTAGTATTGTTCAACAAGTCATTTCACCAGCCATGCAGATGAGCCACCACCTAACCCAGCTCTTGTCTTCTTGTCCATCTTTTCCTCATTCCTGATGCCTTTTCTCCCCACATACAATGGACCACACCAAGAGACTGACTGATCCCTACATATATCTCCTCCCAATCCTTAACCAGTGGGACTTTCCAGATATGGGCTTAGGATTCTTCAGCTGAGAACAACCTCAGAGGGCACTAAAGTAATCATTTCTACTGCTATTAATATAGTCCCACACACCAAAGACCTGCAAAGTCCCACACATGCACAATTAGTTATTCATTATGAAATCTAGAGAGATCAGCATTGAGATTGTCCTGCCTATAGAGATGAGGGGCTAGGGATGTGACCCAGTTGGGGTAGTCCTTGCCTCGAGTGCTCAAGGCCCTGGGTTTGATCCCCCAAACCAGAGGGAAATAAAAAGAGTCAGATGAATGAGGATCAAAAGAGGTGAATAACTTGCTGGAGGGGTGGGTGGAGCTGAGAGTTGAATCCACATCTGCCTGGACCCAACCACCAGGCACACAGTGTCATGGAGTCCTGGTTGTGAGTTTGTATCTACTACATCTAGGGTGGCTGGCTTCCTATTGATTGCCGCAGATGGGAGAATCTTGTCACCTCCTTCTTGCATGTTTGTTACCTTCATAGTCAGGCAGGATGCTGTTTTGAGCTATGTATATGTGAATAAGAAATCAAGGAGCAAAGAGCACAGGTGTGGAGTGGAAACTGCGGCCCACTCTCTGGAATCTTCCTTTCCTAGGCTCTCAGAGGAAAGAGGAACTGGGCCAGGTAACTGACATAACAATCAGCCCTTTCCTCCCTCAACAGCTCCTTAGAGATCCTATCTTTGTCATGTGGACATCAAATCACATGACTTTGCCATCCTGATCACATCTGATTGAACCAGAGATGGTCAGCTGACTTGCAAGATCAGAGAGAGGCAGCCATGTTGGACAGCCACTAGGGGCCGTGGTAACAATGGTCAAGAGAAAGAGAATAAAGTTTCCACAGACACCTTATGAGAGAACAAAAGAAAGGAGAAGAATATGCTTTGGTGTGAATGATTTTTCCTGATTCTGGTACCAGCCCTTATGAATCAGCCACCTTTGCTGTCCCATATCCTAAGAGAGCACCAGATATGTAAAATTAATATGTCCAATCTGTACTAGTTTTTGTGGAATCCTGTTTGCTGCAAACACCCTCTTTCCCACCTCCCAGCAGCTCCACAGCCTCCCTGGTCCAAGATCCTCACCTTGTAGGGAGTTGAAGAAGGCAAAGATATAGATGGTGGACAGGCCTAGTGGTGTGAGGATGGCCAGCCCCCAGGTCATGCCCACCAGACTTGAGAGGCCCAGCACGGTGAGAACAGCCTTCCAATTCTGTCTCTTCTCCTTGTTCGCTGTGACACTGGACAGAGTGAAGATCTTCCAGGACACTAGGGCCAGCACCACAGCACCAAAGAGGAAGGTGATGAAGAAGTAGCCATGGACAGTGGCATAGAGGGCAGGTTCTTTCTGGAACCAACACCTGGAGGGAGCGGATGACCTCTGGGGCTGGAAAAAGATCCCCCTGGACAGCAAGCCCCAGGAAGTCTCCCTGGATAATCTTTTAGGATCAAGAAGATGCCTTTTCACTGTTTCTACTCATATGCCCCTCCTCTCTCCTGAGCAAGGAACCAGCCTGGTAGCTCTTCAGATAATGGGTATAAAAGAGCTGAATCAACCCATGTTGTGTTTCATTAACTTCATATCATGTTGCATATAATCCCAAATTAGTAGCTGCAGTTGAAATCAGAAAGCTTGGCATAAACAGCCAGATTTGTGCTTCTCTTGATAGTGACCAGCAGCCCCTTAGTTAGACAGGTGACTCCTAGCCACTGCCATCCTCCCAATTGTATAGATGAGGAGGCTGAGGCCCAGGAGAGGCCAGGCTTACCCAAGCCACACTTCTAGGGGTCAAGGAAGAGCCTGGGCTGCTGCAGTTATTGGGCAGGTTGTGCCCCATCAAAGGGCACCTGAAGTCCAGCCTGCCCTCACTCACCAGGATGAGTGCTGGGCATGGGGAGGGAGTCACCTTTTTTACTTTGTCTCCTCCCTCCTGGGCCCTCTCCCATTTCACTTTCTGTGCCCAAAGGTAGCTGGATCTGAAGATTCTGGCCTTTACATTTTTGGCTTCTCTTTCCCAGGATACCCTCTTCCCTCACCTCCCTCCAGCCCCAAGATGTGAGCTCTCTTGCCTGCTACTTACAGCTCCAGTGATGTACGGTTCTCTTGGTCACGGACGGCATAAAGGCCATAGCTGTTGGCACTTCCGGCACCGATGACCACTAGGGCGGGCAGGCCTGGGCATGAGGCGAACAAGCAGGCATTGTAGGGCATCATGGGAATACCTGCCTCCAAATCTCTAGGCTTATCTGAGAGGGTCCTTCCTGCTGCCCAGGAGCACTCACCCCAGCCCAACAGGCTCAGTTTCAGGAAGTAGTGGCCAAAGTAGGTGTTGAAGACCCTGATGGATAGCAAGTAGAGGTGCAAGGCTTCCAGGCCCATCCAGGTGAAGGTGCAGAGCAGGCAGTAGTGGAACACAGCACCTTGGATCCAGCAGGCCACACTGGGTGCCTGCGAGCCGCTCCCGACGCTGACCAGGAAGGCGAGGTTCAGGAAGAACAGGCTACTGCTCAGGGACATGTGGATCTTGGGGGCATCTTCTGACTTGAACCTCCTCAGGGAGAGCCTGGGGTGAGAAGGCCCATTGGGGGACCCCAGAGCTCACACCTGAGTGGGGCATCTGGGCCTGTCCACACCTTTTTGGTTCCACCCCAGTACCCCACTGCCAGGCTCTCCAGCTTCTGCCTCTGCCACCAGCCCACGTGTGAGCCCTCAGGTTCAAGCCTAGAAGTGATCTCACGGCCCATGGGTCCCTGTGGGTTGCGTTTTGCCAGGCTCATCACTTGACTCCATGTGTAGGCCAAACTCACAGCCTGCAGTTGCCTCGGTGCCTTTTGCTTCCTCCTGCTTCCCAGGCGTGGCACATCCTTGCCCCTCCTCTCAGCACCTTTTCCTTCTCCTGGACTCCACCTCTTTTTGGCCTTCCCAACTCCTACACTGCTTTCAAAACACTCTGGGATGTTTCCTTCTCGGGAAGTTCCCTTGAATGGCCCGGAGCCCAGGCTGATTTGGGTGTTCACAGCAGCGCAATGGAAGCCCCGTCCTCCCCTTGTTGTGCTCTTTCTGTGCACTCAGGGCCCAGCATAGTGGAAGATGGGCCCTGGATTCATTGGCTGGACAAGTGGGTGACACAGGATGGATGAGTGAGGCCTTGGATGTAGGAAGGAGAGAGGATCAGAGAGGGACGGGGACTTCCAGAGTCTCAGAGGCTTGCGCTACCTCTGCCCAGGCCTTTCTAGCAGGGCCTGCCTCCTTTCCCCACGGATCCCCCACTCTGAATTCATTGTAAACCAAGTCCAATGGGAGGAGCCCAGGGCAGCCTGGAGGAGCATAAGGGACAATGTCACCTTCACCTGAGTTGCCAGCCCCATCCCTGGCACCTGGTAACATTTTTACCTGGCGCTCTAAGCCCAGTTCATTGGTCCAGCAATGCAGCCAGTTGGCAAATGGTGCTCAGCTTGTTGGAGATGGTGACAGTGTCAGAAGCCAGGGCCCGGAGTGGGGAGGGTGGTGGGGTGGGTGGGCTCATGGGACCACTGCCCAGGGCCATGCCATGATGGAGGCACGGAGGCATGTGTGTGGGGGGAAGGGGAGCCCCAGACTGGAAGAGGGGGACCTGAGTGCTGCCTCAGTCCGGGCACAGTGAGCTGGGGCTCCAGTAATGGAGGGCAAGGCAGGATAGGTTGGGCTGCTGCTCTCAGGTCCTGGGGCTCCTTAGCCAGGAACAAGGATCAGGAAAGTACGGGACAGTGCTCTCTGATGTTCCTGCCTGCCCTGCTTCAACTCCCCACTTTCAATGCAGCCCCTGGTGACCCCGAAGAACTACTCCACACACGCAGCTCTGAAGCGCACAAGGCAGTGACTGCGCTCCAAGAGCAGGTGTCCAGCCAGGCCTGGCCAGCAGTGCTGCCCTGCCTTCCCCCGGCTTCAGCGCTCTCCTGCCTTCCCCCGGCTGCAGCGCTCTCCTGCCTTCCCCGGGCCGCGTGGCTGCAGGCAGCGCTGGTCCCAGCTGCAGTAAAACTGCATTGTACTGTGTGCATGGATAAACTATGCACACACACACACACACACACACACACACACACACACACACAGAGCAGGCCTGTGTCATGTCTGCAGGGTCCTAGTCTATACCTTACTGCCACCATCGTGACATTCTGAATAATTTTGCTGTTGTTATTGTTTTGTACTCCTGGGGATTGAACCCAAGGCCTTCACACTGAACTATACCATCAGGCTTTTTTATTTTTCATTTTCAGATGGGGTGTCACTAACTCACTAAATTTCCCAGGCTGGGCTTGAACTTGCCACCCTTCTGCTTCAGCCTCCCAGGAAGCGGGATTACAGGTGTGCACCAGCATATCCAGCCTGGTTTTTGAGACAGCGTCTCACTATTTCATCCAGGTTGGCCTTCAACTCCCTATCTAGCTCAGTTTGAGTTCAAACTCACAATCCTCCTGCCTTAGCCTCCCAAACTGTGGGATTACAGGCACGTACCAATGCACCTGTAATATTTGTACAAGGGGACATGTATTTTTATTTTGGGCTGAGCCCTACAAATGATATCCCTACTTCTGGACACACACACACACACACACACACACACACACACACGTACATTTAAAATGATGAAAACCTTAAGAGGTCTGTACTGCGGTCGGCAGCACTGTATGCTATCAACATCCTGGCTTACTACTGTACTTTGTTACATAAGATGTCACCCCTGGGGGAAGGTGGGTCAAGGGACTATGTTCTCTGCTAATTTTGTGAGTTCTAGTTCTTCTATAATTATTTTAAAACACATTTTTAAATAAAAGAGACCTCAATCTTAGGGTTGTATTTCTGCCTGAGCCTCTAAGGAGCTGGGAAGGGCTGGGTCTCCCAAAGGTCCAAGTGGGGAGCTGCTTCACAAGCGGCAGAGACTGTGGGGACCTCGAGGCCCTGGGTTTCTGCCACTTGCAAAAAAAACAGCCCTGACACCTTTCAGCCTCCAACCCTGCGTGGTCAGAGAGAAGACAAGGCATGAAGAGGATGCCAGGATGAGGGCCAGAAGAGAGCATGTAGTGCACTTGGGGTCACCTACCTGAGAACGATGTAGAGAGTGATGGCAAAGATGAGGAAGATCATGGACACCCCACAGCCTGCCTGGGAGATGCGTGTGAGGACCATCACAGTGGCCCTGTCCAAGACTGGCCTCTGTGGATGACCCCAGAGTGGCCACATGAGCTAGAGGACAGGCCCATGCACCCCAAAGGCCTGGAACCTCATAGAGAATCCTCCCTGGGGAAGCCCACAGGACTCCCAGGGTTGAGTGGTGGCTCTCACCAGGAGCAGGGCAAAGAAGGTCAGGTGGTCACAGCGGCACACGGTCTGCTCTGCTCCCAGCTGGGTGGAGCAGCCCCTGGAGGCCCAATCTCCTGTGGGCCCTGGACGGGAGAGGAACACAGAGGAAGGAGGAGGGGGTCCTCTGGAGCCTACACCCTTCTCCTACCTCCCCCAGAGAGGTCCTCCGGGCCCTACCTTTAGTTATATCCCAGAACACGCAGGTGAGGGTCATGTTCTGAAACCAGAGAGTCTTAGTGAGGGTAGGCAGAGGAGGGTGGCCTAGCCTTGACCACATGCCTGCAGGTTGTATAGGGCATCCAGCCACACTGACGGACGCACCCTGGACCAGCATGCGCGGGTGCTAACACGGCATGGAGCAGTGAGGGAGGGACTCCAGGTCAGTGTGCATGTCTGTGCATATTATCCAGGTGGGTGTGGATGCAGTGTGCACAGAGGTAGGTTTGCCATGCCCTCATCTTTACTTCTGTGAACACAAGAGTGTGTGTGTGTGTGTGTGTGTGTGTGTGTATGTGTGTGTGAGCACAGGTGCACACGGGCCCTAGGTGAGCTATGTCCCTAGGCACAGTTGTGTGTACGGCCCTGGTGGGTGTGGAAAGGAAAAGGGTAGAAGCTCCCATGCATGCCTGCTCCACTAGCCTGTCTGCCTCGCAGTGCTTGCCAGGCCTGGATGGGGGACTCACCGGGGGGTGACGATGGTGTGAGAAGGTGATCTCCAGAGGCTCTGAGAGCCCAGTGACAGGCGCTTGGCCCACACTCAAGCCTACCACGTGGTTGTTCAGCACACTGCTGCCCTCCTCCTGGAGGAGCCTAGGGCCCTGTAAGGGCAGATGGGAAGGCTTGGCTGCAGGAGGGGCTGCATCATCCCATCTGGCTGGGGGCTGGGAACCTCCAGGACCTATGACCCTTGCCCAAAGGCAAAGTCTGAGACTAGGGAATCAAACGGCTATGGGGATGCAAGCAGCCTTCTTCCTGCTACTCTGCAGCCCCCCACTCTTCAAGGGCTGGTCCAGGCCTTGTGCTTCAGCATGGTTGCAAAGCGATGTTCCTGAGAGTGCTGCATAGCTGGCCTTCAGGGTTCCTCTGTGCTCTCAACTGCAGGGGTACAGGGCTAAGACCAGGATGCAGAGGGGGCCTCCAGATGCACAAGCGCGTGCACATTCTGGGTCTGCAGGACAGACTCTAGAGCCAGCTCTGGAGTGACCAGGCTGCCTGGAGACCTCAGCTGTGGAAGGTCAGCACCACCTACTCCCTCCCCACTGACCCAGAGTCCCCAGCAGGAGCTGTGGGTTATTGCACCATGATGGAACTAGCATTGAACCTCCCAGTTTCCAAGGCACCAGCAGGCTGCTCCTCACCTTGAAGATGTTCCCTGAACCGATGTCTAGAACTGTTACAGCCAAGCGCACCATAGGCCTGTTGCCTGGCAGGGATCCAAAAAAGCTCTTGGGAAGCCAGACTCTGTCAGAGGGCTTGTCCTCACCCTCCATCACTTGATTTGGGATCTGCAACCACAGACCAGAGTTCCCATCTTTACTCAAGGATTCTGGTTCTCGACACAGGTCCTGCCATTCCCCAGCTGAGACAGGAAACTGAGGCAGCTGGCGGAGGGGCAGCACCTGGAGACCATTAGCTCTGAGAGGCAGGGTACAGGGCTCTGTCCAGACGCTGCTTCTCCCAGGCCGTGGGCCTGGGGACAAGGAACAACACATACGGACTCCACCTTCCCAGTGTGGAGAGCAGAGCTAACCATGTGGCCACCTGCCAGGCTGAAAGTAGCTGTGGGGGGATGATGCCCAGGCAAACTCAGTTTGCAGGGGGGTCAGCTGTGCTGCGCTTTGGGTGTCAAGGTCCTAACAGCCCCTGTGTCCACACCATGGGGCTTGGTAGCAGTGGTGTCTGGTTTCTACCTTGGAAATACTGGAAAGAACAAAGTCACAGGGCAGAAATTCAGGAAGGGAAATGACAGGAATATAAGAATTCACATGGAGTGTGAAATCAACAATAAATTAAAAAACTAAGAATGGTCAGAATATTAGAATAAGCTGCAGCAGTAGTTACAAAGCATGCTTTGTTCATCTTCTCATCTCCCTGGTTCTCCTGCGCTGCACCCTGCTCCTGCCGGCTGCTGGCCTCAGAGGCATCCTGTGTGCACACTGGAATGGCGGAGCTGAGAGAGCTACAAAGTTCAACTTTGTTCTCGGCCCAGCCCATGTCAAAAGGAAGTGTGGATGATACCTGGGGTCAGCCCACACCCATGAGGAGGGCTCAGCTATTTGGCTGATATAATAAAGGGTTGAGAAAGGGCCTCTCTTCCATTTCCCCTTCTCCACACATACTTACAAGTCCATTACTAATAACCGGCTTGCCTGGCTTCCTGGACCTTCATCCTTGGGTTCATTTCCCTGGGGAGGCTAGAAACTTGCTGAGCCCTCACTATGCCAAGAATTTCCTGTGCACTATTTCACTTGATCCTCCCAGTCGTCTGGGAAGTAGGCAATATCTTCATCAGGGAGGAACCTGGGGCTCTGAAACAGTCACTTGCTCCAAGTCACAATGGCTGATAAGGGCCAGAGGTGGAAACTGAATCCAGACCAATGTAAATGTAGAGTCCTCTTATTTAGCCCTTTAGTTACCAAGTGTGCCATTTCCTTGGTTTCAAATATACTTCCTGAACAGAAGAGCTCATGGGTATTACAGATAAACACTCAGGCCACAAAGAGGGAGAGGCATTTCCCAGAGGACACCTAGTGTAGTGGTGGAAAGGCCAGAACGAGATAGAGCCTAGGTCTCTATCACTGACCTCCACATGTCTATACCAATGAGCTGAATCACCTGCCCAGGTTCTGCTTGTGCAGTTAGCTCATTAGCACTCATTAACAAGATGGCAAAGCTCTCCCGAGTGGGCCTGGGAGTCTTAAGTATGATGGGCACCAGGGCAGGATGTATCTCTCAAAGTAAGGAAGTGAGCACAAGATCTGAGCCAGCCAATAGGCACGGGGAAGCCGTCACCTGGGAGGGTTTCAGAGAGAAGAGCAGGTCTTCTGAGGTGTCAGTGCTGATGTTCTGGATCAAAGACTTCACAAAAGGCCGGTCCACAGTCCCCATTGAATTCTCCACCAGGTAGGACTCATAGTATAGCCAGTGTCTGCAAGGGAAGGGGGAAGGAAGGTAGCATTGTGCAGGCTGAGGTACCCTGCACAGGCTGCTGCAGCGACAAGCCTGAGCCAGCACATCAAAAACTTGGACTTGAGCTGGGGAGATAGCTCGGCAGTCTAAGCACCTGCCTGGCAAGCACAAAGGCCTGGGTTCTATCCCCAGTACTGCATGCTGTGCTGGCTCTGTGTGCTGGCCACGATGAGTCTGAGCTGGGTAGCAAGACCCTGTACCACATAGATATCTAGACAGATAGATGAATAAATAAATAAATAGATTTTTAAAATCCTCAAACTCCCTGTAGGAGGTCCCAAGAGATTTAGCTACAGGTTTCTCTGAGTATTGTCTGTGTCTTATCTTTTTCTTTTTGTGGTAAAATATATAGAACAAATTTTTCCATTTTAAAGTTCAATTCAGCGGCAACAAGTACATTAGCAGTGCTGGGCCATCACCACTAACTAGTTCCAGAATATTTTTATTACCCTCAAAAGAAACCCCAGTTGCCTTTAAACAGTCACCCCTCCCTCTTCCCCCAGCCATGAACAAACATTAAATCTGCTTTAAATCTCTATGACTTTTTCTACTCTATGTATTTTATGTAAATGGAATCATAGTATGTGGCTTTCATGTCTGGCTTTTTTTTTTTTTTTACTAGCACATCCATGTCAAAGCACATGCCATTGTTTTATTCCTTTTGAATGGAAGAATACAATTCTATTTTATGTATGTACCACACCTTCATTGTGCATTCATCTCCTGATGGACAATTTGGGTCTGTTCCACTTTTTGGCTATTGTGAAGAGTGCTGCTGTGAAAAACCAACGTGCAACCTTCTATTCGAAGCCTCGCTTTAAATTGTTTTGGACGTACATATGGGAATTGAATTCCTGCATTGCATGTTAATTCTTTGTTTACCATCTTAAGGAGCTGCCACACTTTTCCACAACTCTTCTACACCATTTCACACTCACACCAGTGAAGCATGAGGGTACCAGTTTCTCCCTATCCTCGTAACTACTTACAGTTTTCCCTTTTTGTCTTGTTCTGCTTGCACCCATCCTCATGGGTGTGAAGGTACATCTCACTGCGGTTTTGATTTTTGTATTTCGCTAATGTTCAGGGAGGTTGAGCATTTTTTCATGTGCTTTTTGTCCTTGCACCTCTAATTTGGGAAAAGTCTCTCCGCACACATTAGCACACTTATTGACTACTAGAAATCTAACTTCTGAAAGTTGAGCCCTGCAGGAACTGACCGCATGGGAGCACAGGTGGTGTGGGAACCACACACAGCACAGAATGTGATAGGCAAGCTGGGTGCGCTCTCCATGGTTCTGAAAACTGTACCGCCTACCAGGTTCCTTTTCTGGGGCCAGAGATCTGTCCAGCCTTTCCTAGCAATTGCGAAAAGTGCAAGAGAAGTGCAAGCTGAAGTAGTACTGGAAGGGAAGGGAAAAAAGCCAGACTACAACTACGGGAAAGGAGTAGCTGTGGAGGCAAAGACGGACCCTTTGGTTTTTGTCATAATTTGTGAATAGTGACAATAATCAAGAGGGGAAACAAACCCTAAGGAGATTACAGAAAATATATTATACAATTGAAACAGTAAGGCAGACAAATATATGCAAATACACTTGAATGGAAAACTCATAAGAAAACTAACTAGCCAGAAACAAAGACTAACTGGTCCTAGCTTTTATTTACCTTTAAAATATGAAAGGTCTGGCCAAATAGCTCAGCGGATTACAGTGCCTGCAAGCAGGCAAAGAGTCTGGGGTTTGAGCCCCAGGCCTCCAGTGCTGGCCTTGCCTCCGGGGCATGCTGAGATGGCAATTGAGACTGGGCGTGGTGGCGTGTGCCTGTAATCCCAGCTTTTGGGAGGCTGTAAACAGGCGGATCACTAGGAGTTCAATCTAGTAATGAGACCCTGAACACCCTGTAGACCTTCTCCCCCCAAAAAAAAATCTAGATGTGAATTCTTATCTTATACTGCTTTGCCCTCTATGTTGATTTGGACTTTGCTATACCAGAATCAGGGCTCACCTTTGACACAGTGTCCAGTTTCCATACTGCCTCCAGGTTCCCTCATGTGTTTAATCCAGAAAGCTGCCTTATACACCTGTGCCTGGTGACTATTTCCTATGGGACAGCTGGAGTCAACCTACCTACCTACTGGCTCCCCTGAATCTCCCACCCTGCAAAGCTCATGCAGATTTGATACGGTGGCTGCCTCTCTGACAGTGGGACTCACTGGAACTCAGGCCTACCTCCCATAAATCCGCTGATTAAAACTCCCCTTGGGAAATGTTTGGATAATTCCCTGAGCACCAAGAAAAGAGTTTTGGCCCATAGATATCTCTTTCTGTCCTTGCTTCACTCCCTGACATGTGTGTCCTGGGAGAGAGGAAGGGCTTCAGTGTACAACACCTCAGGGACCAGCTCCAAAAGTTTCTTTGTCCCCTGCCCTGATCTCCCTTCTGATCAAAGTTGCCCATAACTCCTCTGGGTAGCAACAAAAGCACCTGGCTTATGGCTGGTGCTCCCTGACTATTTGTTGAAGGAATGAATGAAAGTCTATTCTCACAGGCTTGATGTTAGAACAGAAATATGACTGAATAACATTTTTCCAGGGGCTTGATGTCCTCTGACCTCCCCAGTCTTTTCCTGTCTAGGTGCACAGTGTACACTGCTGATAGCAATGTCATTCTGCAGCCACACCCCACCTTGGCATGGCCCCTCCTGTACATTTACCTTTGTGTCCTTCCCTAAACTCCAGCAATCCTTCTAAAATTCAGAGTTGACGACACTCATTGTTTTTTTTTTTTAATTTTATTTATTTAAGTGTGTGTGTGTGTGTGTGTGTGTGTGTGTGGCCAGCTCAGCCCACCAGGGGGCGGGGCTGGCTGGCATGTGGTGCTGGGGGATTGAACCGCGGTCCCTGTGCTTTGCTAAGCTTGTTCTAAGTAGGTGTTTTAGACCACTGAGCCATCTCACCAGCCCGACAACACTCATTGTGAGCTTAGGATTTGTCATTGCTTTGCTTCCCAGAGTTGGTCTAGGCCATATAACATGCCACTCCTTAGTCCCAGCTCACATATCTAGTTCTGTTCCCTTTCTGTCCCATCTTGTCTCATGTGGCCTTCATCTCTCAGCACTTTTTACTCTCAAGTTTCAAAGTATTACAGTCCTCTGCAGTTCTACTGCTGTATCACCTGCTACTGCCTGGTCCAATGGGAAAACCCCTTTGTACTCTTCAAAGCCCTTCCCTGGTTGCTTCCCGAGTGAGGCTTTGTTAGATGTCCCTTCTCTAGCCTAGCATGGTGCCTTCTTTGCTCTCCTATGCTCATGTCATTGGCATCTCAAAGTGAAACTCTCAGGTTAGATTTTTTTTAATCTTAGAGATAAGCAACTCCTCCAGGTTCCTGCTGCTGAGCACAAAACCAATACCCCCTGTGTTGCTCACCCAAGTGGCAGAATAATCAGATCCTGGCCCAGAAGGCTGGAGCTGTTCCCTTTCCACAAGAAAGGGGATGATGAGCTGGATGAGCTGGACACATAAAGCAACTGTGAAGCCTGCATTGTCTCTCTGTGGTCTTCCTGCCCCTGTCTCTTACTATAAAAGACTCTTGTCCAGCTGTACACAGTAAGATGCTGGTTTGAGGCAAATGGGCCCCTCCATCTCCTTGGGGGCTAGCATTGAATAAATCCTTCTTCCTTTTTACCAAAATGTATGGCTTCCTTTGATTTGGTGGCAGTGAGCAGATGGATCTGAGCATGTGAACCTTGGTGTGAACACACTCTGGAGTCATCCTTATTTGGGTTTATGTCTGTCCTTTTACAACTCACAAGGACCAAGGCTGATTCACTGCTGTGTCCTCTGAGTCAGTAGGGACTTCTAGTTGTGGAAGGGTAAGATGGGAGTAGTAAGTTGGGAACACATGGCCTAATTTTCTAATATTGCCCCTGTCCCCACGTGAAAGCCCCAGAGTTCCATCCTCTCACCTCTCCAGGTTCCACGAAGTGCAGGAGTCACTGCTCCCCACCTGCCTGCAGTCAGCGAGGCACTGGATAATGTCCTTCAAGTAGTAGTTATCGGGTTGGGCCGGCTTGTTGAGGAGGCTTTTGCAGGCATTTCTTGGCTCTTCTTTTTCTGGCACAGTGGAGGACTTTGCCCCATCTAAGGGAGAGGTTCGAGCATATAGGGTCAGGATCCCACCTGTAGTCACCCGCCCCTCTCAGAGCCTCAGATCCTGAGGTGGAAGAAGATGGCACGCACATGTGTACACACACACACACACACACACACACACACACACACACACACTGAGGCTGGTAGGGTACTTTGGGGAAAGCATGGAACATAGTTCTGGACATAAAAGAGGGTGTTTTTACTGTTGCTAGTTGTATTACTCCTTTAAAATCGCCTCCTGAATAGGACCCAGCCTCGTTTTCCTGAGCTGTTCCATATCAGAGTCAAAGCCTTTATAACTGTGGCTGCAATCTTCCCAGCTAGCGGTACCATGAGTGTCTGGCTCATGGCTCCGTACACATTGAAGAACAAAATCATGAACCAAAAGAGGAAGTTAGGAGAGTTTTTATTGAAAATAAGGAGGAGAAGAGAATAGCTCCTGGATTTTTAGGAGGGTCCTGAATGAGGAAGCCACATGAGCAATCTAGAATACTTATAGGTACAACAGGGGACAGGAATTACTCAAAAGTTTAGTATTCATCTGTCATGGATGGCCATGTGAAGTTCAAGAAATGGCCAAGTGGGCACTCACAGTCCCAGTTCTTTTACATAGTGTCTGCAGCAAACTGGGATCTTAGACAGAGCTGACCATTTTGCAGTGCAATTTCCTCAGAACTCAGGAACTTAGGGGATGGCCATTAGCTCCTTTAGCTATATTAGAATATAGCCAGGGAGATGGCTCAGTGAAATAAGCACTTCCCTGGCAAGCCCAAGGGCCTTAGTTCAATCCCCGGTTCTGCCAATAAATAAATAAATAAAATATATTTACATTTTCCCTACTCTGATGATGCATCCTTAACTGTTGCTAAAGGAGAACAGGTGAAGGCTAATGTAGCTGCTTTATGCTGAAAGGGTCGATGTTGGGGAAACAACAGTCAAGGACTTTCTCCAGAGAGCTAATCTAAGGGGGTTTTGATAGATGTTGGGGATTCCACAGTTATGGACTCTCTTCAGAAGGTTTATGTGGTGGATTGTGGTAGAAGTGTTGCAGGCAGCTGAGTTATAGGCAGTCAAACAGGGCCAGGCCCTCGAAGGAGACAGTACAAAAGACAAGTTACCTTACAACTGTGGGAGGGACAGATGCTCCTCCTGGGAGCCAGACCTAAAGACCAAACAAATGCTAGCCTCCCTAAAGATTAGCATCCTGGATTGATCATTACCCTGAGAAAGCCAAAAAAGAATCCTTATCTGATGTCTACCAGATAAGGTCCTGTTTTATATTCATGCCCCCTTGCTATGTGATTCGCTTCCCCATTTGGTCCCAGACTTAATCTTACCTGAGCAATGGTGCTTGTAATCTCATTGGTTGATCATAGTTTTGTCCCACCCCACATCCACCTCAGCGAGTTCCCTTTTTCTCAACCTCATCCCCACATAGTTTTACACTATAAAAGTCCCTGGAAGAGATAGCTTCCAGGGGACAACCTGCTGGGGGGGGGGGTCCTCCTGTCCCTCTCTCAGACAGGAGCTTTCTTTCTCTCAATAAATATATTCTGCTCATAACCGCCGTTTGTTCCTAAAATTCATTCTTCAGTTTTAGAGAACATGAACTCATCCAGGTCAGGTGGAGAGATCATTTTTCCCTACATCATTAGGAGGTCACCCGCCCAAGATCAGTGTTTCTCCCTATATCAGAAGGAGTTCGGTACACTTCTTGTTGTTGCCATCTTCTTGTCCATAATGGGTGTGACAGCTTCTAGGTGAGAAGGAACCAATTTTATCAAGAGATTAAGAAGTAAGACCAGATGTCTCCTGAAAAAAATTACATTGTAAATTAAATGTAATTTTTGTAAAAAAAAAAAAAAATGCATGGCCCCAACAAGAACCAGAATGCAAAAGCTAATTGGAGAAGGAGCCAAGCTTAGATACTACTTTTTAAAGATTGGAATAGAAATTGCAACCAGCAGAGTCCTAGACATGTCTGTTTATGGAGGTCATCTATAAGTCTAATAGTTCTTTTACTATTTTAAAATCTTTTTTAACCTAAGGTAAATTATTTATCTGAAGATAAGTTTTACTTATGGTGCACCAGTCTGTCTAGTTTTTGCTGTAAGAAGATGGAAAACTCTAATTTTAGCTAAGGAATTCAAAGACTCTCTTTGGGCTTTTATAGATGTTAGTATGGCTTTTGAACCTCATTAAACCATAACAATGGCAACTGTAGCTAGAGACTCCCAGCAGAGGCCAGTGCCATTACTAGGGCCCCCTTTCTCTAGCCTATATTATTATTGTTGCTTTGTGTATATTTTGCTTGTATTTTTCTGATGATTGTTTAAGACCGAGCTAAAGTGAGACCTGCACTAATCAAAATTAGCCTCTCACCAAAGCCAGTTGGGGCTCCTCTGGAACCATGTACAGAACATCTCTGGCCATGTCATCTACCCAGATGGGTCATGGTCTTGCTTGATAGCATGGCTTCCCCTGAAAACATGGGAGACATTTCTCTCTTTAGTGACCCTCTTTGGTATACAGTTGTGTATCTGTTGACAACAATCTCTCTGCTCAAGGGATTGGGTGACTCACTAGAGTTATAGAAGCTCATAGAAAGTTCTCCTTCTATTCAGGGTCCCTTTCGATCTTGGAGGCCAGGGACAAAATATTGGCTATCTTTGTAACCCAGTTATCCTTTTATCTTAGATCTCCAAACTTCAGTTCTTAAACACCCAGGAGAATAGTTATAACATTATTGCAGCAGGAGCCATAGTTTTAACTATCTTATCTAGCTTTATATTTCATTACCTTGAAATATAAAGTATGACCAGAGAACTATTTTTTTAACCATCACAGTTGTCTTAGAAGTCTAATTTCTATAGAATGCTAACAGATTACAATTTCAAAGTTTTATAGAGAAATTTTGATATAGAAGCACATCATATTTTAGCATGACAATTATGATCTTATTATACGTGAATAATTAGGTTTTGTTATTTATTGCTGAAACACTTTTAAATTTCTATTTTAGTATAAAATAACTTTTTAGTCAATTATCTAATTATAAATATTAAATGACATAAAGAAACATTTACCTAAATTTGCTATTTTTATGAGTATCATCTAAGTAAAATGGACTTGTTTATAGATTATAGGTTATTAATGCCTTATCTTTAATTATTAAAGTGACATTGTCTAGACTGCACAGTGTTTAGATATGTTTAACTATAATAACACAATTATCAACTATAACAATGACACATGCATAAGCCTGAAAATCTACCCAGATCATTTGTCTGACTGTCTCTTAGTGGATTACCATGCACATTTATTATAAGAAGGTAGAAAACAAGTAAGGGAAAGCCAGGTGCTTCGGTCTGAACAAGTTCACCATCATAGATAGCGTCAGCCAGGAAGTCACTGGTATGCTACGACATTGTTCAGGTTTGCATCACTGAAGGCCTGTGCACTTGGGAAACCCAAAGTTACGGAATAGTCCCTGAGGCTATCCCTGATTATCATCACAGCTTTATAGGAATCTTTACATATGCATCTATACATACATAGTTTTATTTTCAAGGCAAAATTTAAATTCCCATAGCATGTTTAGGGTGTGTCGCTTCACTGGCAAGCATTTAAGGACACCTTCAGAGTTCTTGTAGATTTAAGAAGTGATGGCTGGGCATGGTGGTACGTGACTGCAATCCCTGCACCTGGAAGGCTGAGGCAGGAGGTTCACCAGGAGTTTGAGGCCAGCCTGGGTACATAGTGAGCTCAAGGCCAGCTGAACTATGTAGATAGACCCTGTCTCAAAAAACAAAATAAAATTTAAGAAATGGTGTTGATAACCAGGAATAGACTAATTAGCCAATTTAACTGTATTTTACTTATTCAATAACAAAATACTTATTTATGCAAAGCCAATAGATGTAGGTCAAGTTTTAAATGTCAGGACAAAATTTAAAAAGAAACCAAATTTTAATCATTTTTATGCCTAAGGTCTATAGATGCATATTATACAAAAGTGCATCTATTAGTTACTTTGAATGTATTAACTTCAGGTAGTTTTAATATTATAAACTTAACTTTAAAGCTTATAATCATGGCAATATTTTTAGACGTATATCTAGTCCCAAATGTGTAGGTTGTCATAAATTAATAGTCATTTATTTAATCAATCGCAAACTGATTATTGAAAACATTATATAAGTCAACACTTAAACAATCTCTAACTCTTAAAGCTCAATTTTTAGTAACCAAAAGCCTAACAATAGAAAAAAACCATAAGAAACTATCTTAGCAAAATATAGAATTTTTGCCTTTTAATCTAGCCTTTTAAATGTAACCAATGGAATCGCAATACCTTAAGAAAATCTTGCTGTTTTAAACATAAAAAGTTTAATCTTTGCCATGCTGGCCCCGCCCCTGGGGCACACTGAGACTGGGTGTGGTGGTGCTCACCTATAATCCCAGCTCTTGGGAGGCTGAACACAGGCCGATCACTACGAGATGGATCTACGTAGTGAGACCCTGTAGGCCCTGTAGACCCTGTACTAAATACAAAATAAATAAATAAATAAATAAGTTTAATCTTTTAATTACCGCCAGCTTAGTTATACATATTATATAATTTTGAGAGCTTGTTTGGAGGTTCTAGCAGGGGAGTGCAGCTACTCATATACCCTTGACCGAGGAATGGTCCTCCTCCATCGGGGGTGGTCGTCCTCTTTGACCGAGTGTGCAGCTTAGGGAGGGATGCACATGGATCATTGAGGGAGGAAGGGGACACCCGCCTCGCCAGCCAGATCAGCCAAATCAACCCTGGCGATCAATGGGGTGGCAGATGTCGCAGCCAGATCACCCTCACATCCAGATATTATATAATTTTAAGGATATTTTTGGAGTGGGGCTTAATATGTCTCTGGGGGAAAAAACTGGAGAAATTATAACCATCAGTGAGAAAACAAACAAGTTGGTTCAGGCAGCTCTTTTTAGCC